GTTGTTCTCTTCTGTAGTCGCCCGCAACCGGAGTTTTACCAGCAAGGCTGGGGAACGGGGTTTCAACTTTCAGTCAGACTTGGCATTTCACTCTTTTCGATTTCCTAAGGACCATAGGTATGTACTTGTGCATAAGTACCATTCACTACAAGCTATTGTTATCCCACATCCAAGGGATATAAACTCCCATTTTGCCCTGTCAGTCTGGATGAAGACCACCCGCTTGGGCTAGGAGATGATACCTTACCCAGCACCTCCAATCAAGGTGCCATCTGCAAGGATCCATGGTCCAGTCACGTCAGTGATGCGAACGAACAGATATCCCAGCCTCGTTTGCCTCCATATTCAACGCCCATATCTTAGAGTGGGTCAAATCCGTAGGGGAACAACGGCTGGTGCTTGAGGAGGTTGACGTTCAGCATGCCGGCACTGACTTATTTGCGACTTGACGGATACGCTGTCTTTGACTGTGTAGATAAGTGATTGTTAGCGAAGCTGGATATGCTGGTATATGCCAATCGGTCCTCTATGGCAGATTTTTACCACTGTCGAGAACAGATGAAGGAATTAGGCGGACTCAGCGGCCTAGAGGCTTAGACATGTCACATCACAATTCTTGGTAAAAGCATAGGTATAATTTGTTTCCGATTACACCTTTCTAGTATTCTAGTATAGTGGATGGGTTGAAATCTCCCAAAATCGCCTTTAAGACGGGGTCATTTGAAATAGAAAGGTGCATAGTTACGAGTCAAATAGTCTTCTTTTCCTCAGAGATAGGGGTGGAAAGTTCGAACTGTAAACAGCCCCATTTCATCCTTCCGCTTATTAAATGTCGAGGTCAACCAAGGGCGTCTGCGGTCAAGGCTTGCCGCTTCACCAACCAAAGACATGTTGGAATAGAAATAAACGCCTAGTTGCAAGTTCGGCAGAAGGAAAGACAGACACTGGCAGAACTGTACTCGTTTTTGTTTTGCTCTTCGAACCTGAAATGTTGATCTGCCCATGTTTGTTCTAGGCTTACATTGGAAAATCCATACCCACCTCCGCACTGTATGCTCCTGGCTCCATTAATCGTCTCCATGAGACACATTTTCTCGGGGTTTCAATCCTCGACCTCACTTGCCGACCAGTTCAAAACTTGCGGGAAGCAAACCACCAAAAACTTCCACATCCTGCACAACCCAGATATTGCGCGCAACTCCACACAGTCCACTGGTACCTGCTCCTCGTCTCATTTCGTCTCGGCGTGGCGCGATCCGCTGCCACAAAAGGGTATATCTTGACTGTTTCAAACAATCCCAATATCCAAGGTAGATTGAATCCCTCTAGAAGAAGAGGTAAGCGATGAGGAAGCTGATTAGACATAGAGCAGCCACGAGTTGCAACGGAACCCCTGATTCGTGGCTTTGCTGTACCACTGCCTGGACTTTCTCATTCGCCTCCTGTGCCTTTCGCTGCCGGACTTGGGGGTCTTTCAGTTGGCTTGTCAGGCTTTGAATCTGAGCCTTTGCGGCTGCTAACTGGTCCTTCAGCTCCTCGTTTGATGTGGGAACAGCGCTGGCAACGGTTGAAGCGGCAGCGGTGAGGCCAGTCGCTTCCGCAACATTTGTCACAGATGACTTGACGGACTCGGCGGCTGACGCGTTGGTTGAGGTTTGCTGAGCGGGTGAGCCGAATTGCGGGGTCGGGGAAGAGTAGGCTGGCGGTTGCTCTTCATGAGAGGATACACCGTTGGGGGTAGCTGCGGTAGCAGGCAGGAAGTTGACACGGATCTTCCTCTCCTGGATGGATCCTTTGGCTGTCTTCTCGACCGTCTGCCAAAGGGTTGTGACATTGGGATCTTGATCGGCCGAAGTGAGGACGGACTGGACGAGGAACTTATCCCGGCATTTGGCGTCGAGTGGAGGTTCTTCTTTCATTGCTTGTAGGAGAACTATCATGGTCAGCGCCGGGGAGTATACGCCAGAGTACCAGGTCACACCTTGAACGTCGACGGATTCATTGGGCGCGATGATGCCCGAGTTCGGTCGCACACAGTATCTGATCCGATGTTAGACGAGTGTCTTTTATTCCTTTCTCTTTCTCAGGCGCAAAACTCACTGCTTAGGGGCTGTAGTCTTGACCTATTTGCCATCTGTTAGCATGCGGATAATCAGTTGACCGATTGAGAAATCTCGTACCTTGAAGGCCACGGGTTGGCTATTGGGGTTTGTAAGTTTGAGGATCTCGCTAACTTCGCGATTGAAAGGGCCTGCTCAAAGCGTGAGTATGTGTCGAGTTAGAGAAGTACGAGGACTGACGTCGAAAGCCCAGTTCGGCTGGCAGGAGATCTACAGACATGGTAGATTGTCGACAGGAACAATGCGCAGTCCAACGGCGAGGAGAACAGCAATTGGAGGCTCTTAGAGACGACGATGGAAGGATGCTAAAGTAAAGGATTGCTGAGACCGTGTCAAATTGATAGAGATGTTGAGTGGATTGTTCAGCAGACTTAGTAGTTTAGCGAAGTCAAGGAAGGAGAAGGCCTATGACGACCAGAGTGATGCGCAGTTACTCGGGATTTGAAGTGGCTGGAAGTCGATTACTGGTGATTAAGGCGACAAATCCGACTCAGGGGATCTGGCGACTGGGTCACTAAGGAGCTGCAGATATTATGGGGGGGGGAATGGCGCCTCCAAGGACGCACTTAGAGTGTGTGATGACGCTGATGGCAAAAGCCCGCTAACTGTTCAAGGCCTCCCTACCGTACCCAAGCACCCAAGATGCCTTCATAGGGTATAAGACCTAGGCTCGCGGCTCGCGACTCGCGAGCCCGCCAGCCTGCCAATCCACCCGCGCCCAGCCCGAAAAGTGTCCCGCATCAACCACTTTAACTTATTCCTCCGTAAAATCACGCCAACTCCCCGCACCCTCGTCGTTGCTATCGAGCATTTTGAGTGTTTGCTGCCTGTGTACCAGTTAGACAATCGCTAACAGTGTTCCCATTCTCTCACTACCCTGTCTTCACCTTCACCGTCACCCTCACACTTAAACCGCTATTTCTACCGCCTCCTCATCTGTTCAAGGATCCTCCACTTCCAGATTAGACTACGCCCCCCTCCATCCTCGTTCACACCAGCCTGACCCCGGTCAAATCATTCATTACAGGAACCTCCCAGACTACGCTGAAAGAAACGATGGCGACGTCTGATCTGGATCAACTGGTCATGATGGGCTTTGACAAGGAACGCGGTGAAATGGCATTGAAGAGCACAGGTAGTTGTAAGTATCCCAAATCTTCTCTTCCTTCACTCTGTGCTGAAACGATGCAATAGTGGCAGACGCAATCGACTGGCTCGATGCAAACTCCTCAAAGTCTCTGGAAGATCTCAAGGCCGAGAAGGTCGCAGCCGCAGAGGCAAAAGCTGCAGAGGCAGCCGAGGAGGCACGGAGCCTTGTGTGTAACGAATGCGGGAAAAAGTTTAAAGGGACCGCTCAGGCAGAATTCCATGCATCAAAGTCTGGCCATACCGATTTCGCAGAGTCGACCGAAGAGATTGCCCCCTTGACTGAGGAAGAGAAACAGGCCAAGCTAGCAGAGTTGAGGGAGAAACTGGCCGCTAAGCGAGCAGTCCAGTCCGAACAAGACAAGGTCGACAAGAAGCGCAATGAACAAATCAACCGCAAGAAGACCAAGGAAACCGAAGATCTCAAAGAGCAACTCAAGGTCAAGGAGCAGATCAAGGAGGCCGAGAAGAAGAGACGAGAGAGGCAAGAGGACATTGAAGCGAAGAAGCGGATTCAAGCCAAGATCGCGGCCGACAAAGAAGAACGACGACTGCGAGCAGAGCGGGAAAAGGCTGAGCGAAGTGGCACAGCACCTCCAGTTGCAGCTGCAGCACCTCCTCCACCAGCGGCTCCAGCAGCTTCCAAACCAGCGTCGGAGTATACAGAGACACGGTTAAGGCTACAGACATCGTCGGGAAATATTATGAAAACTTTCCCCGTCGGAACAACCTTGTTCGAGGTGGCGACCGCTGTGGCCGAAGAAATTGGTCGGGATGTCGAAAGTTTTACGCAGAACTTCCCAAGAAAGGTTTTCGACCGGGAGTACTTTGGAGAGAGCCTGAAGGACCTGAAGCTCGTGCCCAGTGCCAGTTTAATTGTGAAGTAGGTCCGCTTGCGTTTGCTTTGATGCGGCTCTTGATTCTTCATAGCGAAGGCGTCTGAGCTGGGTGGTTTCTTTCGGTGTTGTTTCTACATGTCCTGGTGCTGACCGACATACATAAGGATCTATCCATTGCCCTGGTAGCATTCGGGGTTTCAGAGCTTTTGAGAGAGACATGTAGACAAAGCAGTCCTTTCCCAAGGGATATCCAGCTTGAAAGAAATAGGAGACTTTGAGGGTGGTGCCATATTGTCGGGGAACACTGCCTCAAATTCATCCTGGCGCGATCTGTCCGTCCTGTTGGCCATCCATTCATCGTCTCGTCCCAGATCCCATTTCATGCTTTCGCAAGAAACCACATGGTCCGCCAGTCGACTGAGACCCCCGATTCCTCAATTATTCCTACCCAGGTGTCGACCTCGCGAAAATACCGGTCCGAACGGGGAATGAGGCCACATTCTCTGTATCCTGGTGGAGGAATGTGCAAGAAGTCCAAGATGAGAGGGCTCTCTGGTATGGGAGGTTAGATCTCAAGGATCAATTGCTCGTCAAGGGAGCTCCAGAGATCCAAAGGACCTGACCAAGCCATAGAGATTTCTCTCATTGTCCCAATCTTCGCTCCCAGAACCATTGAGAAGCTAACACAAGTGTCGCAAGCAGAGCTGGCCTGCTGCATTCTTCGAAGAGAGCATCATACGGTATTCTTGACTGGTGACCGGGCTGCATCACCCCAAGTCTTTGAGGGAAAGAGTCCTGTATGAATGGACCATGGTACTTCGAGGCTGAGGACGAGAATATTTCTCTTCGATGCTTGATGATCAACAGTGGTGCTGCCCTTCCTTTTAACACTCACTTAGCGAGCGCCGATTCCGACAGAGGGCACTCTGATGAGAGCATCTCCAAGCCGGTACTGACTTTCTCTGAAGTATCGATTCATAACCCCCATACTGACTGGGTTCCTCGGGCATATGGAATGGGTACTCGAGAGGGAAGTGGCCGAATCTACCGTTGCTGAAGAACTGTCCGAAAGCAAGGAAGACAGCGACGAGATGGAAGACACATGAGACCTCCTCAGTTTCGTTGTGAAATCGTGGCATGAAGCCTCCTGATCATCTTGATGCGTGTCCTGCACTGGATCCGTCTGGACTGCGGCGTCTGAATACGAGGGATTTGTCGCAGTTTGGCGCTGATTCCCACCTGTGATGCCGGGCCACGCTTTCAAAGATCGGCCCTCCTGACTTTCATTCCTCTCATGCGACGCTCTCAGTGATATCACTCCGGCTATTGCAATGCTCCGTGGTCTGACTCTCTGCTTGAGCACCTGCCGCCGTTGTATTGACGGACGCTGTTGATCTTGCTCTTGGACATCATCCGAATGCGAGAAAGTATGTGCCTTTCGTCGGATTGTCATTGTTTGGCCCGTGTGTACCGCAACTTGTGTGAGGGATCTCCGGTGGTTGCTGCCCACGTGTTCTCGCAGGTTGGTGTTGATATGCGATATCCGCTCGTACCGGTCGAAAGCGAAGAATTCATCGTTGTGGCCAAGGGAGACTTGGAGGCTCTCGAGATCTCTGCTTGACCCGTCGGGAGGGAACAGCCATTCGTCGAGCGCGCGTGGTAGCCCTTGTCTCTCTTCAAAGGAGAAAGGTCGAGTCAACAGTGGCTTCAACTAACGAACAGAATGGCTGCTCGACTCACCTTGTCTATATCCTCCCTGTCTGTCCTGCCAACAGATATAATACCGGTCGAAAGCGCCAACCGCATACACAAGAATCTTGTCGACACTCTCCAAGTGCGTGAGCAGGTTATTGACAGGACTCTCTGTTCTTTGTGGATTCGTCACGACCCTGCTTTTGAACAAGTCAGTCTGGCCAGTTCGCCATTGCTTGCTCTCCTTTGTCTCATTCTTTGAAACTTACTCGTCTTCTTCGAAGTCGAAAGTGGCGCAATTCTTGGGAGGTTGAGGTGCCATGGATTGGATTCCCTTACAGGACAAGATGAGGAACGCTTCTTTGGCATTATATCGATCGTCCTTGGCTGGATGTGGCTAAACACCGTCTCTACGAGCCATCACACATTATAATCGAAAGCCCAGAGTGTGTGCTGCTGAGCACCACATCAGCTTCTGAGGCTTGCTGTGGGTCCTGATATCCTACTCGTATCTCTTCATGGCTGATTGCTCCCTATCAGGCCACTCGGCGCATGATATTCGGTCATGAAGCACTGAATGTCGCATCCGAGCTGACCAGCAACCGACATGTATCTCTTACATTGTTTAACAGTCCCACACCTCTGGCTGTGACGGCTTCACGTTCCTACGAGTGTACAAGTCGTAAAGCAGTGCTAGCGCTTCCATCGCCAGCCCTTGAAAGATATTCTGGAATGTTTCAAGTTTGACATTTCAAAACTACAAAGAGATCTGCGACCATGTGCTTCGAGCTGCAGCGTATGCGATACGCTCGGAACGGACTTTTCGGTTCCAGTCAGACTTGGTATATGATGGTATTCTTTGTGCCTCTATTGACTATCTCAAGTGGTTTGTTTTGCCTGCTCTTGCTGTCGCAGAACCGGGTCCTTTTTCCATCTCTTTTCCCTCCTCCACAACTCGACTTCCAATACCCTCGTTCCCTCGGGAACCTTTGCTCGCAGGCCGTCATCGTCGCAATCGAAATATAGCGCCCACAATCCCCGGTCTTCCTCCACGACCACAAAGCCCTCCCATCCGTCCAGAGTCATTCGGTGGTCTTGCCTTGTGCAGTCCCACGGCCCTGTCATATTGGGTTGAGCGTCCACCCGCAGACCATATTTGACTTCGTACGTCTGCTTGTCGATGTAGATCCAGTTCAACATGGGCGGGTCATCGGAGATTGTCGATACGAGGCCTTCATACTTTGTATCGGGGTATGGGAGGAAATATCCAGCGAAAGGATGTCCGAACGGTGATGTGTCTGCACTTTGTTCATATCGTTGGTCGTTGTCGTCATGATCATAGTCACTGTAGAGATCTTTTGACTTTGCAACGGGCTTGTCGACGTAGAGCTGGACGGTCATCCGCGTTAGTGACCATGCAGACTCAATTCAATCATGGAATTCCTCGCTGTACAACGAGAGGGGGGAAGAGGGAGTGTAATGTTCTCACCCACTTTGTGATTTCGCAAGACGATCCGGCGACCATCAATCTCTTGACTTCTGCTCGACGCCTTGACACATGTCGCGACCAGATTGCATCGTCGCGCGCGATGTTCTTCTCGTCTATCCTTTGACTGGCCCTGACGGATTGCTTCGGCCGTCGCCAGCATTGCTGGGCACGTTACCAGCGCAACGACCAAGGAGAGGACCATGCTCGCTCGAACGGACACGTGAGACTGTATGTCCTGGTTTCAGAGTTGCGAGGTGGGCTGATTCTTCCCGATCTGTGGGATACAAGTACTGTAGCGAGCGGATACAAGTATAGGGGGGGATCGAGGCGCCTCTTTATGCTTCGCGAGAGGCTGGCTAGGTGGTCTGCTCTTACCGCCAACTTGGTCCTTGTTCTTGTAGTGAAGTCGCCATCGCTGGGAGTTGACTGTCCTGTTATTGTATTTGCTGTCGTGCATTGAATGGATCCCAAACCCCAGTCAGGCCACACTTATTCTGACACCATAAGGTGGCGAGATCTGGGGGATTCGGTCTGGAACATGAAGGGTTGGGGGAGTTTCAGGTCCCAGAAGAAGTTGAACTGTCTCAGCCTTGCGACTCTCCCCGTTTCTGGTCCAGGCCTATCTCGGTAGAAATGCTCACGAACTCATCAGGCCACAGTCATCCAGTCAAGGCGCTTCTCGTCTCTCTGCAAATGATGGAGTGGGACACCTCTGAAAATGTGCGATGGGACACTCCAGAAACAGAAACCCCTTACTCCGTGACTCTGTCGCTCGCTTCTCTGTTCTCCGTACTGTCGATGTCGTTTCAGAGCGGCGATATCTCAGCTTCGACGAGAACATAAAAGATCAGAGGATGTCGCTCCTACTGAGACACATTTTCATCTTCATCACAACAACAACGACAAAACCAAAAGGCCAATTCATAGATTGCTTAGTCGTCTGGTACGACTCTAACAAGCATTCCCTTGTCCTAATATTGCCTAATTTTGAACACCATCTTCCCGGATCTCTTTTGACTTCGAGCCTATCCTTATTCATCTTTCCTCCAATATCGTCAAAATGTCTGCCACGTATGAAATCTCCTCGAGGTCTCTTGCAGAATCAAAAGTCTGACCGCGTTCCAGGGCTACATACGGCAACGCCGCGGACAAGGGCTATTCCAGCGGCAGCGAAGATGGACAAGCCACAGGCCAGCGAAAGGCGCTGGCTACGACCAACGGCGCCAACGGGTCATCAGCGCTACCATTGCCACCAACTTCGGATTACCTGTCGCAACCTGCGGGTATGTTTCCCCTGCATTCTCTTCTCCACTGTACCTTTAGTGTCTGCTGGTGACTGACTTCATCTCCACAGGGGGTCTGCTGAAGGGTGCAACAGACGAGAATGGTCACCTCAAACCCGCTGCGCTCATGGTTGGCCTCAAACTGGATCTAGAGGCAGAGGTCCATTTGACAGCCCGCATTCGTGGTGACATCACGATTGGCTTGTACTGAACTGGCGTAAAGATGAAGGTGATTGATTTGCTCCAATCACGACAACGGAAGGCAAGTTGCCTGGCTCGCTGGCTGCAGGTTCAGCCCAGGAGAAGGTGACAGGGCCTCTCGAAGGTGCGATCGCGGGAGAAAGGGGACCCTTCAGGCTAGAAGGGTGGTCCAGTCAAGCACGAAACATCCTCGACCTAGATAGATCTGAGACGAGACTTTGATGATGTATCGGTGTCGCTGTCAGGGTCACCCGTATGTGCACCGACTACCATAGACCAGACCAAGGAATACAAATCCCAATGTCTTCAGCTGAGAAAGTTAGAAACGTGTTCGATTAGTACCCAGCTACCAGGATCTACAGTACAACAAACGGTGAAATAGTGCATTATCCGTGCCGACTTATTGCTGTTTTAATGGTGGTTTGAGACTAGCCATACATAGCCTAGTCGAGGGGTGTCACCCCCATCCCATCTACTTGGTACAAGTACTCGGACTGACCTTGACTTTGTACCTGCTTCCCGGCGATCTCGTCTGCAACTCCTGACAACCGCCTACCAACCTTTCGAGATCCGCCCAGCTCAAAGTCAACGAGCACCAGGATGTCTACCGCCACGGAGACACAGTCCATAAGTCGCGCCCGTCGAGCAAATTACTCTACCACCACCAAGGCCGAGGACAGAGGTACATCGGAAGAGCTGGACCACAAAAAACGATCTGCTGAAGACAAATTTTTTTGGACATACACGGAGGAACCTCACCGCACACGGCGACAAGCTATCATAAAATCACACAAGGAAATCTTGCAGTTGTGCGGTCCAGAACCCTTGACAAAATATGTCGTCCTCTTTGTCGTCTTGTTACAAGTTTTCTGCGCCTATCTCCTCAAGGACTCCCCTGTTTTCTCATGGCGGTTCTTCCTTACGGCATACATAGTTGGCGCCACTGCGAACCAGAATCTCTTTCTCGCTATCCACGAGATCAGCCATAATTTGGCGTTCCGGACAGCCATTTACAACAGACTTCTGGCCATCTTCGCAAATCTTCCTATCGGAATACCATACTCGGCTGGGTTTCGACAGTACCATTTGACCCATCACAAGTCGTTGGGCGTGGATGGTGTCGACACAGATCTTCCTACAGCACTTGAAGCAATCTTCTTGGACTCAGTCTTCGGCAAGGCATTCTTTTGCACCTTTCAACTCTTGTTTTACGCTATTCGTCCGATGATGGTGTACAAGATTCCCTTTGGACCAATTCACCATTGCAACATCGCTGCTCAAGTTGTCTTCGATATTCTGATCGTTCGATATCTGGGCTGGAAAGCTTTGTCCTACTTGATAATGAGTTCATTCCTGGCTGGTTCGCTCCACCCGTGCGCTGCACACTTCATCTCAGAGCATTATGTCTTTGCCAAATCCACTCTGCAGCTCGGAAAGGTTCCGAAAGATGTACCTATTCCCGAAACTTATTCTTACTACGGCCCGCTTAACGTTCTCACTTACAATGTTGGGTATCATAACGAACACCACGACTTTCCAGCCATCCCCTGGACTCGATTACCCAAGGTCTATGATATTGCGAGAGAGTTTTATGAGCCTTTGCCGTGTCACAAAAGCTGGCCTTTGGTGTTATGGCAGTTCATCACTGACAAGGAAGTCGGGTTGTGGTGTCGAGTCAAGAGATCAGAAGGTGGACGCATCGTAGGAGGTTGGCAAGATGCTGAGGTACAGAGTTGATTATCAGCTTATCTACATGCCTCTGACCAGATAGACACAGCACATATATAGAGATGAGGATACGAATTCACATGACTGAATTTTCCGTGGTGCAAGGTTGTTGCCTGCCAAGTTTCAACTCGAGTCGAAAAATGGAGTATCACTGACTCGTTTACGTCTTCGCGACTTCATACATATCCCATTCTCTTCAAAGTCTGCCATTCTCTTCCAATCTATGAGTACGCCTACTAAACCTTGCAGAATGCCGTCATCCGCAGCGGGATGCTCCTCGTCTCGTCGAGGGAGTGGTCGCCGTGGCCGGGCTAGAGGACGATCGAACGGAGGCACATCTCGGTCTCACTCCGCCCAACAGGGCACCCAGTCCTCTCGATATTGGCGAAATCGAAGAACATCATCTGCGACTCCATCCCAAGCTGCCTCGAGCGATCGTCCAACCCCTATCCGTTCCAATCTCTCCCCCCAACGAGAAGAGAGGTCCATCTCCGTGTCCCGAGATGAGGACTTTCTGGAGCAGGTGATTATGGCTGTCGACATCAAGGGCAAAGGCGAAATAGGTTGTGGGTACTACATTGCGGGCGAGGAGAGACTTTTGTGCATGGAGGAGGTTGTCGGTGGTGCCGCAGATGTCGTTGAAACATGTATGAGCTGTGTGACCTTCATGTTGACCACGATCTGAGATCCTGGCAGTGAAATTGGACCTCCAGCCGACAACAATGATCCTCTCTCTTCGCTCGGAAGCTACCTCAGACTTTGCCGATGCTGGATTGCGTCAAAACGTGTCTCTGGTGGACAGTGGTAAGGCGGTATCATTCACAAGATGGAGTAACAGCTGACCCAAGGCAGACGACGATCGACAGCCTCTCCCGTATCAAATCGAAATACGACCGACACCAGACTTTAGCTACGAGGATGCTCTGAATAAGCTGATCGGACTTTGTTCTTTGGCAGAGAATCCTACCACCCAGTTTCTCGTCCCAGGCGACTCCATGGCATACGACGAAAGGTTGGAGCCAGAAGATCTCGGTCTCACGAAGCGACGAGGCAAGCTGATGCAAATCTCCTCGCGTTTAAATCTCGACAACAAAATCAGCATTGGCTGTGCTGGTGCCATCATCTCTTGGTTGCAGCGGAGACGATCAGCTGCCTACCTGCCAGGAGATCCAGATGCCAACCAGACTTTCCGTATTGCCCGACTCGAAATGTTCAGCCTCCACGGGACCATGCTCGTGAATAGTGACACTCTTGTCTCGTTGCAAATCATCCAGCCAGAGTCTCATCCAAACGCGTTCAACCAAGGGCCTGGGGCCTCAGGGGGGAAAGAATCACTGTCGATCTATGGCCTCTTCCAGCACCATGCACGAACTCCACAAGGAAAGGCACGCCTGCGACGAGCATTCCTGAGGCCGTCTCAGGATATCGAGCTGATCAACACTCGCCTCGATTTTATCTCAGCGTTTGTCCGGCCGGAGAACCAATCGGTGCGTGACCAACTCAACAAGAGCCTCGGGCGGGTCAAAAACATGCGGAATACCGTCACTCTTCTTCACAAGGGGATCGACAGCGGAAAGGCCAAGCAGAACGCGTTCAAAGGCGGAGTCTGGGAGTCTCTTCTGGGCTTCTGCTACCACGCCATCGACATAGCAGAAACTCTCAGAGAGGCTCTGGGCGCGGAGCACCTCCCGTTGTGCGTCCGAGCCGCGGAGGTGCTCGACCGACATAGCCTCAAGAGAATTGGTCGCATGGTGAACGAGATTGTTGACCGTGAATCATCTATCGACCAGCATCGTACCGTCGTAAACCGGGGCGTGAACCAAGACCTGGACCAGTTGAAAGATGTCTATGATGGGATGGAGGACATTCTCAACGAAAAGGCTCGCGACATCCAGCTGACGATCCCTCCACACCTCAACCTGGAATTGAACGTCACCTATCTGCCACATCTTGGCTTTCACCTCACCGTCCCACGGGATCCGGCCACAGGCCAGGGGGTCTATGCCGGGCAAGAATTGGCGTGGCAGCTGATGTTCACCACACCGGCCCAGATGTACTACAAGGACGCGACGATGCACGAAATGGACCACGAACTCGGCGACCTGTACTCTGCGATCTGCGACATGGAGGTCGAAATCGCCTACGACTTGGCACAGAACGTGCTCCGGGACGAAGATCTTCTCACGGCGGCATCTGACATCTGTGGTGAATTGGACTGTTCGTTGGCCTTTGCCCACGTCGCCCATCAATACCGTCTGAGTCGGCCCAAAATCACGCAGGACAACATCATCGAGATCAAGGAAGGGAGACATCTGCTCCAAGAGATGACGGTCCCGTCCTTTGTGGCGAACGACACCTTGATAGTTGGAGGAGATGGAGACGGAGACACTGATCCGACAGGACCCAGCATGATCTTTTTGACAGGCCCGAATTATTCGGGCAAATCGGTCTATCAGAAGCAGGTTGCCCTGGCAGTATACATGGCCCAGATGGGATCATTCCTCCCCGCCGACTCGGCCACCATTGGCATTACCGACAAGATCCTCACGCGCGTCACCGCCCGGGAGACCGTGTCCAAGGTCCAATCAGCCTTCATGATCGAGATGCAACAGATTGCCATGGCTTTGAATTCATGCACGCGACGGAGTTTGCTGGTGATTGACGAATTCGGGAAAGGTACCGACACCTTTGACGGGGCCGGGCTCGCTGCAGGAGTGGTCCATCACCTGCTTTCTCTGGGAGCTCAAGCCCCAAAGACGCTCGTTGCTACACATTTCCACGAAATATTCGAGCTGGGCCTCTTCCGCGAAGCGAGGAACCTCGCCTTTGCGCACATGGAGGTGCAGGTCGATGAAAGAGACAGCCCTTGTGCCGGCGAAGATAATAGTCAGGTTACCTATCTATTTAATCTTCGTCCGGGCCGTAGCGACCTGTCCTACGGTGTCCAGTGTGCCGCGATGAACGGTGTCCCAGCAGAGATTGTCGAGCGAGCAGTTGCGATAGCTCGTCTCGCGCAGCAAGGGGAGGATCTTGTGGCGACATGCTCGGCGTTGAAGGAGGATGAAGTTGAAGAGTTGAGGAGTGCGGAGCGGGCATCGCGGATGTTTCTGGGTGAGGATTATGATCGTGACTGGACGGAGGAGGAACTCTTGTCTTCCCTAAGCGCCATGCTGGAGATCGATACAGTTTCTGAAGAGACGACTATTATCTCGGAGTGAGCTCACACGGATCACAACTGGCATGTGTGGTAGCATTCATGCCCTTCTGTTTGCCCCAGTTTTTGCACTTTGCGATGAAATCTGGAGCCACAAAAATAATGATGATAGAGCCCAGCCAGTTCCAAAAAATGTCCATCACGTTCGAGCGAACGCTTCCGCTCATTCCACATCCTCTCATCAAGTGGCCCAGGAACATTGTGCTGATCATAAAGTCGCCTGCCCCCAGACGTCGAAGAACGATCTTGGCAATCTCCTCCGGCTGCTGCGGCTTGTCGTCCTTTTCGAGTTGCATCGTCAAACTGGGTTTGATCTTGTTCTCATTGTCCAGCCCTGGCGAGATGATGCCCATGGGAAACACGATGTGGACTTTCATGTCGGCGTCCGGCACAGGACCTGAGGACGGGTTCTGGCGAGATCCGTTATACACCTCGACCTCTTGGTTCAACGAATCGGCCAAGGCCCGCATGGCCGCTTTGCAGGGTGAATATGGGCTGTAGCCTGCCACAGGGAACAAGGCCAGAACAGAGGACGTGAATATCAGGTGTCGAGTCGGTCTCGGTCGAGATGCCGACTTGTTCTCATCACCCGAGGCCTTGGGGGATGGTGTCTTCCACATGTTGATGGCGGCATGGGCCATCCACGCGCTGCTCCAGTAGACCGTGTCCATCTGATCCTTCAGTTTATCCACAGGCGCATCCGCGAAGAATGACGGATAACAGTGCCCCGCGCAGCAGAAGATCAAGTCCGGCGCCTCCCCGTTATTCCACGTCTTGATTTCCTCCAAGATCTTTGGTGCCGACTCCGGAGCGCGGAGGTCAAAGGAGAGAGAGAGGAAGCGTTGGGACTGGGCGTTTTTGGCACGGCTCGCGAGGGTCGTAACGGCGGTCTCGAGTTTTGGGACGTTCTGCGCGACAATGACCACGTTGGCGCCCCGGGCGGAGAGTTCTTGCGCGAGGGCCAGTCCGAGACCTTGGGAGCCGCCGGTCACCACGGCCGTGAGCCCCTCGACGGGGAAGTGGTTTTTGGACGAGAAGAGCATTCTGGCCACGAGCAGCGTAGATAGTAGGACGATAACGGCGGAAACAGTGAGGGTCGGGGAGGTTCCTTGCGACCACCAGTCCGAAGACATCAGAGGGACTCGGTCTCCCTCACAGAGATTTCGAGCTTCGAATCACGAGTGCGGTGATAGAGGAGTGCTGGAAGCATGGAACCTGCGGCTGGCGGTGCTCATCGACCGTTTCTCCTTTACTCCAATTGCGTCTGGGGTTCTAGGGCAAACGCTAGGGAGTAACGGGAAAGAAAAAATGTTTAGGGGCCTCCAGGTACCGCTTAAAGCATATTTCGACTTCCCAAATCGTGTCTCTTTGTGCATCCCCTCGGTGAAGTAATGGCCGAGGTCGGTACATGGCCCTTCCGAATGTTTAACGACATCATCTTTTGTTTACCTCATCAACAAGACTTCTCTCGAGAAGCCTGAAGACAAATGATAGTGCCGGCTGGCAACCAGCTGGCACCCAGCCCGAACCAGCAAGCTGGCAGGGTGTGCTTAACGTCCAGATTTCGCCGGACGAAGATTATCAATGCGGTTTGATCATGAAAGCGTGGAGGAACGATCAGCCATTCTCATTGTATGGGATGTTTCCCCGTTTCGCTGGTTCTACACTAATCTCATAATCTAGTTCAAAAACCAACTACTACAAAGACTTACACGGTACTGGTATCCGCGGCTCTGCACCTATGACTCTTCCCCCATTACCGCCTTTACCGACCAATTGGCTGAAGGAGTATTTGAGCGAGAGCGCGCAAAATTGAGCTGGGCTGGGGGAGAGGGTGGCTTCTCGTTTCGTCTAAACATAACAGAGGAACAGTCAAGAGCTTTCTTTAGTACAAGAGTGTCAGTGAAATGTGCCTTGGACCATCGGCAGCGGTTTGCGATCTTGAGTTGTGTGATAACGAAAATGGGGTCAGGCCATAAAATGGTGGTTGATGTCGATGTAATCCAGCCGTGTTCGACCATGTCACATACAATCACCCACCTATTGATGTCAGCAAGCCTCTTTGATCCCAAAGAAAGATTGCAAGGCGCTTACACCAGTAACGGCATCCGGGTCCGCCGCCCGACATGTCATATCGAAAGCGACAAGCATCACGAATGTGCTTTGCAACATCACAAACTCTGAAGAATTTTGCCCGCGGGAAATCCCATTTTCGAATGGCCGAGGTACTGAGCAGATAAAGCTGTCGTGTCCACTCCAAAATGCCGTCGATGAAGCCAGGTTCGGCTCTCATGTTGATTTGAAATGATCCTTGACTGCCGACAAGAACGAGATATATGGACCAGTAATTGTCGCCAGTGGTCGGACCGGCAGGTTCTGAGGTGTGTACAACCACCCGTACAATCTCAACCTGCCGAGCATCAATCTCGAGGGTATCAGGCGACACGATGGTAGACATGGGGGTCATTACACATGGGACAAAGTTGTGGCCACCTGCTTATAATTTCTCAAATACCAGAGCACGAAAGTCGCCCATGCATTTGCCTTGGAAATTTCAGCAGCCAAAGAATGGAAGATTCTCGCGGCGATCGAACCGATCAGGTTGTACAAGCAGGGGCAAGCGGGGGACTTTGGTAGACCTCCTCGTAGGCAGGTATGCACCTATTGAGTTCCGAGGGATCTCTCACGTACCGTAGTCTCCGATGGCAACACCTTTACACCAAAGTATACATATTAGGTTTCCCCGGAGAGTGACCATTGATCTAAGAGGTGCGTATTCATCTCGGGGAGTAAGTGGTATCAGCTCTCGTCGCTTGAGGTTTGAAACATATACTCCCCTGCGCATAAAGTATCTTTACTGCTGGGGACTCCCAGTGGATTACCAGTAGGAATACTCGGTATGAGAGGCAGTCTAGACCCTCCTTGCATACTGGGTAAGAGTCTCGCAAATCTCATGGTGTTAAGTGCAATATAGAAGTGAGAAGAAGAGGCGAGTATTATTTAAAATTGGGTGGAGGTTCCAGGTGCGGCTTGGCGGATCTACGTCACCGCAGTTTTTGGCCGCCAAGGCTGCGTCTTCAAAAAAAAGTTTCAATCTGCAAGTGTCGGCCATAGCATTTGGGTGAGCAGCAGGAACATATTACATACGGATACTGATGCGCGGAAGGGAAGACCCCCCTTGCGTACTCCTTCAAGATGGCCAAAAAAAGAAAGGCTGCACGCACGGTGCAAACCTCCGCCCCACGGGGACAAAATGATCGCTATGGCGCCGAAGAAACCTTTGACGACTCGGAAGACGAGTTTTTCGCGGAGAGAGACAAGGTGCTGCTCGATGAGGCACCTGCTGCGAAGAGGAGGAGGAAGCTACAAGACCAAGAGCGCGATCTGGAGCCGTCGGACGAGGAGGTCTACCAGGACCCGGCGAGTGAAGATGAGTCCGAAGATGATGACGAGGGAAGTACTGGCCAGGCTGAAGATGATGGAGAGGAAGAAGAAGGAGATGATGGCAACTGGGGAACATCCAAGGCCGACTATTACAATGCTGATGTGATCGAGACCGAAGCCGATGCGTTGGAAGAAGAACAAGAGGCTAGGAGGCTGCAGCTGAAACAACTCAAGGCCATGACAGAGGCAGATTTTGGGTTCGACGAGAGTGCTTGGATCGGCGACAACAAGCAGTCTCAGGAGAAACGGGCAGCGGTGGAGAAACTGCCCGAACTCCAGATCCCTGAGGATGCGAACGTCGACCAACGGATTAAAATCCTGAAATCGAGATACCCAGAGTTCGAGCCGCTGACGGAAGACTTTCTCTCCTTACAAGACACATACCGGTCACTGAAGAAGGAAGCCGAGATCGAAGGACAACACGATGGCGGTGTCACGCTGACAAAATTTCGAGCCGTGTCTGCATACCTCGGGGCAGTGGCCATGTATCTTGCTCTACTGACTTCCACCAAGACAGGCATGGCGCTGGCCCCGGCAGAGCTCCGAGACCATCCCGTGATGTCGAACCTTGTCCGCTGTCGCCAGCTGTGGCAGGAAGCTGAATCCCTGCAGCCAATAGAACCCGTTGGAAAACCAGAGTTGGAACCACCAGCCGTTGTGTCACAGGATGTACCTAGGGAGATTTCGCGACAACCTGTGAAAAAGAAGTCCAAGACAAAGACAAAGCAGGCGTCTCTGGAGCCACCCTCCGCCCCCGAGATTCAAGAGACGCGCATCAAGTCGAAAAGGGACAAGAAACCAAAGAGAAGTGAATTACAAGAACTACTATCGTCGTCAATGCGGAAATCGACGAATGAAGAAGAATCCGACTTTGGAGACGAGAATCCCCTGACTCAAGAGGAGGCAGCGGAGAAGGCTCGACGCAAGAAGTCTTTGAGGTTCTACACCTCGCAGATTGTGCAGAAAGCCAATAAACGAGGCGCGGCGTCGCGACAGGCCGGAGGTGACGACGATCTGCCTTACAAAGAGCGTCTCCGAGATAAACAGGAACGGCTGATGCGCGAGGCCGAGCAGAGAGGCCGAGCAACCGCGGACGAGCGGGAGGTTCTTGATGGTCAGGACCATGATGACGACGATGGTAGTGACGTCGAAGTCGGCCGGAAAATCAACGACGAGGCCAACGAGTACTACGACATGCTGGTCACCAACGCGCAGCAGAAGAAAGCCGCCAAGCGCGCCCGAGCAGAGGCCTACGCCGAAGCGGCCCGACTCGGCGGCCAGGTGCGCGAGGAGGCCGAAGAGGTGGTTGGGCCGGACGGCAAGCGCAAGATCACGTACGCGATCGAGAAGAACAAGGGGTTGGCGCCCAAGCGGAAGAAGGAGGTGCGCAACCCGCGCGTCAAGAAGCGCAAGAAGTTTGACGAGAAGATGAAGAAGCTGGCGTCCGTTCGGCAAGTGTATAAAGGTGGCGAAGGACGTGGTGGCTACGGCGGCGAGGCCACGGGCATCAAGGCCAACTTGGTCAAGAGCATTAAATTGTGAGGAGCTGACGTGGCGTGGCGTGGCATGGCATGACATGCATGGGCGAGGTCATGGCCTTATATAGGAACCTAGTGGGCTGGACAGTCTGTGTAGCAAAGACACTGTACATCTCTCCCAACCCCCTGTACATGTGCATGCCCGTGTGCGCGCGCGTGTGTAGTGTGTTATCCACTGCTCTTTCTTTTCCCCCTTTAGGATTCCTTCCAAAAGCGGTGGTGTTCTCCAACGTCCCTCTCGGCACGAGGCATGGAAACTATGTATTTGCCTACGAGGCACACGCACCCCCCTCGCTCGTCCGCCTTCGATACGATAGATACGATAAATGTCTAGAAGTGCAGAACTGAGCTCTGAGTTCTGAGTTCTGCGTTCTCAGAAGTATCCCAGCGAATGATGAAGAAGAAAAGGGGGATTTCAAATGATGGCGTGCTCTGTATGTATGGGTGGCTATGCTTTTTTTTTTAAGGCCAGAGGTATGATTTTGTCTGGTCTACCCGATGTACGAGGTACATATCTACACCTATCCGCTTGCTTCTATTGTACCTGCGATCGAGAGATCAACAGGGGACACGACACGACACGACACGACTGGATCTGACATACGACCTCTGCTTGTTTCTTTGGTGTTTGGCAGAGATTGCAGTCAGTGTATATCTTATTTTGTCTTGTCATGTCATGTCCATGTCATGTCTTGGTCTCCCTCAGCCCTCCCCACACCCTTTTATTCCCCTGTTTCTAGGTCGGGTTCCTCTCTAAATCCCCAGAGCCTGTCGGCGCGAGACCGAGTTGGGGTCAAAGTAGGGCCGCTCGCCGAGGGAGACGACGCGATTGCCCTGGCGCTTGCCCTCGTAGTCGTTTGTGGCGGTGTGGAAGACGGAGCGGTTGTCCCAGACGGCCAGGTCGTTCTCGTTCCAGCGGAAGCGCACCTGCAGGTCGTGGTTGTCGGTGATGAGCTGCAGGAAGTAGGCCTTGAGGATCTCGCTCTCGCGCGGCGTCACCTTGTCGATCCACCCATGCTCGATCTGGTGGCCCGCACCGAATAGGCTCTTCCATCCTGTCACGGGGTTGGTGCGCACCACGGGGCTGTGGACAAGTTTAGCCCTAAGGGGACATACAATGGTGATTGTGATGGGGGATGAGGAACTTACTGGGACGCGGTAAAGTCGAGACCCGTGTTCTCGGGCGCGCCACGGTCCTGCTCAATCAGGTCCTCGCCAAACTCCTTTGCCACCTTGACAAAGTTGGGCTGGTGGTGCGTCGCCGTCAACCCTTCGGCCAGCTTCTGGAACTCGGGCGACAAGCGGTCGTACGCCTCATAGCCCGACGCCCACAGCGTGTCGCCGCCGGCGTCTTCGGGCTTCTTGATGATCTTGAGGATGGCGTAGTCCGATGGAATGCGCTCAAAGGTGATGCTATGGACGGGTTAATCATGGAACTTTTCCCCCAAGAGAGCACCTCAAGGACGGTGTAGACATACTCGGCATGCCATCCTTCGCTGGCGAGCACCTTGGACTTGGCGGTGAAGCGGTCCTTGTAAAACTTGCGGTTTTGCTCGGAAGAAATGACCGAGACTTCGTCGTCCAGTTTGCCATTCTCGTCCACGGCGATGCCACGCTTGCTGTTGCTCAGAGCATGACGATGGAGCTGTTATTGTCGGCCGTTAGCTCAAGGTATAGATTTCACCGACGAGGTTTATTGTGCAGGTCGGCAATAACGCCGTCGTTGTCATTCATACCTTGGATGTCTCCGGCTTTCCCGTCAGCTCTCCGAGTTTCTGGCCCAAGACCTTCTGATCGTCGATGTTGAGGTCCTGGTTGCGGAAGAAGACGACACCACGTTGAGACACTGCGGCCAGGGCCATTAGTATGTACTGGCTCAGTGGGGGGAGCTCTCGGGGAACAAACCTAGGATGGCCAAGTCACGGATCTTTGTGTCGTCGTTCAAGATCTGGCTGAGTTGCAAGTCTGGGAACTCCCTGCCAATGACCTTTGTGACATCGAACGATTTGTATTGGTCCAACGAGCCCGAGTACTTGAGCGGCTCCTTGAGCTTGCTTTGGGCGTTGACTTTGGTGACTGGGATGGGCCCAGAACTCGTGTGCGTGAAGAGATCAACGTCAGCTGCTGGAGGTGCCATGTTTGCAGGGTGTCAGGTCGACAAGAAAGATGATCTTCTATACACGGTATGTCTCTTTCAGGTGGTCTTTCCTTCTTTCCCGGTCAGGAAGGATGTTCAGGGATAAGGACTTGAGGATTGGGAAGTAGAGAACAGGGATCCTAGAAGGAGGAAATACCCTGCCCTCATATACACGAGAACCCAGGCCCAGATAACGAACTCTTCTCACAGAACTTCTCCCTGTAGAGCCCTTGAGCGTGCCGATATGCCGTCTGAGCCGCGTCCCTCTTTCATCCTCGCGTCAGGCCTTTCCAAGGAGTAAGTGATTGGGTGAAGGACGAATAATGCGATATGCTCTCGATATTGTGAAATTTGCTGCTTATCGTCCCCAAGTCCACAAACGAACCGAACATACCGGGATTGGGGGACGACGCAGACGAATGGCATGTGTTCATCGGGAAATGGTCACCACAAATCCATATCGTGTCGATATTCGGTTCTCTTCTCACGTTTTTTTTTCTCGCCCAGATACACCAACACGGTAGCGTTAAAGCCTCCAGTCTCGCACGAGAAGGGGCCGGACTGGAACTGGGGCCGGGCTGGGCTGGGCTGGGCCCCCCTCCGCCCTCCTCTCCGAACAACACATCAAGCGAGCCGGTATCCGGTGTCCAGTAGAGAGGAAGGGAAAGGAACATTTCACATCATTTTGGATATCCATGGCGCGATAGCACGAACCGTTAAACCGGACTGTTGTGAATCCTGGGGGGTCCAGTATTGGCCAGGCATCTCGTCAGCTGGGCAGTGTATTGCACCACCAAGAGGGGGAATTGACGAAAAAGACAGAATATCTCCTCAGAATGGCGCCATGGGACGAGATCTGGAGAGGGGTTTCGAGCGGGCTTTGGGCGGTTGGGGCGCGGGAAGCATGTGCTGTGCCAAACTTGAATTATGGTGCCATTCTCTTCACATCGCATCGCAGGAGGAGCAGGCGGAGGCGGAGGAGGAGGAGGGATAGGCGGGGCGAAATCATGTGGATTGTGGAAAGAAGAGGAGAGAACGCTGAGAGGTTCAGTTCATGCAGGGTTGTCGGTTGATAGTTTGATAGTTTCGATAGTGACGGCGCTTGGTTTTCTTGGTCTGTGGTTCGCCATCGACGAATCATGGTTGGCGCTTTCATCTGTCTCCCTCATCATAGGCCTTACATTGCAGATGTCGTGGGATTATAGTGTATTGCGTATGAAATGACAACCAGACGGCAAGAAGAGAAGAGGTTGAAGAGGGAAGTGAGTGGTCCAGATACCTGCACAACCGTCACATTCTATTCGTCTACTCTCCCTTATCAACGAGTCTACATGGCTCTAAACACATTGCAGCAAAACCACTCGTGTACGTCCAACACGGGCTAACCTCAATCATCGATCTCGGTCCACAGATTCTGCAGCTCTTCCATCCCTCTATGTATCCGCACGCCAATGCTAATCCGTCGTCGTGCCTGTCAGCGTTCTTCTGCTCTCAGCTAGCAAAGCGGAAGTCCAAACGCTTGTTGCCCTTGTCAGTGGTCGTGGCAAGATATTCAGCACGCTGCTCTTCCGTCATGGCATTCCAGATCCGGTCCCGGCGCTTGTTGCGTACGACGTAGTAGACTTTTGCAAAAACATAGATGCCTATGTTCACCGCGCAGAGCGAGACAAGGACTCGATTTCCGCGTCGATAGCGTGGTCGATCATCTGGGAAGGTGAGCGGTCAGCATTTAGAATCACAGAAGCCTCAGGTGGGAATCTCGAGACTCACCTTCCCGGTAGATATTGCTGGCAATGATGCCAGAGGTCTGGCATCCCATGTTGTACAGCGCGGCACTCACGGTCCGGCTTCGAACCGAGTTGGAATTCCTCGAGTTCCATCCGACCTGGATGGCATGCGTGCTAGGATACGCAAGGAGGACAGTCATGATACCGAAGGCCGTCCACCTATTGATCGAGTTGATGTCGATCGCGTAGATGTAGGACAGGAAGGGGAGGGCCCATACTTGCGCGAGCAGGCCAAAGATCCACAGCTGGCCCACGATTTCTGCAAGGTAGGTGAAGAGGAGCATTGTCAAGATGTGTCCGACGACAGAAGGGACCACCAGCAAGTTCGTCTTGATGGTGCCGAATCCCAACTGTTTGAGTGATAGGGTCAAGTATTGAGTAGGTGTCGCTGACTTGTTAGTAACAGGTTCTGATCGACAACGAAGGGAACTTACTCATCGGAGTTTGGAAGGTCAACCCAATCAAATACAGAGGCCATAGATCATAATCTGTCAAACTGTGCCAAAGCAGCTTCGGGGTGATGGGCTGTCTGTTGTGCATTGTACTCTTGCTGGGATCTTCTCTGATGATCCTATTGACCATGATGGTCTCCTCGCTATCGTCCCATCAGCTTAGGACTTCTCGGTTAGTTGGTTCAGTACTCACCGTTCTGTAAACCACCCCTTCTTCCCTCTTGACCAGTTGGCAGTTTGACAAGGGCCAGGCGGCATCAACATGAATGCAACCAATCCAAGAACAAGAGTCAGAAGACCCTTTGATTTCGTTAGCACAAGCCGCATGTTATGTCTGTGGGGTATTGTTACCTCGATCAAGAAAAGCCATCGCCACCCGGCGTAGCCAAGGTGCCCTCGCATGCGAAGCAAGCCTGCCCCTAAGAAACTGGCAATGATATCGGCTATCGACATGGCCGTCCACCAGAAGCCGAGTCTGAGAGAAAGTTCACCATGCTTGTAGAAGTATGAGAGGTATAGGATCATCTGGATAAAACATCAGCTTCTGTTTCTTAGAGACGAAATTGACAGGCGTCTTGACATACATCGGGGATAAAACCACCCTGCAGAAGGGCAAGCAGGGCCCTGCAAGTGAGAAAACTGGCTCGACCAGAAAGCCAGAACTGTGAGCCGGCGACAAGAGACCAAAGCACCATCTGGGTAGGAATCCAGCGATCGGGGCCCATCCACTTGGAAACCAGTTGAGACGGGAGCTCGGCGCAAAGGAAGCTGAGTTTGAAGACGGTGTTTCCCCAGTTGTAGTCTGTATGCTATCAGCCAAGGTCTTCATTGCCCAGGAAAGTGGCTGGGCATCACGAACCATTTGTGTCCATTCCAAGGTCACCAAGGAAGTTGTCCGTGACGGCTTGGGTCAGGTTTGAACGGTCCAGCTCCAAGGACATGAACATGACGCAGGCAAAGATCATGATTTTGAAGTCGATTTTTCGTATCAGGGAGTATTCCTCGCGCCATGTCCATCTCGCCGAAGGATCAAATCGTCGGAGATTCTCCCAATCGTCGCGAGGCTGATAGTGTTTGGCCGTTTCAGGGTCATCGAACACGGATGGGAGGGTCGCGATGGCATCAGGGTTGTACCCACGGCCTCTCTGCCACCAGAATTTCTTCTCGTTGGCAGGCACCCCCAGCTCGAGAGTACCGACTGGGGTGGAGGGGATGCTTTCCTTTGAATCAGAGGGGCTCCCATTGAGAACTCGGTTTACCACGATGGTTTCCTCCTTTTCATTCAGGACCGGTCGAACGAAAACGGTCGCCATGTTTCGGAAATTGGATCTGTTGATGTCTCTATTGGTTTCACACCCATGATAGCAGAGACGCCAGGGGTATTTAAACACATCGGGATATGATCTATCAGCAGCAATCCCTTGCCAGGCTTGTAGATAGCTTGTTCGATAGGACCGCTCTTGGCCGTATTGCGACATCCACGCCGTACATATTGCAATACTCGCGGATCAAGCAGTTTAGCACGACATCTTCGCGGATCATTTCGTGATGCAGAACAGATGGCAGGTCTTCACACCAGTAGGATTTGGCATGTTGTTAATCTAGGACCTAGCCTTTTAGCTTGGAAGAGCGTTGCAAACCTTCAGGGGTGATCTGGAACGATAGCGGTCCCGTGTAGTCGCAGGACGACACATGCATGCTAACGGCATGCTCTTGCGTCTCCAAAGCCACGGGCCTGGCCATCTCTGAGATGGTCCATCCGATCCGAGGAGGCCAATGCCGAGCAAACAGGCTATTTCTTAGGATTCTTGACCATCCTGAGTAACAGGAAATGCTCAGAACGAAACGACAGTGGAGGCAAATCACCTTTCCGGCGTCAAGATGACGCCATCAGCAGCCTTCATGGGTTTGCATACAAGAGTTCGGAGGGTCGAAGCGAAGAGGTTTGACAACAGTCTAGAGGCGACAAGAGGCGATGAAATCCTTGCTCGATCAAGTTCCCGGGAAGCAAATGGCGAACAAGATCCCGGAAAGAAAGAGAAGAGCAAGCAAAAGGCAAGCTTGGGATGGCATATAATGCCAAGACTTTGGATGAATACCACGTGATATCACAAGGAGATTGATCTGTTCGGGCGGGATGCTCCTCCATTGTTCTGGCTTTTACTCGAATACGTTGGCTAGTCTGGCTGGTTCTCTGCCTCTCTCGGTTGTATGAAATGTCCCGCTGGACTCCCATCAGTCACACAGATACCAGGTGCCTTCTCATCCCTTCCGTAAGGTGGAAGGTAGGGACGATGGAGACTGCTGTTGCCCCTTACGTCTCGGCAAGGAGATCAGGGAGGCAATCCTGGGTCTAGATGTCGTTATGGAAGGTCGGTGGCTTTTGCCACGCGCTGTTCCTCCACTGGATGCCCTTGAACCGGAGCATGACCATTGGGACCAGGAAAACGATGTGGATCATGGCAAAGGTCAGCCATGCGTACTGATACTCGATCTGCTCGCCTAGTGGGATCCTGTTTCGATAATTCAAGATGGGGTTAGCCCAAAAAACTCAATGCCATCCGGATTTCATCGGGCCCGGGAGCGAGAGAGGCTGGGATACTCACGCATAAAAGGAGATGGTCATGGAGAAGACATTGCGAAACACGTTGAGGAGGCTGGATATCTCGGAACTCTGCGGCTTGTAACACTATTGCGAGTCAGCGCCAATTGACACATAAATGTAGCATAGGCGAGGGGTGGGCCGCATACATCTGTGCAGTAACTGTAGGTGACTGTAGTCGCGATTTGGAGGCCAAAGTTCGCAATGCCCATGCCGAATGCTGCACCCACCCAAGGGACGGTTTTGTAGTGCGTCAGACAGATGCCATCAATGATGATTCCAATCGGGCACAAGACTGCCAATACCACCGCATTGATACGGGGCTCTGGCTCCCGTCGCCCTCCGTGATGTTTGGCGTAGCGATAAACCATGTAGTCAGTGAGCCACCCAGCACTCATTTCGCCCAGCAAACAGCCGATAAGGAGCGGAATGCTGAGCAGCATGCCAGTCTGCGCAACGTCGAAGTGATATACTGTCCGAAACAGGCTTGATCCGGTCGCTGCGAACAACACCGAGCCAAAACCAAATGCGGTCATGTAGTAAAAACCGGGAATCACGATGGAGAGATACTTCAACATGTAAAACGGCCTCAGGAAATCTCCAAACCGGAGTTTGCGGTCCTGCAAGCCGGAATGTCTGAAGAGCAACAGATCCACAAAAGAACGTTCAGGTCGGTTAATCGAGGTCGACCGGCGAGAATAGATTGTTTCTGGTAGGAAAAACAGTGTAAAGACGAAAGTGCCGAGCTGGATATAGCCCTATAGGAGAACCTCCCGGTTAGCAAAACAGCCCCAGGTGGTTGGCATCTCGATCAACTCACGGGGATCAAAAAGCACCATCTCCAGCCTAGACTCTGGGCAATGAAGCCACCGAACAAGGACGCAGCATGAGGCCCATTGGTGAGAAGAAACGTGAAGATACCCATGTAAAAGCCACGTTCATGCAGGAAGTACATGTCGCAAACCGTCGCTGCTCCTATGGCACCTGGAGAACCAGCACCAATGCCATTGAACACGCGAGTCACCATGATCCCAGCCCAGGTGTTGCAGTAGCCCGCAGCGATGTTGGTGACGGCGGCCAGGAGGTTGCCAAGAATGTAAACAGGTCTTCGGCCATAGACATTGGCTAGTGGCACGGTGAATATGGGCCCTACTCCCGCGGCGACAATGTACACGGTAAGTTCGTACGAGGCTTCGACTATAGTGATGTTGAATTGCTTGCTCAGTGGCACGAAAGCCGGGTTGACAATTGCGCCAGCCATAGGTCCGAGGAAAGCGAGGAAACTGACTTGTAACAGGACGAATAATTTGAGCATCGGTGACCAATTCTGGAGCCAGTCAGTACATGTTCTGCTCACGCCGAAACCCTCGTCAGCGCCTCACGTACAAGAGGATCATCTTTGCGATCTGTTGGTTGCGGTATCAGAGGAAGACCGCGTTTGTCGAGCTTCTGGCCTGCTGTTTCTTCTCTCTCGTCCACTTCAACCCTTTTAGCCTCGTCAATGTCGACAGCGGCTCCTTCAGACGACCATTTGTCCTGCTCCATATTCATAACCTCCGCCTTGTTTGAGAGAGAACCCAATTCGTTATATAAGGGCCGTCTGCAACAAGTGCATGCGAATGAAACAGCAAGAACGGCGTCAATTTCAACTGTCGACTGAGCCAGGAATGTGGTTCAGTAAGAAGGCAAATCATAACCTGCTGCCCTTCCCTGCCCATGGCGAAGATATGAACCCTGGAACCCAACGCAGGATTTGCACCTGCCTAGGCAAGTAAAGAACGTGGGGATCTGTGTGCTCGGTAGTTGCATGAATCCTGACCGTGACATGGGAGACACGTGTGGGGAAGTGGGTTGGTTTCCAGACCTCCTGACCTGGTACGCTGGTTGCCATGTATCGCAACCGCCTCATTCGGCACGTTGGAATGGGAACATGGGGCTCGTCGAGGACAACATCATTGCAGACGGTCCATGACCGTCTTGGCCTGCATGGGGCTGTTGTGAGGGCAACCAATTTGAGGTCCAGAGTGACTGTGGATGACTTGTCTCGGGGAGATAATGATGTGTATCCCACGCACGACTGATACTCAATCTGCACAAGCTTTTCTCCACAAGCCTCCAAAACTCTTGTCCATTGGAGGCTCTTTTCTCCGCTCACACCCCAGAATTCAGTGACCGTGGAGCGGCGGGGACCACTGGGGACTTTCTTAGACTCCATCCTGCTGGGTGCTGGCAAGGGTGAGGAGGCAGCGAGGGTAAGTGGCGGGATTATATTTGGAGATGCGCGCCCATGCCTTGTCGAAAACGTGCCAGAAGGCCTGTACTCGTGGAAAACCTGACAAGTCTTGCTCGCAAACGAAACGCATTATCCAATCATAGATAATACGGGTAGATAGCCCAGACAACTTTGTCCCCGGTCCGGCTTCTTACCGAAAATGCCCTCAGCAATAGATCGCCCCCCGCTAAGGGTAGCCATAATAGGTGGCGGTATTGGCGGGCTCTGCACTGCCCTCTCCCTTCATTACCACTGTGGCTCGCACGTCGATATCGAGGTCTACGAGCAAGCTCCGCAATACAAGGAGATAGGTGCCGGTGTCGGTATCGGCGTCAATGCTGCCAAGCTATTGCATAAGATAGGTATCGGGGAGAGTGTGGCGAAGATTTCAGGGAAACGGAGTGGCATCTGGATCACCTTTCGCAAATTCGATGACGGCTCGGATGTGGTGACAGTACCATCCGTAGACACGGATGAGATCAAGCAGCTCCCCGTGCATCGTGCCGAGTTTCTGGACCTGCTGGTCGAGATTGTAAGACAGAAGAATGCGGCGAAGCTGCATACCAACAAACGGTGTCGGAGACTTACGGTATGTTCCCAATAACACGACCTTGGACTCGACAAACTGACAGACAAACAGGAGCAAGGAGACGAGGTACTGATCGGGTTCGAGGATGGGACGACTGCCACAGCCAACTTGGTTGTCGGTTGCGACGGCATACATTCGGCCGTCAGGGCCCAATTCACCAGCGACAACCCCGAGTACAGTGGCAGGATCGCATACCGTGGCCTGGTACCCATCTCCCAGATTGAGGACTGGTGGGGGTTCGAAACGTATTCCGTGACATGGCTGGGGAAGAACAGGCACTTTCTCTGCTTCCCAATATCCCTCAACAAGACGCTCAACATTGTCGCGTTTGTGGCCGAAAAGGAAGAGAACTTGGGCGATCTTCGGGAAAGTTGGACGGCGGTGGGCAAGAAAGAGGAGGTCTTTGAGGCATTCAAGGGGTTTGAGGAACGAGTCCAGAAGGTCATCCAATTGATGCCAGAGCAGCCGTCCAAATGGCTGATAAATGACCGCAAGCCGCTGGATCAATGGGTGTATCTCCGAGGCAAGGTTGTTTTACTAGGAGACGCTGCGCATGCTATGACTCCTCACCAAGGTCAGTATTGTCTGGTGAAATAGATATGGATAGCTCATACTGACAAGTGGTAAAGGTGCGGGCGCAGGCCAGGCCATTGAAGACGGATATATTCTCGGTCGAGTCCTCCAGGACTACTTTCGATCTTCTTCCCCCGCGAATAACAACCTCGAGGCCTGGGCCAGTGTATATCAGGATGTGAGGCTCCCGCGAGCACAAAAGGTTCAACGCACATCCAGGGATGCTGTCGAAGTCTATCAGGCGCAGGCGGATATAATGAAGGATCTTCCATTCGACCAATGCGTGCCCGAGATTCACAAGCGTGTGATCGACCGAATGCGGTGGGTTTGGACAGATGATATTGATGCTGAATATGATCGGGCGGTGAAGAACAGGAAGCAGTTGGGTAAACTGTAGCGTATAGACGAGTTGTTTGAGCGACGTTCTCGGAGCCTCTGTTTGGAGGTGGCTCTTTATCAGCACTACGCGACTTTTCTGAGCTGTGATTCGAGAGCCCAAGAAGACCGAGAAGTCACTTACCTTGTGCCGTTACACGGGGCTTTCAGCTGAAGGGGAAAAGAACAGTGTTGATAAGCAATAGATTATACCTGGTTTCTTCCATAATCGCCCACGTTATAGTCATTCATTCGTAACAGAGTCCAATCCTCCCAAATGTTCATACATAGCTGAATATTCTAGCTCGGATTGATTGCGTCCAAGCCCAATCGACTTTTTCTCTATGAGTCTTCTTCTTCTGCACCACACGGCGCGACATGGATCTGCCAGTATTTTCGGATCTCCTTGGGCAAAGGTGCCGAAGCCGTGCTGTTCTTGTCTTCCATATTATACTCTGGGTGCGTAACGCATTGGGACAAGATCCCTCTCTTTGTCCCTGTACTTTGGTACCGGAGAAACTTCTCTGACACCTTGACATATTGATTGACACCTTCGTGCGCGTCGATCGTGGAGCCCGTGGTCCACCGGAGCAGCCATGGCTCAATCAGTGGCGCGTCCGTGACTGACGGATGGGATGTACCCACTGCAAAAGAGGTCAGTGGCTCGCGTAATCCAGATTGTACGGGTCAATCGCCTACAGGATGTAAGAAACCATGCATCCTTCCCTCTTCTTAAAACACCCTGGACAACATCCTTGACAACGTCGAAATGAGGTCTGCCAAAAAAGATAGAATAGCTTTTAGACCATGAATTTGAATGGAGAATTAGAGTCGGCACCTGGACATCGTGGTTGAGAGGTCCGCTCTGCTTTCCACTGCTGGCGGTCAGGCATTGCAATGGAAATGTACACAGGTGACTTACGGATCAAGAGCAACAGCACCTTGAAATGGGAGAAGCTTGGAAGGGCCTTGCTTTAGTGTTTGGAGCTAGGACATGTTAGCCAAAGGAAAATGCTTCAGTGATTTTGCATCAACTCACGGCTAAAGTAGCTCCGAATGAATGTCCTCCCATTGTTGTGTTGTTTAAGGCCAGTCGCCCTTCCCACTGATGTAGATATTGGCCTTCGGATCGGGAGTTTGACACGAAGACCTCTTCGCCACCACCCACGTTGATATGCTCTAGTGTTCGAATAGTTTCCTCGACCTCGGCTTGCCGGAAATCGAGCTGGGCCTGTTTGAATGTGTCACTGTCCAACTGAGAGTCGCTCCTATTTCCAGTCAGATATTGCTAGGACTCTCGCAGCAGATAGACCTACTTCAAGTGGCGGACGTCGAAATGATGCAAAATCCGTGGTTTGGAGCCGTGCTTCATGATCATAGTGCCCGGTCCACTGCCATCCCGGTGTTCAATGGCAGCTACAATAATTCCACGGCTTGCAAGCTCCCCGACATACTGAGTGTACTGGGTCCGAGAACTAGCCATCCCGTGCGAGAAGACCATGACCGGAAAGCCATCTTCGTGCGTGATAGGATAGTCTTCGAAATCTGGCAGCTGGAGTTGCACCACCGGAGATTGATGTAGAGGAACATCGACGTGCGCTGGGATTCTGGTGTTTCCTACTAATGCCCACAGTCCAAGCGTGAGCAATGCATTAGTGACAAAGTTGCTGATGCGGGCGACTCGAGCATATCCCTTGCCCGTCACCCTGAGCGGCTTTGGAACCCAAAAATGCTGCGGTTTGGTTGGGACTGCGTCCTTGTCGGAGGGATAATAGAGAGTGAACAAGACAGTTTCCAACTGCGCTCGATGGTCAGAGCCTGCAACGAACCACGTCGCACTTGGGTGTTGCTCACCTGGAAAGCCGGGTGGCCACCGTCTTTGAATGTCGCATTATGGATGGATCGAGTCTCGACAGGGAGCTCGACATCGATTGCGCCCACAGAGTAAGGACCAGTGTATGGTGGTAGCTTCGATGACAAAGCTGGGGCGGAGAAAACAGTGCAGTAGGCGACATAGGTGGCGACACAGCAGCAAAGAACGTATCTCCATGTCCAGCGTGGCCACACGACAGGCTTCACGCGCATCCAGAGCCTTTCCCACACCATCGACCCCATGATTGCGATATAGCGAAAGAGTATGCAAGTTGCGTTGACTACATGTGACGTGAATGAGATGAAGATATTTTGATATATCACGCAGATCTGAAGCCAAGAAAGTTGCAAGTGGCGCAGTCAGCTCGCAGGCTGCTCCTCTTTGGGTCTTGGGGGGTCACCAGGCCCGCCGGGAAACCAAAAGCGAGAGAGCGTTAGGTGCCGCCGTGCCCCGGAGCCAGTAACAAGTAGAGTAGGGCACGCCCCCGTCTTGGCACCAAGAACAAAAGCATTTGGCGGTGACGACATCGTCTCTACCAAGTACAAAGTCCTTCCTTGGTACTTAGACTGTGTCCTCGTTGGATATCAACAGCAAAACAACGAGAACCCGAAGCATGTGCTAAATTTCACAAATTCCTCGACATGCAAATCAGGCTACCCTATTTTCGAACATCTGACTGGTAAGTAGATCTGACTGCCACTCTGCATACTTGAAGAGCCGTTCAGATAAAGGGAAATGTGCTTTGGACCTGCCACAATCTCACCTTCCGAACTGCTACCCACTAAAACACTTGCTCCTATGTGACGAGAGCGAAGCACAATGTTGGATGAGAGGTCTACATACACCTCAGATCATTCATCAAATATGGGCTTGCAAGAAATGAAGCATGGAGAGTGCGCTGGTGCGGCCAGAAAATTAGCCGAAGGCTGCTGGTCAGCCTGTGCAATTGACTGCGGAAAAATAGGTTCAAGGCCGTTTCACTCTCTCTACGAGGGCGGTTGATCTCGAGCCGTTCTTCACCATACTTCGATCAGAGACTGCAGAGTTGTAGAAGACCCGTTGACAAGTGTCGGGCTGGATATTGCTTCGAAGAAACCGCCTTTTCACATAGCAATGCTGATCATATCCGATGGGAGCTGCGCAGTCTCTGTCGCGTAAACTCTACACCGCAATCACCTGTATGGCCTCGACGGCATCCATTCTGAACGGCCACGCGGATTGACCATACACCCCATGGGGAGGATCCTGGGGCTTCTTCGTTCCACGGCTCCACCTGTGAGATATAAGAAGTCTTTTTGTACAAATTCGTCCACACATGTTACAGACTTCCAATCGCCCTAACGAGAGACTTCGTAACTGGAAGCTGAGACTGAACAATTCTCTCATTTACCATGCATTCTAAGGTTATTGAGACGTCCTTGGGCGTGGAAAAAGCTCATGATGAGTTGGTCGACGACGAGATTGCGCTTGAAAAGCTCTCGATGTCAAAACCGTACGATTACTCTGGAGCGACAAGCAAGACCGATCCGGCAGAGATTGCCCTTGTGAGGAAGCTCGACTGTCGCATCATGCCGATGATCTGGGCGATGTATTTCTTGAACTATGTGAGTTAGACTCTGATGCAGTGTACTGTCAGCTCACAAGATGCGAAGTTGGACAAAAATGCGATTGCCTCAGCACGTCTTAACGGCTTAGAGGACGATATCGGCCTCACAGGTTCCCAGTACAACACCTGTATATCGATTCTCTTCGTTGGGTAAAAAGGAGATACTTGAGCTTTAATGGTCAATAACCGCTGATAGGATCACAGATACCTGTTGATGCAGCTGCCATCGAACATGCTCATGGCATCCAAAAGGATCCGTCCATCAATCTACATGGGCTTCTGCATGGCCCTGTGGGCAGTATGCTCAGCATGTACTGCTTTGGTTCAGAATTATCATGGACTCGTAATCGCTCGGTTCTTTCTGGGAGTCGCTGAAGCGCCTTGTGAGATCTCACCGGTTCTCTGAAAAGCATCGCTAACCTTTGCAGTTTATCCTGGTGCACTATTCCTCCTATCCATCTTCTATACTAGAAAAGAAATTGCTACTCGTATTGCAATCTTGTATACCGCGAACATTCTCTCTACTGCATTCTCCGGATTGATTGCGGCCGCCATATTTTCTACGATTGACGGAGCGCATGGGATAGAAGGCTGGAGATGGTGAGGGATTTAATCTAGTCCTCCTTGCATTCGCTAACTCGAGCACCAGGCTGTTTATCATTGAAGGAGTCGTCACATTCGGGATTGCCATACTATCCATGTGGGCGTTACCAGACCATCCATCGTCCACACGCTGGCTTTCGGAGCAAGAGATGGCAATAGCTCAAGAGAGAATTACCAGGGACACAGTGGAGAAGACGGAATCTGAAAGTGCTCTGCAGAGCCTCAAAGTCGCATTCTCCGACCCTCGTCTCTATCTTTTGGCCTTGATGCAAAATCTACATCTTTCTTCTGCCGGATTCAACAACTTCTTCCCCACGGTAGTGGGCACCCTCGGGTTCAACCGCACCGTCACGTTGGTCCTGACATGTCCGCCATTTGTATTTGCCGCAATCTTTGGGCCCCTTCTTGCGCTCAGCTCTGGAAGATTCAATGAGCGGACGTGGCACATTACCGGTGGAATGGCTATGGGAGTGGCGGGCTTTGTTATAGCAGCGGCGACTCTTAACACGGCTGCTCGGTATGTCGCCTGTTTTCTGTTCTCAGCTGGCGTCTATTCCGTCAACTCATGCATCCTCGGATGGGTATCAGCGACACTCGGACAAACAGCAGAAAAGAAAGCGATTTCCTTGGGATTTGTCAACATTGTGGCCAATGCTTCTTACATCTACACTCCATACTTGTACCCAAGCTCTGACGGTCCGCGCTACCTACCAGCCATGGGTGCCAATGCAGGCTTTGGGGCTGGAACCGTTATTTGTGCGTGGGTCTTGAAGATCTGGCTGATGGCTGAGAACAAGAAATTGAGAGCCAGTTCTGGGGACGGTGGACTTGCCTACGCTTATTGATTTCACGTTGGTTCTCGCGGGTCGCCGTTGGGGTCACAAATCGTCCATAGGCTGCGGCACTCGTTCTATACATATGTAGGCTTTGTCGAATCTAGGACCCCGTAGATGAGTTTGAATGATCATAGACTCCAAAGGAACCGAGAGGTCTAACTATAGATAGGAACAAGCACATTGAAAATTAGGTCGAGGTCTGGCCGGTAGATGGCCGTTCCATTGCTTTGGTGTCGACAGATGAGCCGAAAATCTCCCGTCAACTGCCCATTTTCATCTGTAACCTCACGCAATCCACAATATCTTTTGATTTTATTCCATCTCTACCCTTTCTTTAAACCCGAGCCTGCCTTCAGGTAGCATGTTCTCTCTTGACAGACGTGCATCATGCCGTCCAAGTCGATCGCCCCGATTGAGATAGGATCGTTCACGGCCTCGTCGCCTGAAAAGACAGAATTTATAGGCAGCGCGAGCGGAGTCTTCTTCGTCAACACCGTCTTCCGCGCCTTTGCTCGATCCGCCTACAATTCCAAGGCGCTACCATCAAATGGAAACTCGACACACAATGACCCCGGGTCAGTCGACAGTCGGCTCGTCGATCCAGAGACCCCTATGCAGCTGGACCACGAGATCGCGGGGATGAGGATCCTGATTGAGAATGAAACAGCGCCGAACTCTTACGGCGTCAAAGGGCATGGACTGGGGGTTGCGCCAGAGCAAGACTCAGCCAGAGAGCTCCTGATGCTATACCTCAAACATTGGCATCCTCTATTCCCCTTTTTACATGGTCCAACCCTCTTCGAAACAATCCGGGGTCTATATGAGCACGACGGGCAGCGGAGGCTTTCACTGAGAAATCGCCTGTGTCATGCCATCATCTGCCAATGCGTGTTCAACATTGCAGCCCTGGATCAGCCCGACGGAATGCTTGCCCCAGACTCACGACTGGATTCGCCAGCCAAGTTACTCTCCCTCTTGGGGTACGTCGCGAGTAACCACGACACTCTCTCGTTGCAGGCTCTGCTCGCCGCACAACTCTATCTGGTTGCAACCATGTCTCTTCGAGCGGCATCTACGATAGGAGGGACCCTGACGCGAGTGATGTATCACGCTGGTTTCCACCGGTGTGCTTTCCGGTATCCCCAGCTGTCACCTCATGAATGCGAGCTGCGGAAGAGGATTTTCTGGAGCGCCTACGTGCTGGACCGCTATTTGAGTCAAGCTCTTGGTCATCCTCTGGGAATTCAAGACTCTGACCTGGACGTCTGTGTTCCGGGCATGGATGAACTCCACAAACCGGTCCGGGCAAGCCAGCAGGTATCGTCCGCAAGTAGGGCGCCCGCTGAGGGGGTGCTGGCTCATCTACCCCGGGGCCACCACAGGCGAGGCTCACAGTCAGAAGAAGTTACAGCGTCCGAACATGCTGGCGGTCCCACCAACACTGGTTCAGAACCAGAGTCTCCCACTTTGGATCCTTCGCGCGATGTCAACACTGTCCAAACATCCCAAAGCTCTCAGATACTGGGCCATTATGTGCTCTATTGCCGACTCACAGGTCAAGCAGTCCAGACCTTCCACATCTCGATCCAGAACCGGACGATAAATGCAGAGCGAATGATGGAGCTTCAATCAAATGTTCATGCGTGGTGGAACGGGCTGCCTCAGGAATTACAGGATGAGGATACTGGTGACGGCGGCAAGCTTGCCTCGACCTACACATTCTTCTTTTGCATCCTGTATAACCATCTTTTACTTCTCAGTAATCGTCCCTTTCTCTCTCTTTCGCCAAAGTCCCTAGAGTTCAAGTCGAGTCTGCAGACATGTATTGCGGCAAGCCGACAGATTATTACAATGTCACGACGTCAACATGACCGCGGCTTGATCGTATCTTGGCCCGGAATGTTATCAGCAACATGGATGGCTGGATTGGTTTTGGCCTTTGCATGTACATTGAAGCGCTATCCATTCAGCAAAGCGCAAAGGTGAGTGGACTCCACCAACCTGTGAAGAGAGGCTGACACGACGCAGAGAAATCGAGGATTCCGTTCGTAGTCTCTCGGCAATGGCAAAGAGCTGGAACAATGCGAGACATTGTGCAGAGGCACTCCAGTCTCTGTTAGAGAACCTGGCGGCACAATATAACAGGGGACAGAGTGTCATGGTCTCCCCATCCTCATCCAACTTCGCCATGCCGGGGGCTTCAGTACCAGCAACAGTTGGAGGGTCAACAGAACCAACCACTACGCAACTCGCCATGGCTGAAACAAATGAACCTTCCAGGAAAAGGAAGAGGACCAACCGAGGGCAACAGGGACAAAGCCGTCACCAAAGCGAGTTACCCGATGCAACGAGAGATCGAGCGAATCAATCTCAAACAATTAACCAAGACTTTGACGCCGATTCCTATCAATTGCCCAGCCTCAACAGTGGCGCCATGTTCCCCATTCTCGAATACACAGGACCAGACTTTGGGTTCAGCAATGGACAATATCCAACCATGGACGACTTTGAGTTCCTCGGTCTGCCAGTTTCCGACGATTTGTACCCAAGCAATCCCGGGGCTTTTGGTAATATCGGTTGGGAGGCCATGGCCAACGGTTCCGGAAACATGCAAAGCTGGGCTGCTTGGGGCACGCCAAAATTTTGAGAGACGGAGACATGTGAGTGTCTGATGAGACTCTCGACTCCGTTACTCTGTTTGCTCACGGCTACTCACCAAACGAAAGTGTCCTGGAACTCTTTTGGGAAGGAAAACTTGCCACCCGCGGCACCTGGATTGGCTGCAGATGAAGATCGTTGGGTGCGAACATCAGCCATCTCGGGCGCATGAGACGAGGTGCCAGCACGGTCTTGGGGATTTTGCATCATTGCCACGGATGTCGGATCAGTGTCTTCATCCATCGGAGACAGTGTGCTCTGGTCTTGTGCTTCACTGGGAGTATTTGTCGGATGCGATTGCTGATCTTGGTTCTCCCCAATGTCGGCGGTGTCCATCGCACATGGATTCTCAACTTGATCCTTCCACACAAGCACGTCTTCAATAGTGTGCAAAGGGAACTGTTCCCAGAAGGCGATGGCGGACTTCTTCTCCTCAGTGGTGCTCAAAGTTCCGACGGAGAGCAGTTGCGGTATCTGGTCTTGTGCTTCGGGAGAGAAGGCCGCCGTCAAGCTTTCTTGTTGGCAAGCCGAGAGGATTCGCCACAACACTCTCTCAGTCTCTTTCAGTCGGATCTCAAGCGCCTCGATATAGCCCTTTGCAGGACCTCTGTTGTCCGAGAGAAGTCAGCAGGGCCATGATCCGGCGGCCTCCCAACAGCAACGCCATGCCTAAGAGACTGACCTTTTCTGACTTCTCGGCCATGAGCAGGCCTGGGCAAGACTTCGACAACGGCTGCAGACGGGTCTTGATGTCGTCAGCGTCACACCTCTGCGATAGCAAATATCAGGAATCCATAGCGCCAACGAACCTATTACCATCGCACTAAGAAGCTTTGTCAATATTGATATTATGATCCAAAGCATCACAGGCCCGACGACTGACCTTCTGTTTCCTTGCTCTACAAGCATAGCAAGCCGACCGGCTTCTGGAACCCGAAGTACTTTCGGACGAGGCCTTAGGCTGAGGCATGGCTAGCGCAGCTGGACAGGCCCGCAAACGATCTTCTTGGGCGGTTCTACATCAAGCAGGTCTGCAGGCTTTGGGCGGCAGGGCGGTCAGCGTCGGCATAAAATTATTTCTTCAGGTGAAGTTTCAACAACCAAGACTGACGCTCTGATTAGTCAAGAGGCCGATCCCATTGCGGATAAAAGATTGTCCGATCGGACAATTTTTTAAGCGTCGCTTGTGCATGCAACGATAGTCAATCCCGTGGGCATCGCTAATATATGCCGGGAGATGAGAAGAACAAACCAAAGTCTGATCGCCAAAGTGCTGTCGGACAGTATCAGACTACTAAGATATGTTTGAGGGCTTCGAGACGTTCGATATCACCACGCAGACAACTCCCGAGGTGAGGATACATGGTGTCCAGAGCAAAGGCGGTGGGCGAAATCTCCCGCCTCTGCTTCTCCTGCATGGATTCCCACAGACTCACCACATCTGGGACGCTGTCTCTAATCGGCTGCGATCAAAATTCGACATAGTTGCTCTTGATCTTCGCGGATATGGAGAGTCATCCAGTCCGTCCGACCTGTCGAACTATGCAAAGAGCGCCATGGCTAGAGATTGTGTCAAGGTTATGGAGACACTCGGCTTTGATTCATTCTTTATCTGTGCACACGATCGAGGGGCAAGAGTCGCGCATAAGCTGTGCGTCGACTTTCCGGACCGAGTGAGAAGGGCGATTTTCCTGGATATTTGTCCCACCCTGGCCATGTACACGTCGACGAACTTTGAATTTGCCCGGTCTTACTTCCACTGGTTCTTCTTGATTCAGAAGGAGCCGCTTCCGGAAACGCTAATCTCACAAAATCCCAGACGATTTGCCGAGTTGTTCATGGGCGGAAGACAAACCAGTGGACTGGACATCTTTCAGCCCGAATGCTTTGATCGCTATGTCCGCAATCTCGGCGATCCAGCCATCGTGCATGCCATGTGTCAGGACTACCGGGCAAGCGCTTCTCTGGACATGGACGAGGCAAGAGAAGACGTTGAGAACAATCGCCTCATCCAATGCCCGTTAACGGTTCTTTGGGGTCGTCACGGGGTCATTGAAAAGTGCTTTGACGCCGTGTCGGAGTGGAAAAGGGTTACGGCTGCGAATGTGCCTGTAGAAGGACACAGCATCGATTCGGGCCATTATATTCCGGAGCAAGCGCCTGACGAAGTTGTCATGGCGATCGAAACGTTCTTCTTGTGAGCTGTTGGCGATTCCGCCGCTGATGGACAGCGCGACAATTTGTATCAAAAGGGCCAAGGGGCCGGGCCATTCCACTCGGCCAGAATACGGACATGGGCAAATTGGAATCCCGAAACTACAGGGGTATAATAATATGGCTGTTCTCCACCATTTGCCCTCTTAATTACCTGGCCACCAGTCACCGGTCAACGATGCTCAGAGCCCAAGACATTTGATGGGAGTTCAATATATCTTCCAAGCTAGAGGGTAAAACGTGCCGGGGTCTGTTATTTCCAGTTCCTGCCACAGTACCACTGAGACTGTCCACGATAGAGCAAATGGAGATGGTCGGCGTCTTGTGCATGGTTCATGAACGCGCATTAGGTTAGAGAGACGGCAAGTTCCTCTTGAGGAGCCTTGCGGCAAGCTACATTTCTCTCCCTTTCGCTCTCATCCTCACTTGCTTCCTCCTCTGACTCACCCTCTCACACGCACTCTTTCTCTCCTTCTTTGTCTTGTCTCTCTACCTCTCTCTCTGTACCTCTTATCCATAACGCTCGGCAGGCAGGAACCTACCCACAGTTCCAAGCCAGCCGAGCCATCCACTTCTGCTCCCCAAGCTACACAGCGTCTTTTGCGTCTCTCGACTCCACCCTGTCCATGTGCTCGTGGAGTTCGCTGACTTTTTCGATCGAGTCGCCTCCCTTACCGTCGTGGTGCTCGACGACCAGTTGGTCGTTGGTCGGGTCGAGGTGCACGTCTCTCAGGTAGACGGCGACCTCGTCGGCGTCGCCGAAGATGGCTGCCACCTCCTCGAGAGGCATGCCCTTGGTCTCGGGCACGAGGAACCAGCACCAGACGACGGCGACGGCCATGAGGACGATGAATACCTTATTTTTTTTGTGAGTAAGTGTCAACAAAATCTCGTGACTCTCCGAGTCTCTGAGGAGGTCGGGAGAATGGAAACTTACAATGTAGAATCTATATCCAATGTTCTGGAACGCCGTGGGCCCGACCTGGAGGTAGACGAGGTCGGTCAGGGCAAAGACCACGTAGCATATGGTGGCACCTTTCGGCCGGATGTGGTTTGGGAAGATCTCGGAGAAGAAGACGGCCGAGTTGGCGTCGATCCCCGGGTCGTAGAAGACCGCGAACATGTAGGTCGCGGCGACGGCGACGGCCAGGCCGGCCTTGTTCTCTCCCGTGTCGGCGTACAGGGCGACCATGGCCGCCTCGATGACCAGACAGACCAGGCACCCGATGAACGCCCACAGCATGAGCGATTTGCGTCCAAAGTAGTCGAGTGCGATGGCTCCGCCGAGGTTTCCAAATATAGCCACTTTTTGACCCGGTTAGATGGGTACTTGTATAGATATACATCTCTCCGAGAAGCACGAGGGGGGAGATAGAGGCCGTTTAGAACTCACCTGAGATCCAGCCGCACTGGAAGATCAGTTGATCGCGCGGCCCGTAGCCCAATGCGCGGTAGATGATAGTGCCCTACCACCAAAAAAAAAAGGGTCAGTGGAAGAGCTTGATGAGAGAAACGTCCCACAGATGAGAGAGCTTTACATAGTTTGTGATCACCGTGGCCCCGGAGCTCTGGCCAAGGAACGCGAACGTGGCGCCCATGACCGCCCGCTTGCGGTAGGACGGCCTCCTGATCATCTCCCACCACGAACAGTTCATCTCGCGGTCGATGTCGACTTGCTTCTGCATCTGGAAGAACTCGGTGCGGGCGTATTCGGCGCGCGTGTCGCCCTTGATCTTGTGTAGGTCGGACACGATCTGCCACGCTTCCTCCGGCCGCCGCGCCATGAGCAGGTAGCGAGGAGATTCCGGGATGAACCACAGCATGAGGAGCATGAGGATGGGGAAGAACAGGGCGAGGCCTAGCGGACCGCGCCACTGTGCCGTGACGTTGGTCGAGTAGAAGAAACCGAGGCCGACGTAGGATGCGATCGAGTAGCCTAGCCCGATCATGACACCGTTCATGCCGACCATCAATCCGCGATACTCGGGTTGGGCCAGCTCAGAAGTATACACGGGCGCTGTGACGTGGTCTGATCAGTACAATGTGTGCCATTCGACGGGGAAATCTCTGGAAGTGCGAGAACAACGGAGAGACAGCCTTGTACGTACTAACGCAGAGAAACCCCCAACTCCCCAGACCGGTGAAGAAGCGGAACACCATGAACATCGCCGGATTCAGGCTCGCGGTGAGGATGGCTCCGCTGATGATGGAAATGACCGAACAGACGATCATGGCGGTCTTGCGACCCCATTTTTCCATCACGTAACCAGCCATGATCACTCCAAAGACAGAGCCAGCCTGAATGGTCGAAGAGGTCAGCCAGCCATACCCTGGTTGTCCGAGAGAACAGGGAGACTCTTTACCTGGAAGATACCGGTGAAGGCCCCGATCAACGTGTTACCATGGGGACTGATTGAGTCGGTCCCGTCCAAGAGGCCCATGTAGTCGAGGAAAGCGGGTTGACCGATCGTCGAGGCGAGGATCGACGAGGGATACGCAAAACATAACATGCCCGACGATATGGCCGAGCATACGCCAAAGTTCTTCCAGTTCATACGCATGATGGGCGATTAGTGGATGTAGTGACTCCAAAGATACCCGCAAGGAAATCGTGAAACAGAGCAGCTCAACAGGCCACCCAGGCTGGAGAGAGGACGTCGCTGAGTCTTAAAGTAGATTGTATCTAACTAGTGGCCTCGCTACCCCAGGTGATACTTAAGCCCCTTATCAACGGACGTGGGGTCCGCTGGGGGGGATCTGGAGCGTTTTTGTTCCTCGTCCGGGATCGATCTTGCAGGCGGGAACGGCGGAGCCATGATATTTGTAGAGCTGAAGGGGGGAAATGGTCGTTGATGCCGCCGTCGCTTTGAGAGAATGGCGGCGACAATCTCATTCCCGCTGGGGAAAAGTGGGTCCGACTCTATTCCCGCCCAATGCGGAATGTACTTTTTCGGCCTGGGTTGAGGTACTTGACAGGGGGCGGGATGCAGGGAATTGGAAAGATATTCTCGAGATATGATCTTAAAGGGCTGATTGGGTTGTAACTGCTCCCAGCCAAAGGGTTTGTTACTCACCCTTACTCTGAACGATAGACAGTCGGAGTGCAATCCTGACCAGATAACTCAAAGCAGGCAGTTACACTTAGTCCAGGCCACCGACTATATCTATCATTATATCAAAACCACAATGGGGTCAAATCCAAGATTGGAATACAGTGTCAAAATGTAGATGATGTAGTCATATATAGCTGCTGGGCAGCTTGATGTAATGGTCGATCTCATTCTATCTACTCATGGCCGTAGACTGTTTAAATGAACGGTGGTCGAACTCTCCAACGAGATATCATAACTTGTCCGATCTTGCCTCTCTCAACCCCTGGCTGCATTGCTGCCACACGCTTCGACTACCAGCCGCAAGGAATGAGGAGTCTGACCCTGCCAGAAGAAAGCTGAACCCCATCTCCTTCTTTCGTCTCACGGCTTGTTCTGTACCGGCGACGGTGCCAATTTCCACCCCATACTTCCGGCCGATGCTCAATATTTTCTCCAATGCCTGGATGAATGCAGGCTCCTCGCCGTCTCCGCCCGGGAGACCCAGAGACTGGCGAAGGTCGAAAGGTCCGACGAAGCATGCTGTTACCCCCTCCACGCTCAGGATCTCCTCTGCTCGCTCGACGCCCGCCACCGACTCAATCATCGGGATGATGGCCAGCTCCTTGGATCTTTGGGACATGTACTTGGCCACATCCGCACTGCTGTCCGTGTCGGCAAACGGGGCAAGGAAAGGACCAAAGCTGCGTTGCCCACGTGGCGGATATAGCGCCCGCTGGATGATCCCGGCACATTCCTCTCGGCTTTGCACCATCGGTATAATGACACCTGCTGCTCCACTGTCCAGTGCCCATTTGATCCATTCGACCCCGTGGGATGGCGCGCGGATAATGGCCACACAAGCTCCCGCAGACGCGGCGACGACAGCGTGAGTAATGTCGGTCGCCTCGCGAGCTGATGTCGGCGCATGTTCCATGTCGATGAAGGCCCAGTCAAACCCGGAACGAGCCACAATCTGCGCGCAGGAAACAGATCCTAACGACACGGCAGCACCGACGAGTGTCCCTTTGGCCTTGAGCGCGCCAGCAAAAGACTGTGTCAGAGGCGCCGCCGGACGCGGAGGGCCGAGAGAAGAACCATCTGAGCTGGTGCCGTACATGTCGAAGGGTGAGGGAGCGGCTCTGCACTGTAATCGTCGTTGGAGGGCAAAGATGACCGCTACTCTGTCTTGTCTGGGTATCCAGGAAGTTTCATTTAAACAGGCAAGACAAGACACAACATGGAATGGCCCTCGGTTATGGTTGAGAGGGGGATGCGCAGGATGCGCAGGATGAACTCGGCAACTTTGACGGGAATCTGATTTGGTGCCGCAATGCTCAACTTCACCACATACACCCTGCACTGCAACATCCTTCAAGATAACATCCAAGAGACAACTGTTGAACTGACAGCATTTCTTCCTCTCTACAATCCACTCTCTGTACGAAAATCCAGCGTCAACTTCAGGGAGTGATACCGATGCTGTCAGGCCCTGGTGCAATCCATTCCCGCCAACATTCCGCAGAGTCTGTCTTTGATTCCGTACGATTCCCGCAATCCATGCCGTCCTTGCCGAGGAGAGGCCAACATCCCTTTCCATCTCAGCCTAGCACAACGTTTGACTTTAGGCTCGAGCTGTCCTCGCTTACCCCATGGGGCTAAATGGCACAAAATAACCAGAACACCGATAACCAATTCCACGGCTTTGGCCACCCGAGCAAATCAATGCGCGACAAGATCCCCTCTTGAACTGACGAATTACCTCGAGCCCCTTCCACTTCTGTATCCCCAACCGGCCCTCTTCATCTGGGGTTGTGTTTGGCCGAGGTTTATCGTGCCCTCTGGAGGGCCTATCCAGTCATCTGGATTGGAAAAGAACATGGACTAAGATCGGGACATTCGAGGCTACGCCGAGTTTAGGGATAGACCAGAACCCCAGAAATTTGTCAATGGTACAGCCATCCACCAGGGTCCTCCAAGTGTGGTTGAGAAAAGTGCGATATATGGAGTAAAAGCCACAGGGTCTCTACTTCTGTGGTTGACTTCTATACATTCATTCACACCCTTTCGCACGTCAAGTTCTGGTTTCACCATTTCGAATCCCCTCCAGGCGAACCAACAATGGGTCCCACTCTCAGCGACAGAGACAGTCATGAGCAGCAGCCGTCGAAGCCTAAACGAAAATATTCACCTCAGGCTTGTGTTGAATGCCAGCGTCGCAAGCGGAAGTGCTCAGGTGGCAGATTTTGTGACAGCTGTCGATTCTCAGACCTAGAGTGTGTGTATTCACAGTCGCGATCGTCCAAACGACGGGCACTACTGCAACAGTCTCCCGTTCATGGCATTGAGTCGTCGTCCAACGAGTCTCATTCTGCTCCCACTCACTCTGCGGGCGAGAACTTGACCCTGCCTGCATGGCCGGCGGTGTCACAGCTCTTCCACGACGACTCGACACTCAACAGCTTGAGGCAGGACTTTGAGGCGCTGAGGAACGAGGTCGCTCGACTGAGATCGCAGCCTCAAAACACCTCGAATCTTGTGCCTCTCTCACCAACAGCACCAGCTACGGATACGGCAATATCATCAGCAGAATCGCTGCTGGCAGACAAAGCCCCAATTACTGTGGAGATCTCGACCACTGTCCCTCTTGTCTCGACTCCCTGCCCTCCTCACTCCGCAGCCAGCGACCGCCACAGGGACACAAGACGGGCGGACATTCTTCAAAAATCGATCTCGACCGACATTGGAGCGGGAACTTCTTTCTTCCGCCAGCTTGATCTTCTCGACAATTCTGTGAACGGCAGCGATGTCCCGCACGAGGAAGCCCCATCATCGTCCGCAAACGAGACAGAGGGCCAGGATGCCGACCCTGAGGTTCTATCAAGCGGTTTGTGGCGTGAGGCCGAACGGGTGGTTGAGGAAACTCGAGCCCAGGATTTTGACAACATCTGCCGCAGCGTCGACATTTTCTTCCGGCACCTCCGGCCGCATTGGCCCTTTATCAACGAGGCCAATTTTCGCACGCGACTTGCCGCCCTGTGGGCCAATGATAACGCCCACCTCAAGGGGACCATGATGGTGAATTTCGCGGCCCTGTTGAATTTCGTGGTCGCGGCCACCCAGCTCCTGTACGATTCAAGTGAGAGGACTACCGACGTACCGGGATGGACGTACTTCTTCCGAGGGGACAGATTGTTGACCTACGCAACGTGGCTGGAGAAGTCCAATACCACGACCCTACAGATACTCCTGGTCAAGATCCTGTACTGCTTCTTTGCCGGGCACTTTGACGCAGCCTATGCGTCCGTCGGCGTCGCAGGGCAGCTGTGTGTGCAGCTGGGTCTACACAACGAGCCTTCGTGGGGCCCACACTGCACGTTCTACGCTAGGGCCTACCGCCAGCGCTTGTTCTGGTCACTTGTCTGTCTCAGTCCCATCATTTCGCAGCATGCGGGATGCCCGGACCCTTTGCGTGACCTGGACATTCAAGTCGAATACCCTCTGTGCGTGGACGACAGGATGCTCTATCCGGACTGTCTCCCGCTGCAGGAACTGCCACGAGCATCTCCCGTGCCATATCTGCTTGAAGTCATCAAATGGGCGAGGCTCTCTTCCGAGGCTTGGGATACCGTGCTCGGTCCAGGCGCCAAAACTCCCTTCGACGCACAGGCTATCACGTCGATCGACAACAAGGTCAAGGCCCTATCGGCAGAGGCTCCGCAATTCCTACAGTGGACCTGGATTACCACCTCTCAAGACAAGGATCATATCCCTTCCTTCCGTTGGCACCAAGCCCTGATCATGTACCTGCGTGAACGCTCTCTGCGGATCCTCCTGCGACGGAACGACATGCTCAACGGGCGTTTCGACGCCCGCACGGCACAGACGTGCATCGAAATTGCGGTCGATGTGGTGAGTGCGCTAGAACTGTCGCTCAAATCGTCCTTCTCCAAGAGAACGGCGCCGTATACATCGGTGCTCCATCTCACAGGCGCCATTGTCCCAATGATATGCATCATCATCCGGCCCGACATTGACGAGGTACTTGCCCGACCAGCGATCGACGTGTTCAAGCGGTCGCTCAGCATCATCAGGGAATACGCACCGGCACAGTCATTTGCGCGGCTGACCCTCAAGCATCTCAACCGGCCCATCCGCGCCGCCTCGCAGACGATCAAATCCCGCTGGCCGCAACATGCAGACGCGTGCGTCTTGACGCCAGAGACCATCACCGAGATGGGATCGACGACGGCGATGACGACCGAAGAAAGGGCCGCGAATGGTCTGTCTCATCTGCATCACCCCCACCAGAACCACCAGTTATCGTCGTGGGGCATGCTGGGACAAATGATGATGTTGCCTAAACCCGCGACGGCGACTATTAGTATGGATCCCGGCCTGCCGCTGATGGCAGAGGAGTTTATGGTCGGGGACGAATATTTTACTGCCACCAATCAAGATCCATTTGGAGGCTGGCATGCAGGGCACATGGTGCTGTGATTCCGTGGTGGGCTGACTTGTGGAAGAGCGTATGTGACATAACACACTCGTTGTTTGTTGGACTCTGCTTGCTCGGATAATAAGCCTGAAGAGAGTGCGTACGAAGAAGGCCACGCGCTCCGTTACCCAGGCATATCACGACAGCGAGGGTCTCCTCTCACACCTTTACACATACAGTGTTTGTGAAGTCGATAACAGTCCCAACCCCTGGAGGAAAGATCTATGGATCAGGGGAAATAGTAACTTGGCTTATAAGTTTTTGCTTGATATAGCTAACAATTGCCCTACAATCACGAAAAGTCCTGATCAACAAAATGATGGTCCCATCTTTCGAAGAGTAAAGTTCTGATGAATTGCGAGATCTCCAGCATCATGGTCTCGCACATACTGTGCCTGGCCTCGACGCGCTGGAGTTACATCTCCCCGTCTCAAGCCACCTGCTGAACCTCGGAGGTGGAGAGCAAGACGCCCGTCTTCTCAGCCTGAGGTCTATCCTGATCCTGGCTCTTTTCGTGAGCCAAAGGATCCTTGGGCATCTTGACGTGCCACCACTTCCCCGGCTCGTTCTCGCCCCAGGCGAACTCGCCGTCGTCAAAGGTGTTTGTGCGGCGCATGTCCCGGCGGTACTTGTGGAGGTAGGCCGAGTCGTCGAGGGCCCTGTGCCACACGGCCGTGTTGTCCCACATGACCAGATCGCCCGGCTGCTCCCACAGGACCTTGTAGACGAAGCGCGGCTGGGTGCCGTGGGCGATCAGCTCGTCGGCGATCCTCTTCGACTCTTCCACCGAGTACCCGTCCAGCTTGTACGCGTAGCTCGTGAGGTAGAGGTTCTTGCGCCCGCTTCCTGGGTGCGGGTACACCGCCTTCCACCGCGATATCGAGTACTCGAAGGGGTCAACGCCCTTGTACAGGTCCGGAGCGGCCTCGCGTCGGTTGTACAGCAGTGAGCAGTCGCAGACGACGTCCTCGAGGCGGGCTTTCCACTCGGGCGACAGGGCCTCGTAGGCGGACCGCGAGTCGGCGAACTCGGTCTCCCCGCCACAGCCTCTCGGAGGGATCTCCACCGCCCGCAGGAGACTGTACTTGTCCCGCCGCGGGTGGTAGGTCATGTCCGTGTGCCACAGCTGGTTGCCCTTGTTCATCAGGGACGACACGCGGTCCGTCTCGCGGATGATGTTACCCTGGCCGTCGAGGTTGGACACGTCGAAGATGTGAGGCTGGTCCGGGAACCGGCGGTCGCGGAGGTTGGGCATGGAATCCAGCTCGCCGAAGCGGCGCATGAAGTTGACCTGCGTGTCGTTGTCGATGTTGGCGGCGCGAAACACCAATACGCCGTACTTGTCGATGCCGGCCTGGATCTCGTCGATGACGGCGTCCGGGATCGGCTTCGTCCAGTCGACCCCGTGGACCTGCGCCACGAAGGTCGCGTGCAGTGGCTCAAACCGTAGCGTGCCGCCGCCGCCAGCTGAGCCCATGATGATCTTTTCTGTGAGAGAGGGAGAGGTACACACACACACAGAGTCAGCGTACAACTTGCGAGAGAGAAGACCAGGCAAGGACGAATTCCGTGGAATCACCTTGTACAGTTTATGTCTTTTTTTCAGAGCCTTGGCCCTTATGTATTGCAAGGTCTGGGGATCTCGATTCGTGATTGCGTCCCCCTTCGGGTGGTATGAGTGAGTGAGTGAGTCCCTTGGCGGGGATGTTGGAGGAGGATCCAATTCCAGCTCCAGTTCCCGGCGGCATTTCTTGTTCCTCCCTTGTTCGCCCATCGCTCATGTGATGATGGCCGTCTTGTCCTTTTCCTTGTATACGTCGTATCCGTATCACTCAGTCAGTTGGACTGGTGGGTGTTGGCCGTCTCCTCCGCATTTTCCTTTGCTGCGTTGGATCTTCCGCATTCCTCTGTCAAAGTCTTGCGGCTACGTCTCAGCACGACGCGACTGTTATCTGCCGCACTTGGCTGGAAGGTGCCGTTCCTCATCTTTCCAGCGGTTTGTTTTCTTCGACCTGTACTGCTGGTCGTTCAGAGGAGATGAGCGGGATGTCTCTTCTCTCCCCATCCCGAATTCCGCCAACATCCCGCCGTGCCGCCTTAGCGTCGAGCCAAATCATGAACCAGGGAACATGTGGATCCGTCTCAGGATGGATTGAGATGGGCTGAGATGGGCTGAGATGGGCTAGAAGTGCATGTCAACCACGTCAACCCCCGCGTTTTGCTTTGAACGAGAGCAAGAGCCTTCTTGCCCTAGCACACCGAAGGTGCCTGGTGGGCTTACCGAACCTTCATCTATCAGCTAGGATAGTCTAGACCTGTCGTCCACCGCGTTCATCCCTGCAACACGAATACAATTAGACAAGATGACTGTCTTCGATCCAGATTCAGACAGCTTGCCTAAGCTCTCCGAGCTCGAGACGAAGCCGGGTGCTCCTCCCCAGTCGGCATGGTTCTGGGGAGAGAACGACGAGGTAGGGACATACAAAGATGTCATCTTTGGCGGTTCAGCAGATTCTCACCTCTGCGCCGATGTAGCTCGGGCGTCTCAACTTGCTCACTCCAAGACGGGTGGCGAGCGCGGCCAGATTGATCCAGACAGGAGAAAGGGTCGGGTTGAAGTAAGCGCTTCCCGAGAGACCCTACGGTATGGTCAGATTGGGTCCTTATACACAAATCTACAGTTTCCCAGCAGAACTCCCCAACCCTCCCTTCTTCGGGCGGGAGCCTTTCAAGCACAAACTCAAACAGAGCGTCGAATATGGCTTTGATGACCTCCACGACATGAACACTCAGAGTGGCTCGCAGTGGGATGGATTTCGCCATGTACGTTTGAGACCTCGTATACCAGGGGTTCTTGGATCTTTGTGACTATGGGTGCTTACACTTATGACCAGGTTGGTATGGCGCACGAAGGGTCTTATGTGTGGTATAATGGAGTACGTACAGTTTACGGTGGTTATCTTTGTTCGAGTGGGAAAGACTGAATCGCGATCAGATCACGGCCAACGACATTCACAAAACCAGCAAAATGGGATTGCAAGCATGGGCGAAACAGTGTATAGGTGGGTGGGAGACGTCTGACAGCTCTCTTCTCTCCCGCTCGCTCCCCGTTCCAAGTCCGCCACTGTGCTTGTTGTGAAGATGTGTCTAACGTCCGGTTGAAATCTAGCTGGACGGGGAGTGCTCCTTGACTTTTACTCTTTCGCCGGCAAATCCTACGATCCCTTCACCACCAAAGACATCACCACACAGGAACTCCTGGACTGCGCGCGAGCTCAGAACCTGACGTTCAAGTATGGCGACATCCTGATCATTCGGAGCGGGTGGTCCGAAGCATATCGCAAGCTCGACGAGGCCGGACGACAGGCCATCGGCTCCAAGGGCTGGGACGACCTGCGCTTCGCCGGCCTCGACCGCAGTCCCGAGACCCTCGCGTTTCTGCACGACAACTACTTCGCCGCGGTCGCGGGGGACGCGCCGTCGTTCGAGTCGTGGCCCATGAACGGCAAGACGGACCTGCACTACTTCCTGCTCCCACGCTGGGGCGTGCCCATCGGGGAGCTGTGGGACTTGGACGGTCTGGCAGAGCTTTGTAAGAAACACAACCGATACGAGTTTTTCTTCACCAGCAGCCCGTGTAATGTGCAAGGTATGTTGGACACGCTTTCTGCCCGCAGATACTTCTGAGTAGTGGCTGACTGTTGTTCTGGTGTGAAGGGGGAGTCGGCTCTGCTCCCAATGCCATTGCGATATTCTGATCTGAGAGCTATCCACGCCGTCTAGCCCTCGTCGAACGATCTGTATAGTGGTCAAATGGAGAATTTAGCCTTGTAGTTACCCTCATCAACTCTGTCGGGGCTCCTTCTACTCATCCATTCCGTGGTGGATCCGTCATCCATCTAGCTCGCACACGTAAGTAGATAGATACTCTCGGGAGACTAGGAGAGCACACCTGGCTTTCTCAACATGATTATCCTCTTTTTGTCCCCCATAATGTTTGACAGAGACCGGAATCAGCCACCTACGAGAAAGGGGCTAGCGTGAATCGTATTCAAAAGTCCTCCGTAACAATGCCCATGCCCAGTGACGGTTCCGCAGATGGGCGAGGCCGTCTCTTCCGCATGAAAGCCGAGCAGGGGCGTTTCAACGGAGGAGGAACAAGGTGATGGGGATTGAAGGGGTCGAGGGGCTGGAGGGACGGACTATTACACGACAGACCACGCCAGACTCATAGATAGATCTTGCTCAAACTCCGGTCTCGTTGGTATGTGGTACGTGTGGTACGTGTGGTACGTGTGATATCATTTTGCTACCCAGCTAGGTATACTTGCGGCGGATCGTCCTCGAGCGAGAGGTGTCCACCTGCCTGTCTTTCTTCTCAAGACTACCTGAGGAGGACTTGTGTCCCGGATATATCTTGAGGCTTGCGTTGGGGGAGTACACACACCAAGTTACCACCAGGCCACCAGCCAGCAACCATGCTCCCACTAAAAGGAAAGTTGGCCATCGTGACGGGCGGGTCTAGAGGTGAGCTAGTTTTCGTTTGTTACGTTGCAATCTTGTGAGCGAGAGATATTCCTCCGGCTCGAAATCGAGGAACAAACAGTTTTCGTAGACTCTCCCTCTTATTCACGAACTCCAGGCATCGGCGCCGCCATCGTCAGGAGCCTGGCAAAACGCGGCGCAAACATCTGCTTCAACTACACGTCCGAGTCGTCGGTTTCCAAGAGCGAGAAACTGATACAGCAGATGCGGACGGAGCACAACATCGATATCATCAGCGTCAAGGCCGATCTGGCCGAGAAGGATGGGCCGGCAAAGGTCGTCGAGGCCGCGGAGCGGTATTTTGCAAATAAATCGACTTCCAACAGAGGTGGTGGTGGTGATGGTGACGGTGGTTCACTCCGCGTGGACATTGTCGTCAACAACGCCGGCGTCTGTCCCGCCCTGTTACTTCCAGACTGCACGGTCGACGAGTTCGAGTACACGTACAAGGTCAACGTGCTGGCACCCCTCCTCCTCATGCAGGCCGCGCTGCCGTACCTCCCGCACGACCGGTCCGGGCGGGTCATCAACATCTCGTCCATCTCGGCCAACGTGGGCACGCCGGGCCAGACCATCTACGGGGGCAGCAAGGCGGCGCTCGACGCCATGACGCGGACCTGGTCGCGCGAACTGGCCGAGCGCGCGACCGTCGTGTCCATCCACGCGGGCGCCGTGCTTACGGACATGGTCCCCGCGCCGTTCGTGGCGGACGTCGTCGCCCACCATAATCGCATCACGCCCCTCTCACGCGCTCGCGAGGGTGTCGACACCCCGGCGATGATGGCCGCGGCGAAGGGGATCGGTGGGCGCGTCGCGTACGACCACGACATTGCCGAGGCTGTGGCGCATTTCACGTTGCCCGAGGTGGGATGGGTCACCGGCCACGTTATCGGTGTTGATGGGGGGTATGATTTTATTCGGTAGTCTTGGTTGCGTGGATTCAGGGAGAGCCGAAGAGCACATAGGAGGTTTGGGGAGAACAAGTACAATGCGAGATAAGATTGGTGGTGGTTGGCGATATAGAATCCTGATTTTATTCAACTGGTCAACTGGTCTAAGACCGGGCTTCGTTGGAGGAATCTCATATCTGTGAGTGATGTCGAGCCATTCTTGTGCCTGTCAGAGGAGAAGTTTGTCAGTCAAATAAATCAATCACCTTGCGGCTTGTTGTAATATCCAGCCCATATGGGCATGTTTCAGCAAGACCAAGAATTGTACAGTACAATCCAGCACAAAGACATGAGGGACTATACCTTGTATCTGGATTCTGAGTATCCATGCGCGCCATATCTCGGCGCGATCGGGTCATCGGTGATCTGCACAACTTCTGTCTTTGGAGTGAGTGACTGCGGCACTTGGTCTCAATGTTGATGCGGAACCAGGAGAACTTGGCGTGAGATTCCGCCAGGAACAGCGTCACGGGTTGCCGCCCCTCAGGTTTAGTCTTTCCCCGCTGCAGATCCGCGGCAGTATCTCGTCAATCAATCAGTCGTTTACGCACCTAATTATACCTTACCTCCTTATGATGAAGTGGAATGGCTATAAGTCAGGAGTTAGGAACAGGAACCAGTGTATAGTCGAGGGATCTCAAGGACCTTGACCTCTCGCATCCCTTCAGCCAGCCAGCCGACCAGCCAGTACCCTAACTCCTACAGTCTATCCCTAAAAGACAATGTCGAAGCACGAATTCACCGCCCTCGTCACCGGCGGCGCATCCGGCATCGGCGAAGCCACCGCACGCAAACTCGCCAGTCGCGGCATCTCAGTCCTCATCGGCGACATGAACCGCGCGCGAGGCGAGAAAGTCGCCGCCGAGATTCGAGAACTGTACGGCGTGCGCGCGGCTTTTTACTCCCTGGACGTGACCGACGAGGCCAACGTCAAGGCCTTTGTCGAGCACGCCACGCAGTGGACGGGCCGGCTGGACTTTGCGGCCAATTGTGCTGGGATTTGCGAGAATGTGTGGGACGGCGAGGAGAGCATCACGGCGGAGCTTTTTGATCAGTTTCGTTACCCTCCCTCTCCCCCCTTTTTTCTCGGTGTTGGACTAACCACTTGATAGAACTCACGCCGTCAACACCAAAGGCGTCTGGCTCTGTCAGAAATACGAGGCGGCGCAAATGCTCCGGCAAGAGCCCCGTCCCGTCGTCTTCTCCCCGCCACCACCACCCTCCCATGTGATACCCGGCCAGCGCGGATCCATCGCCAACGTCGCCTCCGTGTCGGGACTCCACGCCAACGGCCTCGCCGCCTACACGCCCAGCAAGTACGCCGTCGTGGCCGTGACCAAGAACGGCGCCAAGTTCTACGGCCCCAGCGGCGTCCGCTGCAACGCCGTCTGCCCGGGGTACGTGATGACGCCCATGACCGAGCACAGCATGGGCGAGGCGGCGAAGCCCGGCACCAAGGAGAACGAGGCCGCGTCGACGAGCCTCCAGGTCGCCATGGGCAGGATGGGCTTCCCGCAGGAGCAGGCGAATCTGCTGTCGTTCTTGTTGAGTGATGAGAGTAGCTATATGAATGGGTCGATAGTGGTCAATGATGGGGGGTTTCATGATATTCGGTAGGAATAACGCCATGGTTGGAAAGGATCCTCAGAAGATAGATGGCCATGTCGGGTCGCATCGCATACCGAACTCTGAGGACACTTCTGCCAGTATAATGATATATGTCTATTGCCATTTATTCATTTTCTGCAACGCCATTCCCTCCTCCTGATCTACCTACTAGGCTGAAAAATCACGCCCCCGGCTCCGAGAGATACCAAGTCAAATCGCCCCCGTCCTCCTCCCTCTGCGTCTTCCCACTACCAAAATACGCGAACCGATTCCCTCCCACGTACCTGATCTCCCAGTCCTCCCAGCGCGGCTGCTCCGTCGCCTCGAGGAAATGCACCGCGCTGCCGGGCCACGGACCCCACACTTTGCCGTCGACCTTCCCGAGCTTGTACCACGACCGGCACCCGCTGGACCAGGCGAGGTCGCGCATCACGGCGTCCTTGTGCTCGAGGAATTCTTGCACCGCTTCGGGTTTCGGGGACAGCGATTTGATGCCTTGGCGTTGGAGCTTCAGGACCGCGTCGTACGCGTAGTTGATGGTGCGTTCGAGGCAGGGGATCAGGGTTCCTTGGGCGAGGGGGAAGTTGGGTCCGCTTGAAACTATTGTGTTTCGCGGTCAGGGAAAACGATCCTTGAAGACCGAAAGGACTTGCACGAAGAGGGAGAGTGCGTGGGCCATGGAACACACACACAGACACACACAGAGGGGATGAGAGGGGGGAGGGAGGGAGTAGGGTGAGAGAGATATTCAGAACGCACGAAAGTAATTCGGAAACCCGCTCGCCGCGATCGACAGGTACGATCTCGGCTCCGTCGCCCACTCGTCACGCAAATCCGTCCCTTTGTCGCCAATGACGGGAAACGCTGGTCGGAAGGACGTATCAAACCCCGTGGCGCATATGATGGCGTCGACCTCGTGCGTAGTGCCGTCCAACATCTCCAGACCTGTTGGTGTAATCTTGAGAATCGTCCCACTTTCCACCGTGACGTTGTCGGATGCGAGAGATTCGAGGTAGTCGTGGCCGGGGGTGACTCTACAATCCCGTCAGATCAGGTCAGGTCAGGTCAAGTTAAGTGAGTAGGGAAAGAAAGAAACATCTGCCTTGGCCGGTCCCGCCGTGTCGCCAGAGGAACATACCTTCGACAACCGACCGCAAAATCCGGTATGAGCTTGTCGGCCAAGTACTCCTTGTTGCCCAGCCTCTGTCTCATGTTCTTTTGAAACCTCTGAAAACTGTCCTTCTGGACCTGCGAGTCCTTGACCAAGACGTCGTAGATCTGGTTCATGCTGCCCTCCACGCGCTTACGGTATTTCAGGAGTGCTCTTCGGTCCGTTGCCCACGCTTTCTTTTGTTCTTCGGAGAACTTGGTGTCGCGGCCGTCGGGGGCGAATTCGAGCCCAAACTCGGGGGTGATCCAGGTCGGGGAGCGGTTGAACGAGAGGAGATGGCTGGCGACTGTGAGACAGCGTTAGCGGAATCAGAGTCTTGAGCAAGAAGACTCGCTCGCGCTCACCTTTTCGCACGATGGGGACTATCTGAATTGCTGAGGAACCGTTACCGATCACGGCGACTCGCTTTCCAGAGAAATCAAACGAATCGTCCCATCGCGCAGAATGTGCGAGGAATCCGCGAAAGGTATCGAGGTCCTCGATCTCGGGCCATTTCCAATTACTACATCAGATCTGTCAGAATCCCTCTCGCTCTGGGCTATTGTTCTAGGGAAGATGGGAACGCACTTGAGGAATCCTGTCGCACTGATGACCACCTCAGCCTGATCCGTAAACGTTCGCGAGGTCTCCAGATCCTCGACCTCGACGTGCCACACGCCTTGGTCCTCGTGCCACTGCGCCCTAACGACGCGGTGTCGGGTGTGGAGATGATCGTAGACGCCGTACGCTTTGGCGCGGCCCTTGTAGTACTCGAAGATTTCTTCAGAGGTGACATATGCCATGGACCAGTTGGGGTTGCCTTCCCACGAAAAGTTGTATGCATGGGCTGGTACGTCACAGGCACATCTGAGATCAAGTCAGAGAAATCATCTGGGCCAGGGTGTGACCTGTTCGTTCTTGAACCACACGACACAACACAACAACTCCTGCGCGACAGTTTGGTGAACATACCCAGGATATCTATTCTCTAACCACGTTCCCCCCACGTCAGCATTCTTCTCGTAGATGGTCAGCTTGACTCCAGACTTTTCGAGCCGCTCCTTGAACAACTTGACAGCCGCGATGCCTGCGATGCCAGCGCCGATGACGATGATGCGTATCGGACGCGGATAGTTCAGCACATGGTGCGGGTAATCGTATTCTTTGGCGTTGGAGGTGCTATTGTGTCCGTTCACCCCGTTGACCGCCAGCGTGGGGAGGGGATCAGCCACGCTGTCGAGTGTGCTTGTTTGAGGAGTCGCCATCATTGAGTTTCCCGTTCTGGCTCAAAAGGTTCAAGGTCAAGTTTACCCCTGCGCTTGCTTGTATCAATTTTGCTCTGTACGGTAGTATTTCTGGAGTTGAATCTAAAGATGGAGGCAGGATTCGTGTCCCCTTTTGTTCCCTGGTCTCTTCGCCGATCATTGGCGACTCGACTCGAATCGACTTCACATCCCATCCAGACAGAACTTTGAGCCGCGACACGCCCACCGCCAAAAAGTGTGGAAGTGTGGAAGTGCCAGAAGACCAATACATCTGGCGCCGCCGTTCGATCGGAACTGTCTCTGTACCACATCATACCACCCCCGGGGGGATTCAACATCGACTGGAGCTAAGGGAAGAAGTGGATATTTGCGAATATATTCGGTGCGGAACAGCGAGAATCCGTCCTGGTCTGGTGAGGCCGGCGGGAACAAAGAAGCGAAGCGGAAATAGAAATGGTCCGGGAATTGCCGTCGCGAGGTCGATGGAGATGGACAGTCCGTGTCTTTGAACCGCCGGGCTGGTTGTTCATCAGGATGGAGAAGCAGGTGAGTTGAAGGCATCATCTTGGAGGTTCCTAAAAGAGATTACAACGTGGACAAGGGTGCACAACAGATCCTCTTTACCTGAGTGATTGCCCTCGACGTCTGGACCAGCGGAATCAACGGAGTCACTGGGAACACTCATGGGAACTTTATCGACATACAGCATTTGCGAATGTATTACAGACAAGTTAACCACTAGACTGATCTACCCTCTACGGCAGACCCTGCTGCCAGAATGTGGACGGGTCATTCTCCCCATACGCCTGCGACCCCGTGTCGAAGACCGACACCCTCCTCATGTCGCGGCGGTACTTGCCCTCGTAAGCGCCGTGCGTAGCCCTGTGAATGGTCGCGGTGTTGTCCCAGATGACCACGTCGTTGTTATTCTCCCAGTGTACGGTCAGTTTGTACTTGTCTTGCTGGCAGTGGTTGAAGATCTCACGAATCAATTCCTGCCCTTCTTCCAGCGGCTGGCCGTCGACGTGGTGCGTGTATGACATGCAGTAGAGGTTCATCCGGCCCGAGGGTTCGTGTAGCTGCGCCAGTTTGTGCTTCGCCTGCGGTTTCGTCATGGGGTCGATGTCCTTGAACAGAGGAGAATCTGGATTCGCGGTCTTGCGGTTGTGGAATAGTGAGTTACCTCCAACAAGACCGTGGATCTTGGCCTTTGTCGCCTCCGGGAGGTCGTCGTACGCCGCGCGACTGTCGAGAAACTCCGTCTCTCCTCCTGTTCCCTTCGGGGGGAGCTCGACGCCGCGAAGGATCGAGATGCCGATCCGACGCGGGTTGTACGCCCCATCGCAGTGGAACAGGGCGTTGCCGTTTGCCCCGGCGGTCCTTTCTGGGTCGGCCGTCGTGAAGACTTGATCCTTGTCGTCGAGGTTGCCGACGTCGAAGATTTCATCGATATTCAGCCGAAATTTACGTCCGGCCAGGCGGTGCGGCTTGGAGCTGTCGAGTTCGCCAAAGCACCGCCCCAGCGCCAGCGCCCTTTGGTCGTCCAGCGCCGTCTTGCGGATCACCACCACGCCGTACTTGTAGACGGCGTCCCGTAGTTCGTCGAATGCATCGTCAGACAGTGGCTTGGACAAGTCGAGGCCGCTCACCTCGCACCCGAAGGTCGGGTGCAGGGGCTTAATGTCGATGGCCGTGGCGATGGGCATCTCAGTGATCTTTCGTTATTTTAGCGAACGGGTTAGATGGGCTTCACTGTCGCACAATCTGACGGCTACGGTTTCTTGTACTTCAATCGCGGATTGGAGGTACATCTGAGTGAGATGTCCATATTATACTCGACAAAGTCTGTGCATAAAATGACCCCGGATTTGCATGCCATGGCGGCGGAATTGCCAGTTCGAATGAGCGGGAATGGACAACGAGGCTCCCTCCATTAAGGGGTTTTGCGGAATTGTATATTGTGGGACCAGCTTGATTGATTTGATTGGCGCACAAGCTGCATACTCGGCTAACATTCCAAATATGGTTCGGGAAACGTGCATTAGTTCTAGTGACGACATATTTGCCTGCACATCCTGCCGTGCCTGCTAATGTATGTATGTGATATTTACTCGGATCTTCCCAATGCTTCGTCAGAGGTGGCTCTCGAGGCAGCAAACCCGCTCGCCAGGATGCTATAGTCGAGCGTCGTCAAGAGAAACTTCATCCCCGCATCCGAGCGCGTGCGCACCAGTTCCGGCGTCGTCGCCATCGACCCGACGAGTTTTCCGTGCTTTCGACCAGCCTCGCAGATCCTGTCGATGGCGGCAAAGAATTCAGGCTCGGGGCCATCAACCCCTCCCGGCAGACCAAGAGATAACCGCAGATCGTACGGTCCGATGAAAACCCCCGTGACTTCGTCCAGACTTAGGATCCCGTCGACATTTTGTACCCCTTCGGCAGACTCGATGATGGGTAAGACCGCGATACCTCGATCTCGTGCCCTCTGGTAATACGCCGCCCATCCACCTGTAGGATCGCCGGATCCGAATGGAGCATGGAAAGGCCCGAAGCTTCGATTGCCCCCGGGCGGGTAGATGGCGCGGTCGATGATCTGTCTCGCCTCAGAGGCGTTGTTGACCATGGGTACGATGATGCCGGCCGCGCCACTGTCTAGCGCCCATTTGATCCATTCCACCCCGTGGCCCGGCACCCTGACAACGGGCAAGGACGAGCCGTGGGAGGAGCTCGACACCCCCTGTACCATCTCAGTCATGATTGCGGGGGACAGAGGTGAATGCTCCATGTCGATCATGACCCAATCGAAGGATTGCGCCGCCAGACTCGCCACGAGGGATGACGAGACCGTGAGAACAGTCCCGAGAAGCGGCCGACCAAGTGCTTTGGCGAGGGACACAAAGGTGTGTTTCTTGGGGGTTGGTTCATTGTGGGACGCTGCAGAGGGCGGATTTGTCGAGGCCATGGGGGAGAGATATTGGACTCAGGAATTCGCAAAGAGGTGTCTAACGCATAAAAGCTCTATGTGCAAATCGGCCGGCGGTGGGAACAAGAGATCACCAGACAAAGGATGACGAGATACACGCGGGATGAGAATACGGGATATATTTGAAAGGTCTAAAGTGTTGTGTATGCCTTGATGTTATCTTACTCTTCACGGGCGGCAGTTCGAACGATGTGGGTAGTTCGCGTACGGAAGGACCCCTTGCCCGTAGGTCGGTTCTCTCACTGCTAATGATGGGAAATGAGAAGGTTACCAGTAAACATGTCTACGGAGCAGGCCTTGAGAGAGTCCCGTCACGTTTGTTAGGTACCTAGGTAGGGTAGTTCAGCAGCACCTCATAAGCTCCCGTCTGTCCCTGACCCTCGTCCTTCCGGCTCAAAAGTCGACAATCCATCGTGGGTGCGGAAAGCAGCGGGACATGAGGGATATGCACGGCATTAGCCATTACAGATGGAGCTGGATGGAGACATCGAGTTCCGGGATTCCCAGATTCCCTTTTTCGGTTTTTTATTTTTGATTGGGAACAGTGACCGATGGAGATTTTGCGAGGACGAGGAAGAGAACCATTGGGGAGCGGTCCGTGGTTCGTGGTTCATGTTTCATGTATGCATCCATGTATGTTTGTCGGGAGGGCCTACTTGGTGGCTTGGTACATGGTACCACGCCCCCAGCACTATCAAGACACTTGTCGCAATCCGAAAGTTCTGCCACAAACTATTGTCGAGAGCCGAGATCTGGCTTGACGGGAGGGTTCGACGGGGTGCAGACATTGTCAAAGCTCTGTGTCTTGGTGCCACCACCGTCCTGATGGACCGTCCGTTCTTGTATGCACTCGCAGCACATGGTACCGAGGGTGTTTTGCGAGCAATTCAGAGTAGGTCATGACTCATTCATCAACAGGAGACCTTTGTAATGACACCATTCACGATTACAGTCTTGAGCGACGAGATAGAGATAACCATGAGGCTTATTGGCATCACTAGTCTTTCCCGTGTCCATCCCGACTATAGCTGCCTGCTTCATCGTCAGCTTTCTCTGGGGTCCGTGACGGCAGACTTTGATCAATATGGCAAGACCAGGGGATCTCATGTAGCTGGGAGCCGAAGGAGTCGATCCCTCTCTGTAAGCGGCTTGCAGGATATGCGCCTCATGAACCGACCACCGACACGCACCTTTCCCAGCTGAACAGGATGAGGAAATCCTCTTTTGTTCTCCGCAGGAACCGTACCCCGGACTTTGTCTAGGGCTCTTGTTCTCCACGCACTCCTGCTTTCCCCCCGCCTTTTCCATGTCTCGACTAGCACCAGCCACGTCCTCGGTCGATGACATGGCTAAGACTTGTCGGCTAGCCGGCCCGGAGGATAAGGCGCGGACATAGGCGGAGTGATAACGCCCCCTCTATCTCCCAGACGCAGCTTGCTGAAAACGAATGCTTAGATCGAGATTGGCTGCAGCGGGCAGCGGGCGGATGCCGGGTCGCTGGCCGGCAGACACCTTTGCTGGTGAGATTAAACAGCGTAGCTGAGGACTTATCAAATAAAGGGGATGGGGAGAGGTAAGGAACATACCTAGGCATATGGTATATATATATGCACATGTACCAAGGACTGCCACTCCGTCACATGTTCCTTGGGGTACCAGGTACTTGCTTCACCGCTTTCTGTTGTTGGATGATCACAAAGTGGCTGTTGTTCCCTCTCCATCCCTCTCCCTCTCTTGATCTGTAGACGCATCGTAATATATCTTTCTGGGCTTTCTCTCCCACAAGGACAAACCCCTCCGTTCCAATCATGGGGCAGCTCAGCACCGAAGTCGCTCTCCGACTCACTGTCGGCCTCCTGCCCGTCCTGGTCGTCTATTGGCTCCTCTACCCGTGGTACTTTTCGCCTCTGCGTAATATCCCAGGTCCTTGGTACGCCGTCTATACCAAATGGTGGCTCGTCTACAAGACCTGGCGAGGCGTCCGTGCAAAGACCATTCATGACCTTCACCTCAAATACGGGCCCTGGGTTCGCGTCGCCCCAGACGAGATATCGACCTCGGACAGCAAGGCCATAGTACCCATCTATGGCGTCAACTCCGAGTTCACCAAGACAGCCTTCTACACGTACCAACTGCGAGCCATCCCAGAGCTCTTCACCATGTCAGACCGGAAGGCCCATGCCAAACGACGCCGCGAGCTGGCTCATCTGTTTTCCATGTCCACCATCACTGAATACGAGGACATTATCGCAGGTAATGTCCTCGAGTGTATGAACCTCATTGCGGCCGAGGGAAAGGCCGGCCAGGCCAGCAACCTCTATGACTGGTGGCACTACCTGTCCATGGATATCATCTGCGAGCTCTCATTCGGAATCGGGTTTGACATGCTCCACAAGGGGGCTGTTAACCCTTATATCCAGGACATGTACGGTTCGCTGACTATCGAGCCCGTCCGCTGGCACTTTGGATGGTTGAATCGATACGCGAGCTGGGCACCATTCAAATTCGTCCGAGACGCCGAGGCCTGTAGCGTGCGCGGGTTTGAGAGAGGGACCAAAATTGTGCAAGAATACAAGAGGAAAGAGGACAAGGGTCAGCGCAAGGATCTGTTGCAGAAGATGATCAACGCCCGAGACGAGAACGACCAGCCGCTCCCGGAAGACGATTTGAACATCCAGTCGACGAGTTTCATCCTCGCAGGCTCTCACACGACCTCATCGTCACTGACCTGGATCGTCTGGCGCATCCTGTCAAACCAGGAGATTCACCGGAAGCTGAACGACGAACTTGACGAGGCTCTGGGGACTGGAGACCGCCGCGCAGTTCCACCACACTCCAAGCTTGACGGACTCACCTATCTCAACTGCATCATCAAAGAGGGTCTCCGGATCGACACATCGGTTCCAGGCTCGACGCCTCGATACGTCCCTCCTGAAGGCGCAGTGCTCGGCGGCTACCACCTCCCTGGCGGGACCATCGTCTCGATCCAAGCATACACTACCCACCGGCAACCCGACGTCTTCCCAGACCCAGACAGATTCTGGCCAGAGCGTTGGTTGGACGAGACACCAGAAATGCGACATCTGTATGTGCCGTTTGGGGCTGATGGTCCGCGTAAGTGCATTGGCATCCATTTGGCCTACATGGAACTGCGAGTGATCCTGGCGGCTTTGTTCCACAGATTCGATCTTCGTTTCGCAGGACCTGTATCGGACGAGAGTATGGATATGCATGAGCTGTGGCTTGCGGCGCCCGTGGGACAGGATCTCAGCATCATCGCCACAGAGAAGGAGTAGGTAGTCGCCAGGGGAGACTTTCTAGGCAGCGGAAGTAGCGTTGATTATTTTCCTTTCCTTGTCAGTGGCCATTGATTTCAAAGGGATCAACTCAACAAGATCACACAGGGCACACATAGATCCATGTGTTGGGCGTCAGCTGTTTGGTAAACGCCAATCTCTTTACTGGGTACAAAGCATCTCTCGCTCGACTGGGCGTTGGTGGGGCAGGGAAAGCTCGTAGTCAAGGGCAAGCATTGATCTAAAGGGTTCAGGATCATGTTCGAGAAGCGCAAGACCCGAGGAAATGGTTAGGAAGGGGAGCCTTTAACTGGGACACGCCTGAAGATGATGTCGTCACCGCCAATGACTCCGTTATAGGTGCCAAGATGGGGCTGCCCTCCACTAGAATCCGTCTGCTGCGGATGCGCCCAGCCGCCTGCACTTTTGCCCGGCAGGCGCGCCACTAGCGACTTTCTCGGCCTCAAACATCCATGGCATTTCAACTGTCTTTGTACCACCAGTAAAGTCACCAATCCCTGTCGTGGCCATTGCCGCTACCCGACAAGCCCTATACCCCGGGGTCCTAATTTCTGGTGTCTGATTGCCTCTTTTGGAGCGGAGTCTTTTCGCCCGCATCCTATTTGGAATAGTGCTTGCTGAGTACCAACCATGAACTCTCTCCAGAACCTCAATTTGACTACAGCCCACGGAATGACGCGCCCACGCGGTTCAAGCCTCCAACATGGATGTCTCCTTAACTCAGAATGTCGTCCGTTCAAGCCCTTTCTGGCATCGACGGGAGGGTGCAGCTCATTGTGGGCCGTGTCACCAGCGCCCGCAAGTATTCCAGCTCCGAACTTATGGTCACCTGGGACAGCACGATCGGTAGTGATGACAAGAGCAGGAAATGAGGATGATCATTGAGGGGGATCGCATTGAAACAAGTTAAATTGAAGGTAACCCCGAGGGACTGCCTCCTTCCTTCACCGACTACGGAAAAGACCTCCCACGACGACTTCACCATGACCAGCTTCATGTCCCTGAGCTTGCTCGTTCTGGCCTCTTTGTCCGCTTTCTGCACATCCCAGCCAAACCCATCTAATGGCAGCTACGACATGTTTTGGGGAACTTCAAGCTACTATGCTCATGGTCAGTGAAGTCAAGAGAAGACACATGCCATGACTAATTGATTCAGGGCTTGACGAAGCTACTCGGAACGCTTGGCTTGATGGACTCCAGCGGGACGGAGCACGCATCATCAGGATATGGATCAACGGCATCTCACCAGGAACTTATAAAGGCACGAACATCACGGTAACCATTCCCAACCTCGAAGAGACCGTGGGCATCTTCAACGACACCGTTCTTGATGCGATTGATGATCTCTTCATGGAAGGCCACCGTCGTGGTATCAAATTCATCGTCTCTGTACATGATGGCAACGCATTCGGGCAGAATTCTTGTGACGCCTATTGTACCGAATTTGGAGGGTTTGGTCCTGCCTCTGGGACGCCGATTACTCTCGGAAACTCGTTCTATACAGATCCCACAGCAGTGGCCGCCTTTGACAACCGAATTGCCCACATCATGAATTATCAGTCCCCCAATTTTGGAAAACCCTGGGCACAGCTCACGGAGGCAATCGCTGCGTTCGATATTGAAAACGAGCCGATGATCCAGGCTATCACGCAGCTTGACACCGTTGGTCCAGCATGGTTTTGCGATCGAGCGAGGCAATTCAAAAAGTACATCGGCTCCGCTGCCATTGCTGTATCAACCGGAGGTGCTGGTGGTAGTGGAAATATATACCAGAACTGGAACTGGAGACCGTGGCTGTTTACCTGTCCTGAAATCGACTGGATCGCTCTCCACGGATACGACGGCGACTGGACTCAGTGGGTGCCAAATGCCACCGCCCTCGCTGCCCAATACAACAAAAAACTATTTGTAGAAGAATGGGGAGTGGTTGCCTCTGCGCGAGCAAACAATCTTGCTTGGAATTTCGAGGAATTTGTGGAACTCGGTCTCAGCTGGGTATACTGGGAGCTGGTTCCCGGCCCGATCAAAAGCTGCTTTTGTGGTTCTGATCGCGGCAATGCCGTGTGAGGTCAGCCCAACAACATCATATATCAGACAGTTTGACTGACGACAAACAGGTGCAGCTTGATGGCCCAGACTATGCCGGCTTTCAAGCTATTGCAAAGCGCACATTAACAGCAAAGTCTGCATATGACTTCTCGGCTTATCTGGCTTTGTAACATGCGATGAGGAAAACAGGCCGCAATGTACATCAAGCACCCTGTGGTCTTACTGCCGCATATGCATGAGTAGGAGCCCGACAACTCCAACATTAGGCTTCTAGAGTGAGAAGATTAGCCGCCAGGTGGATTCCGTGATGAGGTAGCTGAACATCCCTGTCATTATCAGCACACAATGGGTCAATGAACGCCAGAGAGCTTCACGCCACAAATAGGTTCAGTCTGTCATATGGCCTCGATGCTAGCACCAGTCAGCTCCTATTCTACTCATGGTCGTGTATGACTAACTCTCCTTGTTAATTCGCATCCCTGCTCACACCGACACAAAGCAAGGCGACTCAGACTCGACGAATAAAGTCAGGGGCAGCACGCAGACCATACCCACTGCCCATGCAACCTCACATTCTTCATCATGCCAGAGATGGCTAAGCGAGCGTCATACCCCATCGCATGCGACCAAGGATCACCGTTGTCCCACGGGGTGAAGCGACTTCCCCTCACAAAACTCGCTGGAGATCAGGCTACGCTTTTCCTATGGAGCAGCGGAGGAATGAACACTCCGTGCCCAATATGGTAATTGATCTCCACTCATGGTATGCCTCTGTGGTCAATGGTCCTGCTCTTCGGTCAGGGAGCATATAAGTCGGCAGATCTTCTGACTTCCAGAGCTATGTCTGAAGGCCATCACATCTCTCCTGCTCGTCTTTCATCATGGCAGCACTCAGTGTCAGTATGCTCCCCTCCTAGTTTGCTCTCTGGAAACTGACGAGTAATCCAGGAAAAGGAGGCAGCTCATCAGCTAGAAGATTCAAGGGCCACCGCGACAGATGAGGAAATCAGCGCTGCCAATGCAGACTTTGCTGCTGCTTTGAGTCATAATGCTCCCAGTCCATGGGGACGTGGACACATTGCCCTTTATGGCTGCTGCCTTATCGTGTATCTTTGTTCCACGATGAATGGTTAGTAAACACACTTCTGATCGGGTGTGGAGCGAACTGATGAGATGCAGGATACGATGGCTCTCTCATGGGCAGCATCAATGCTTTACCAAACTACCTTCACTACTACAACGTGTCCGAAAATGAACAGGCGGGCACTGGGATCGTCTTTGCAATCTTCCAGGTTGGGCAAATGACAGGTGCACTGTTCGTCTGGTTGGCCGACTGGAAAGGCAGAAAGGTGCCAATATTCCTCGGCTGCGCCGGCGTGATTGTCGGGACGATCGTCACTGCCACAGCTAAGACGAGTAAATGAATCGTTGTCCCATGTTAGACCGACTGATGCTGACATTCTCAGTGGCTGTTTTCATCGGCGGTCGCTTCTTGCTCTCGTTCTTCTGCACGTGGGCTACGACTGCAGCACCCATGTACATCGTCGAGATCGCTCCCCCTCTGGTAAGGATGGTCCTTCTACGAAAGACGAGCCATTGACCCTATAAATTAGTATCGGGGTACTGTGTCTGGACTCTATAACACGCTCTGGTATATGGGTTCCATCATTGCCACCTTTGGTAAGCCATTCCGCACGAAAGACTGACCGGATCTCTCACACTCTTGCAGCTGTCTACGGGACTCATCTTCATTTTACCTCGAATCTGGACTGGCGTCTGCCACTGTGGCTCCAACTGCTCTGCCCAGGTATTGTTTGTCTCACGGTGTGGCTTCTTCCAGAATCTCCTCGTTTCTTGGTTGCCACCGACCGCCTTGAAGAAGCTCGGGATTTCATTGTGAAATACCACGCAAATGGAGATGCGGCGCACCCCATTGTCAACCTCGAACTCAACGAAATCCGACACAATTTGCGTGATGTTCCATTGGCGTCATGGAGCAACTTCTTCGATCTTCGGATTCTCGTCAAGTCCCGCTCGAGACGATATCGAAGCATGTTGAATCTTGCCTGGAGTTGGTTTGGCCAGTTCTCTGGAAACAAGTGGGTGTCAGATTAGAATCCTGCGAGCATTTACTGACCGTGATAGCGTGATATCTTACTATCTGCCCCTGCTCCTCACCAACGTTGGGGTCACGGACACCAATACTGTCCTCTTGCTCAATGCAGTGTACGCCTTGACGGGTTGGATCGCTGCTGCTGCTGGAGCTCGCTTCCATGATGTGTTTGGCCGGCGTAAAATGATGCTCGGCTCGACGTTTGGCATGATCATCTGCCTATCCATCACGGCCGGGACTGCGGCAGGATACGTCAATACTGGATCTAAAAGCTCGTCTGATGCGAGCATCGCCTTTATCTACGTCTTTGGTGTGGTTTTCGCATTCGCTTACACCAGTATGCAGCCCATCTACCCTGCTGAAGTCATGTCGAACGAAATGCGAGCCAAAGGCATGTGGCTCTTCCAGTTTACCGCTGGCCTCGCCTCATTCGTCAACACGTTCGCCGCCCCCGTCGCCCTGAAGAACATCAAGTATTGGTTTTACGTCTTCTTTGTGTTCTGGGACTGCTTCGAGTTCCTGTTCATCTATTTCTTCTTTGTCGAAACCAAAGGCAGGACTCTTGAAGAACTTGATGAGGTGTTTGAAGCGAAGAATCCGAGGAAAGCAAGTACGAGAAAGATTGTGGTAAGGAGGGGGGAGCTTGTCGACAAGGACGATGTCCACGATGTTCAGGTTTCCAAAGAAGACCATCTCGCCTAAGTCGTCGCGTTGGTTGGAGTGGAACTGGGCGTTCAAGAAATGGACTGAATGCGGTTGGAAAAGGAACATGAAGTGAATGAGGCAATTTGCAGAACGGTTGTGGGAGCAAGAGTGCTAGTGTCGCCCTGGATGTAGTCATTGGATAAGGCTCAACGACTTTCATACCTGAGTCTACTTGCATCTTATCCCTCTGACCTCTTTGCATGGTTCGTCGATAGGGATGGATTGTAGATATGTCAACACCAGGCCTGTTGCTGTGTTGCCCCAGATTCAGACCTTGCCTTCTTCCAACTACATCCCTCAAGCCCATCCTTCGAATCATGACTAGCAGAAACCGTCCGAGGTGGTCTTGTTGTTGTATATTCTCGTGTCTTCCACGCCAGGCTCCCATCAGGTTGACCTGGTCTAGATTATACAGACAGGACCAGTTTTATATACCTCAACTGTGCTGGACATTGATCTCCCAGCGGTTCCAAGCTGCTTGCCAATATCATTCTCATGAATCGTGACATGCCTGCTGAGGTCGGTGTCATGGCCCCTTTTCCGTCTCTCTCACGGACTGGTCATGCATTTCCATCTTACCCGTAATGAACCATATGCACACCAATAGCTTTCCGCACCTCACGCGTAGCTCGGCACCTCGACATTCTTCACCACGACCTTGTTATCCTTGTTGTTGGCGTAATTGGCATCAATGCTCGCGAAGCGGATCTTGACCCAATCGACCGCACTCACGCCTTGTGGAGGCATTGCCCTGTTGTTGTTGCCCTGGATCTTGTCCCTCTCTCGCTCCAGAAGCGGACTCTTGACCGGCTCCAAGAGGGTGTCGTCGTCCGGGTTTGCAAAGTAAATGACGCCGTAGCGCGGGACATGTCGCTGGTCCTCCGGGGGCAGGACGACGCGGTGGATCGAGCTCTCGAGGTAGCCGCCCGTGAGGAAGGAGAGCGTGTCGGCGACGTTGACGGTGATGCTGCCCCGGAGCGGCTTGACCCATCTCCACTCGGTCTCGCCGTAGGGCCGGACCTGCAGCGCCGCGACGGGCTGGCGCATCAGCAGCGTCAGCGACCCAAAGTCCGTGTGTCCGTAGACGTTGTGCTCGACGCTGTGTCTCTCCATGGTCGCCAGCTCCGCCTCCGTCCGCGGGTGGTAGAGCATGTACCGCAGGTGACACTGCGACTTGTTGTCGTAGTTGTGCAGCTTCCACAGGGCCTCCTCGTCGTCGAGTTCCATGATGATCGCGCACAAGATCAGCAGCCGCCGGAGGACGTACGTGGCCATGTGTCTCTGGAACTTTTCCGCGCGCGCCGCTTCTCGCACGAGAGGCGCCGGGCGCGGCAGGTGTCTATACGCGTCGCACCACTTCGGATCGTCGTACAGCTCGAGGTTGTCGACCAAGCCGTGCTGCTGTTTCCGGCTCCCCCGGGGCTTCCACCCAAAGAACCCCAGGCCGTCCTTGCCCACGCGGCATTTCTGTTTCTCCTCCTCGGGCTGGTCGAAGATGGCCTTGGCGAGGGCGAACTGCGCATTCACCTCCTCCTCCGAGAGGCCGAAGTTGGTCACGTAGAAGAAGCCGACCGTCGAGATGGCGTGCTTGAGTTGGGACGCGAGTGCCTGTTTCCCGCCCGGCGCGTCGAAGCGCGAGAGGTCGATGGTGATCAGGTCGGCCCAGTCCAGGTCGGCTTGCGTCTCAGGGATGTCCTGGTAGCGGGTGTAGTCGACGTCGACGTCGAGAGATCCCATTGTTTCCGCTTTTTGTTATGTTTCAGTTGAGCTAGAGGGGTGTGTAGGTGTGAAGAAGGAGGTCAACCAGAGATCCTATACAATATAATATGGTATTCTAGCCAGTCGGAAACCCCATCGTTACACCATCACATGCCTTATACCTTGATAACCTTCTGATATTTGTGGGACGTCCTTGCAGTAGGTTTGGAATGCGGAGAGAGACGCACAGAGAGTGACCGAGGGTATCCGGCTATCCCAATGCACGATGACAAACAGTTCATCATGGCCGGGTAGTCTTGAGCAGGAGAGTTTGGAACTATGTACTTTGTACATTTCTAGATATACGCGTTATCTTCATTGGCTTGACGGCAACCAAGTGGTGGATTTGTTTGTACAGGCGAAGCTCAAAGTCTATCATAGATTCCTATACAAGCCACAGAGTATAGACTTGCCTCAAAGATTTCGAGGCCGGCGCGGTCTGAACCACGAAAGAATAAATGCAACCTGAATTCGAACACGCAAGACACGCACATATTTAACAAGTCAATTGACTTTACCAGAAAACTCACTCGTTTCAGTTATTGGAACCTTCAATCTCCGTCATGATCCATGTGCTAGTTGTCCATGATTGTCCTTTTATATCCCATTCTTGTTGCTCGAGTACATGTTGCTACTCGTTCCTCGCCTCGTCCTGACAGCTACACCTACTAGCAGCAAAACTCCGCCCCTGCTCAAACCACGATAATGGCCATCTTCGATCAGGCCCACTGACGAGGATAATAAAGAAGATGGGGCAGGGATCGTCCGTCTCCACAAATCTCCCTCTTCCAGTTATCCGAGGACCATCACACAGGGTCTGGACCTCTACAAATGCAACGCAGACAACCACTGACAAGACTCTCTTGTGCCCAGAATATCGAATAGGACCCCAATTCACACCATGGGCGACGCTGGTGATCTATCATCCCGCGAGGAAATCTGCAAAGCCGCCCGAGAACATCTCCGCGCTGAAGGCTGGGCTGTCATCCCGGATGTCCTGGACAAAGAAACAACGGCAAATGTGCTCGACAGGTTATGGAAGGCCAAAGAGGCGGGTGAGCATCGTGGGGATGCCACATACATTCCTCGCCTGGACCCCAACGAGGCCAATGTTCGCGTCTTCTATCTTCTCGAGCTGGACCAGATCTTTCGAGACCTCATCGTCCACCCGGTCGCCCTCGACATGGTGAAATCCGTCTTGGGAGACAACTTCCTCATCTCTAATTTCACGGCTAATATCGCTCGACCGGGCAGCCAGTCCATGGCGCTCCACAGCGATCAGAGCATCGTGGTTCCAGAGCCGTGGAAGGAAGTCTGGTCACTCAACGTCATCTGGTGTCTCACCGACGTCTACGGCGACAACGGTGCGACGCTATATATCCCCGGGTCGAACAAGTACGAGTCAAGACAGGACATTCCCGCAGAAGCCGATAAGCTACTCCGACCCTTCGAGGCGAAAGCAGGCAGTATCATTCTGATGGACGGCCGTGTCTGGCACACCTCGGGCGCCAACATCACAAAGGATCAAGACCGCGCGTTGATGTTTGGATATTACACCAAGCCATTCCTTCGGCAGCAGGTCAACTGGACGGCCAAGTTGCCTCGTGAATTGCAGGAGACTCTGAGCGACGAGATGAAGGAGTGGTTGGGCCTGGGATATAATGCCAACATTGCCAGGACGGGGAATACTTCGTACAATTATCTCAGTAGGCAGTTTCCAAAGGGAGAAGCGCGAGCTTAGTTTGAATAGCAGGGCCTAGCATCAATGCCGTGTCTGTCACAGCATCACGAGATCTCTTTCATATACATTGGATGCCTCTGTTCACAATCACTGTGTCTCTCGTGCTGCACGGCGTCATGATACCCGATACTCAATACCGAGTACACGACATCCGTCGTACTCGCCACCCATGGCGGGCCTTGATTTCCACTTTCCCATTCTTGCTCGTCCTCGGTTCTTTAATACTTGGTACCAAAGCGGAGTCCAGATCCAGAAGTTAGACTATGGTCCAATAAACACATGGTCCAGTGACCACGAAATCCCCGAGGCTTACCTGATGAGGATTGTTCTGGGGAGTAGGAGGGGTATTCGGGAGCATGAAACGGTAGGTCGAAAGGCTGAATGAGCCTTGTGAGCGTGTCGGAGAGAGACAGAGAGAGTAATAGAGGGAAAGATCTGACTGTTTCCAAACCCCTGCTGCTTCAGACGCGGGTCCGTACTGAATAAAAGACAGCAGCATCTCTTCTTGCTTCCTCCGGTTCTTCGCCTCCCACTTAGATTCCTCCCCTCAATCTATTTCGTTCTGTCAGTTTCACAATGGCCACTCAAACAGCTACACAGACGCTGCAGTCCGGCTCGGTCAAGATCAAGGGGAAAGTGGCCGATCTCGACAAACATGTCAACCTGGCCAAGTTCTCAACGGACGTGCCAAAGGCAGACTACGATCGAGCAGTCGAGCTAATCAGGTCTAAATTGGACAACATGTCTCTTGTTGCAGCCAGGCTCTCACTCACTCTCGGACCCAACCATCCTCCGTTGCTGATCGATGCGCGGGCCAGTCCTGCGACTCTCGATGTCATCACCGACGGCGAAATTCCCGAGGATGTCGATGCTCAGGTCTACATCACGGCCGTCATGATCAAGAGATTCGTCGATGGTCTTATGGATGCTCGCTATGCCCTCAACTGGGGCCACATCTTCATGCTCACCGGCCCGACACGGGTCGGAGTCAAATTCGTCGATGCTCTGACGCCATTCAACGCCGTCCATCCTAAGCTCGACCGACTAGATCTGAAAGAATTGCCCAAGCCCACCGAGGATATCGAGCAGGTCAAGCGCGATCTCGACGTCTGGGGATACGGGTTCGTCAAGAACGCGCTCACCCCGGAAGAAGTGCGCGTGCTCAGAAAGCGACTCATGGATCAAGCCCAAGGCGAGGCCGACGCTGGCATCGGCTTCTTTGACGGTGGCGAGAAGAAGCCCAACCAACGGATCTGGTGCTTGCCGAACAAGGGCAAGGAATTTATCGATTTGCTCGAGAACAACAAGACTATTCAAGATGTGGTCCCCGACTTCCTCGGAGACGATGCCATCTTGTTCTCGTACACGGCGAACATCGCTCGGCCGGGCAATACCCCGATGCACATGCACACGGACCAAATCACCATCCAACCACCCATCAGATCCGTGGCGGTAGGCATGAACTTGATGTATTTCCTCGAGGACGTCACTGCAGAGAACGGCGGCACTCTGGTCATGCCGGGGAGCCACAAGGGGAACTGGGCGCCGGACGACCCGTACGATCCGGTCGACACGGTGGCAGCGGCTGGTCCCGCGGGGACTTGCATGGTGTTTGAAAGCAGGCTCTGGCACGCAACGGGGGCGAACAAGATGCCGGCAGACAGCGGCAGCGAGAGACCGGTCATTCTGGTCTTCTTCACCCGGCCTTGGATGAGACAGCAGGAGAACTTCTCGCTGTCGGTCAAGGAGGACGTGCTGGCCACGTGCTCCGACAAGGTCAAGGGTTACCTGGGGTTCAGGACGAGCGGGAGCATCGGCGGGGTTCAGACGAGGCAGAAGGATGGAGACATTGTGAGGAGGCCAAAGGAGGACGAGTTTATTGGCGTCATGGGTGTGGGCACCTCCAAGTACTAGTCATACATGGCCGTCGAGTCCCACCCGCGCAGACCGGGAGTCAACAGATTCTGTGCTATAATGGTCTCGCGCTTTGCTAGAAGTTCTTCCACGTCCCAGTTCACGTACAGTAGTCGATTCTGCAAATAGGCAGCCTCAGGGGCATTTAGCCAGACGAGGAAGTCTGCTGCCAGTTCGGCTGGACAGGTCAGTCAAGCCGAGGATGGCTCAGGGGGGGGGGGGGGTGTTTTTCTCCTACCAGTGTCATCACATTTAGAATTCCCCTCCTTCGCCATCGCTGTGGCGACAACCCCCGGGTGGACATGAAACACCTTGAGACCGCGCGAGGCCTGCTCGTGGAAGAGGTAGCTGAACATCTTGAACGCCGCCATCTTGCTTGCGCCGTACCCGGACAGACCGGCGACGAAATCAATCACGGCGGCACCAGACGAGATGTTCAGAACCGTGGGGTGTTCCGACGCACGTTCAAGGAACGCCGTGGCCAGAGCCAAGGGACCCTTCACGTTGACTTCGAAATGTCTCCAGTAGCTGTCAAAATCCCACTTGGCGTCCGGCAACGGGGTCGTTGGCATTGACGCAATATAGCCCGCGTTGTTCACGAGAATGTCCAGCGGACGCCCAGCGACCTTGCACGCCTCTGCAAAGACCTCGCGAGCTTTGTCCAAGCCCTCGCTGACATCGAAGACGAATTTCCCGACCAAGACAGATGGACACTCCCTTGATATTCGATCCTGTGTCTCCTCCAGAGTCGAGCGCGTGCGACCACTGAGAAAGACCGCTTTCACTCCTGCCCTCGCGAAAGACAGGGCGGTCGCAGCTCCGATGCCTGACCCAGACCCTGTGATGAAGACGGTCTTGTTGGCCAGTTCTGCCTTTTTCAGCCGCTCTTGCAAGACGGGGTATGTGTCATTGTGGAACGTGGAGGTGAAGTTCTTTCTGGTTATGATGGCCATGTTGGACTGGATTGCAATGGCCACTTGAGACAGCTGGATGTGCACGACATCTCTAGGGCCTTCATTCCACATCTGGTCAAGAACCATATCCCCCTGTCAATGCGAGAGAAAAGCCGAGGCCATGAATACTGAATCTGGAAAACCGAGTAACTCACCTGCGCTAATCCATTTTTGGATAACCGAGGCTATGAGATTGCGGGGTGATTCACACGAGACCGAAGCTCCACGACCAACCACGACCATCATAATCCAGGTGCCACTTGTTTCCCCAACATTGTGGGGGAAAAGCGAGTCGCTTGGCTTGCTCCTGGTAATGTTCCTCGGCGATGGCGGCAGACCCTGCAGAAGCTCTGTGTGGGTTGTACGAATGAAGGTTGTGTCGCAGGCGCTGCGCCGCTAGAGCTTGTTAACTGCGCCGGACGGTCGACCTCCCAGCAATCGGATTTCTTGTGACTTGGATTGTGCGACAATTAACCACAGAGCATGAGCTCTTCACCGTCTTGTTGTCAACTTCCTCGGAGCCATTGAATTCCAGCAGTTGCCACCACCGCAGACTCGCGCTTCCAAACAGACATGAGTGCCATACAGCCAGACCTGGAGACACTCTCGCCCCCGCCTCGATCGAAATACAGGTTCATCAAGAACAAACCTCCCAAGAAGCGTTCCTCGCAAGCATGCCTCGAGTGCCGTCGGCGAAAGGTCCGTTGCGATATCGTGGCGCAGAAGCCAGCCTCTTGTACAAACTGCCGACTCGACGGAGTTACATGTGAGTTGGGGAGAAGAAAGAGGCGGCTCCCGTACGTTCAGCATCAGTCTATACGGGGTGGTTCTTTGCTGATGAGTGTCACCAGAAGACAGGAAGTCGTCCAACCCTCCCCTCCGACGCCGGACTCAACTATCTCGTCGCATCGACATTTTCACGCGCATCCAGAGGTTGACGCACCAACTCGACATGAGGACCGGGGCGCCTTCGATATCCTTTCGAGTCCAGCCTTTACCTTCACCGATACGCCTCAGCAGAGTCGTAACCCGGAGATCACTGCGCCGGCACTCTCGTGCCTCGCGAAGCTGGCTACAGACATTGAACTACCTCCTTTCGTTAAACCCTTTCCCGAAACCCTCCAGGCCGAGGATTGGCAGTACCTCTGCGCAAAGAAATGCTTCGATTTTCCCGACCCAGGATTTGAAAGACTCATCTTTCAGCGGTTTGCAGAGTTCGTCCAACCACTCCTTCCCATTGTCGATGTTCCCGACATAATATCTGCCATTGAGGGGCGATCTCCAAACAAAATCTCGCTTCTTCTGTATCACACGTTGATTGGAGCCGGGCTTGCCGCCGTGGAACTTGACGAGATCAAGAGATATGGCTACGAGAGCAAAGCGGCTGCGAGAAACAGCTTCTATTCCAAGGCAAAGGTTGGCTGCCCAATGGTAAAGTGGGGGAATGAGTTATGCTAATGCGCACCAGGCACTACTCGACATGGAGGTGGAACCTGACCGCATCACAGTGTGTCAGGCGGCCGTGTTGTGCATCAGCTGGTCAAGCAACAACGACCCGAAAGACGGACTGCATTGGATGGGGATAGCCTTGACGCAGGCATACTCGCTTGCTCTCCAAAAAGCAGCCAACAACGCCGATTCGCCGTTTAAAAGACGTCTTTGGTGGACGTTGGTGATGAAAGAAGCCGATGTCTGCCTCTCCATGGGGAAGCCACCGCGTATCATGGCTCTGGACCAACTCATGCTGGATCACGCAGATTTCAGCAGCAGTGGGCAAGACACTTCGTCACAGCGTATGCTCGAAGCGGCCTGTATTGAGAAGGCGAAACTGTGCCTTATCATCCACAGAGTCTTGCGCTTGTTACATAGTGTCGACCGACGGAATGTTACTCCTGCAGCGCAAGATTCCAGAGTGTGGCAAATGGACTCGGAGTTGCAGGACTGGAACCATCAAGCACCATTCGACCTGTGGCACTTTGCCGATGATTTCGAGTCGAAACGGGTACTCTTGACTGTTTCCATGGTCAAATTGAGTTTTCTGATGGCTGCCATCATGGTACATAAGCCTGAAGTCCCCATCAAGAAATGGACAAAGTGTATGGAGGAGACGCCTGACCTTTATTTGGACGAAGAACTCTGTCGGTATCAAGCTCACGCCAGAGCCATGAGAAGGGCAGCCAACGACATGACTCGCATCCACAGAGACTTGCACGACGCCGGCTTGACCAGTGTGATTCCTGCTCTTGGAGTTGCAACCGTCTGTGCGGCAGTGAGTGTCCACTTACTGGATGCCCGGTCGACCAGTGAGGCGATACGGCAGAGGAGCCTGCAGCAACTCGACGCGTGCTTGGTTGTCTTGCGGGAAATCAAAAACCTGCACTACACGGCGGGCGAGGTCGCCAGGATCGTCGAAGGCACTATCAAGGCGGTGCGCGAGAACCGATCGCTCGAATTCGTCAAACAGTCCGGGGCCGCTCAGGTCCTGTGCAATACACTCCCTCAGGCTGAAGATATCTCGGACCAAAGCGGACAAGAGCTTTCAGCCGCCAATATCTGGATCGATCCCTCTCTCGACGTCGAGCATATCTTCAATTTTGATTTTGGCGGAGATCTGTTTTTCGAATGAATCTCGGGAGGTTTACCAGGTAGCTTGCATCATTTGTCGGCTGAAAGGGAATCGAAAAGGAATCGAGACAAACCTTGCGTCCTCGATGTTCATCCTCCAGTTCCAGGTTTTGAGACGTGCCTTTTCGGTGCCGAATTTGTTCGTCCATATTTGGATGATCAATGGCATGAGTTTGATGATGTAGCTGCATATGTGTATACGATACCTTCTTAACAGGATTGCGCGTCCGATCTGGAGTAAAGCAATCGGCCTAGTTGAGACCCCCAGACTACATAGTACAGCGGAGACTGAAAAGGCAGGTTAGGCGCAAGCCGGTCAATTATCTAAGCGATAAGAGTAGCCAATCCAGTCCTTCATAGAGTCATTACACCTTCCCTATAATAGACTAGTGTTGTTGAGATAACGGAGTGCCCCGATTGAATGATTGACCAGAGACTCGTATGACTTGGGTTCTCAAGTGCAAGTACAAGTACAAGTACAAGTACAGCACCTCGTGTAACCACGTTCGAATCAAATGTCACCTCCTCTCGCGGCTTTTAAGTCTATCACAGACCTGTCTGGTCTGCCTCGCGGCAACATACCATGTCTCCCGATACGAACGGGCTGCCTGCGTTCACCATCCCAACCGTCGACCTGACAGCCTACCTCAACGACCCCGAATCCCCCGAGGCCGAGAATACCGTGGCACAAATTCGCACGGCTTGCGCAACAAGTGGCTTCTTCCAGATCACGGGACACGGCGTCTCGGAAGCACTCCAGAAGCGGGTGTTTGCTGCCGCCAAGGCGCTGTTTGATCTGCCTGATGACGAGAAGCACAAGCTCAGTGGGAAACCCGGCCGCGGATTCGAGATCATTGGCGCCCAGACCTTGGAAGATGGCATGAAGCCCGATTTGAAAGAGGTACGCAGTCTGTCATTGGACTTGACCTGGAAGTTGGAAATTACAAGCTAACATCCCATCAGGGATATTATGTTGGTCGCGAGATTCCGGGCAATAAGCCGCCATTCAGACCGTTCCAAGAAGCGAATATCTGGCCTCCTCGGATCCCGGAGTCAGTGTTCAAACAACCCTTGCTGGAATACCATCAGGCTGTGTCTGACCTGTCCTTTGTGCTTATGCGAATCTTGGCTCGAGGTCTGAGTAACTTCGACACTGCAGTGTTTGAAGACTTTTGTCGGGATCCCATCGCTGCAGTCCGGCTTCTTCACTATCCTCCGCACCCAATATCTGATGACGCGGACTTAGTTGGCGCCGGTGCACACACAGACTTTGGAGCCATCACCCTCTTGCTCCAGGATGGACATTCCGGTCTCCAGGTCCTGAACGAGCTTACCGGGGAATGGATCGACGTGCCGCCTCAAGAACACGCCTACGTAGTCAATGTCGGAGACATGCTACAGGCCTGGACCAGTGGCGCGTACAAAAGCAACATACACCGAGTCATCAACACTTCTGGCACGAACAGGTATTCGATTCCTTTCTTTCTGGATGGCAACGCAGACTGTGTCATCAAACCCCTGGACGGCTCCGAGGGCAAGGCGTTCACGGTCGAAGAGCATATGCTATCTAGATACGCGGCCACCTACAAGTCGTAGCATGGAAGGGAATACTCCGGGCTTAGTCCCCACCCTCTGCAGAGGCTGGTTTCCCGTGGAGCGTACTAGGCAGGCTAGGTAACCTATCTTCAGCCGCACTGCACGATGACGTATCTTCAGCCTGATTTCCAAAAGTTCCTGAGTCCCAAGTCCTGGAGGCAGACGTTTGCCTCGCGCGTATTTCTCTACCAAGGCACGCAAAACGGATGGATGCACGAGACTAAAGCACGTCAGCTTGTTCAGGGTCATTGCAGAGCTGCCTCCCCTCATTTTATGTGACTTGCGACCCAAAAATTTTCATCAGGCTGAAAGTCACGCTGAATGTGGCTTGCATCCAGACCCTCTTCGGCTAAGCGAGCTCAATCAACCACACGAGCAACCGTTCGTGAGACAGGGACCCCTGTCGTAAGAGCATGCATTGTCGAGGGAACTTATGCTACTCGTATCCACAAGGGACGGGCCTAGGTACCGGGCTCTCCCTCCCAGGAGAAAAGTCCTCCCGCAGCCTTAAAATACCTTTGATCACTCCCACCTCGATTCCGCATCCTCTCGCCCTTTGCTACAACTGCTGGTAACCTGGGGACATTGTGAATCTTCCTCGTGTTTGAACACAATGGACGGTTCATTGCAACGGCTGGCAAGACCGGGGCTATTGCCTGGTCCGCAATCCTCTTCCTCGACCTTCTCGCGGGATCCGTCGCCTTATTCGAACGTTGCGTACCGTTCGCAAGCGACACTCTTGAATAACAGAGCCGAGTCGCCAGCCGACCTAGGAATTAGATTTCTCTCTGGAAATGAGGAGATGGCCGCAGACCGACCCAATGTGCCGGCGCAACCTGCAGGTGGACTATTGACTCCCCCGTGCGCCTTTTGGGCGATTTGGCTAATACTTGGCTGGGGACAGTCACCTTGACTGCCGTCACAGACGTCAGTGGGAAAAATTTGGCGAAGCTGGAATTTTGGCCCCCGATCCTGAAGTGGTATTCGACAGTCTTCTTGACGGTCCTGTATCTCGGCACGGCCGGTGGAATCGTGGCTCTGTGGTTCGCCGCCGGAACCAATGGTGAATACCACTTGTCGAGCGAAAATGTTCGCATGATATCCCGTTACTTCCCTTCGGCGTTGGGCACCCTCAATGTGATCCTGTTCCGGCACCTTGTTCGCGAATACATCAGGATGAAGCCGTTCGTGGCCATGGCAGACCAAGGCGGGATTGAGAGCTCGGGCAAGGAACCCAGCAAAAGCGTCAGTGGCGCCTTCTTTCCGTGGCAGGACATCTCGATAACTCGGGGTCTGACTTCGGTCATCTCCCTGCTCTGTCAACTCATGGTGGGGTTCATTGTCAGCTTGAAGGTGGCGTTGTTCGCCAGCGGTCCTGCTACCGTCGAAAACGATGGCAAACAAGTAACAGCAGCCTGGACTCTGATGCTCCGAGCGTGGCCGGCCTTCTTCCTCATCATCGGACACGTTGTAATGACAGCGTACGTGCTTTGGGTTGCACACCTCAACCGAGGAAAGTCTACTGGCCTCAGATGGGATCCGGTGACCATTGCCGACTACTGCGCCCTGTTCGCCCACTGTGATGTTACAGAGTACTTCTCTGCCCTTGAGTTGCTCCACAACCGCAAAGCGAAGCAAGTCTTATCAGCCAACCATCGGTTTCGACTGGGATACTGGACAAAGACCATTACTGGCTCGCCAGGTGCAGATTCTTTGGTGTATGGCATTGGCCCGACTTGGAATGCAGCAGGTAATTCGCACGCATCTGAACTTTGGGAACGTTTGCTCACTGATAACAGAACGTCCATCAACGAAATTCGAACCTGGCTGGTACGAACGATTGATGGGAATTAAAGGGCCTAGTCCGGTCGATGACTGTGACAAATACAGGAGCGGCGACGACGAGCAGCGTTCCCCTTGTAACCAGGGAACATGGCCGGAGTGCGAACACTATCCTTACCGCCATAGCCCTGGCTGCGGAAAGGGCTGGGTCGTCTTGTCGGTAGTCCTGGTCTGGGCGGGACTTGGAGTTGCCATCTACGGGCTGATCAATGGCATAGTCTTCCATGGATTCCGTCTGGAGAAGGACTGGAGCATACCGTCATCCATGTCGGTTTCTGCTGGCAACCACACATTCCACCTGCCGCCTATCGACCCGACAGATCCCGAATCAAAGCTCATTGTGTACGCCTTGTTGTTCCGATCAGCGCCAGTCTATGTGACTGGCGTGTTCACGGCGACGATCATTGAGTGGGTTGATCTCAACATGCGATTCATGCAACCGTTCATCAACATGTTTGGAAAAGCCGGCGACGCTGCGGATACTGTTCTACTGGCGTACATCACCACATCGCCATTGCAGGTTCCCATCACGGCGATTGTCAAGGGCCATTACAAAGTCGCGACATTCTCCATCTTGAATACTCTGTCCCCGCTGTTCCCGATCTTCATCGGTGGCCTTCTCCAACTCGAGGACGACGACGAGAAAGTCAGGTTCATGTTTTCACTGTCGGCCTACATCGGCATCATGGTCTTTCTCATTGCTTGGAGCGTGGCAATGCCATTCGCCTATCCCATTCAGAAGCGGCTTCTCCCTCGCCAATTCTACAGCATGGCAGACCTCATGGCCATGTGTCACAGATCGTACTTCATCCAAAGGCCCTATCTTGACTTTGCTGACAACCGGCGCACCCCGTCCAAGGAGATCATGGAGGCGCGCATCCTCATGTATGGGGACCGATTCTTGTTTGGGCATTACACCGACGATGAGGACAGAAGGCACATCGGGTTCGACATCCACAGCACCGTGGACTATAGCACCGGCGACGTGGAAGAGACCGGACTGGTGGTCGACATCTCGCCTCGGGGCGAAATAGACACGCTCACAAGGAAGACGGTCAAGACCATGACGAACCTCTTTCGCAATGCGGGCAAGGTCCAGAACAGCAGCAAAGGGTTTGTGGCGTGGCTGCGGCGGATCCTGCGGCGACCACGAAGAGAGACAGTACAAACGGAAATGAATACCTTTACTCCCAGGGGATCGGCGACTGGATCACACCTCGAGAGGCAACAGGAGCCGCGCCAACGATCTGCTGTGGCATTTGCTGAACTAGCTTCACCAGATTAGGAGAGGAGACCTTATCTGTGGGAACAGGGTCATTGGCTGACTGGCGGTGATTGTCCCAAGCTTCTCACTGTCCAGGGTTGATCATGCTTGTGTCCGACTCATGACCGATGAATCGATATTTCCAGGCCAGAATTGCCGTTCGAGGGTTCTCGACTGCTGCCACCGCTGCCCAGGTCATTGTTTTTGGTCAGGTTTTTTTGTACGAGGAGGAAAAGTCTTTGGATATAGATCCGCATCTTGGGTGATATGTTTTCTGTCATTGCAGTGTATTTGGTTCAGCGAGGGCCACGCATGCGCTTTAGGGCAGGGAATATGCGGTGTGAAACGATCACCAGCTCGGGTGGCTACCATCTCGCATGTCACTGTACGATACCGTTGAGTTGAAGACCATGGCCTCATGCGATTGACTCGGCGTTTCATAGTCACGATAATCCCCCACCTGACCGCCGGGCCTTGAGCAGCTATTTTTCTCTCTACCAGTGACTGACCTGGCACGCTTTGTTCGGGTTTACTCATCTTCACTGTTCCTTCAGCGCTGGTCTCCAGGGAGCTCAAGTTGAAGACCCTGTCGGATACTCGGGCCGAGGTGTTTGGCGCCGAGTTTCGAGGCCGACCAGGCGTGAAATGCTTCGATGGTGGCTCTGCCAATCAGCTGCGTTGGATGGAAGACGGACTGTGGTGCGGGGTTTGGGAGGGTAAGCGAGTGAGCAGACCTCGGTCGTCTTGTATCGTCGAGAGGTGGAGGGAGAGGGAGAGAGAGCGAGGTGTTTCCATAATAAATCGTGAGGGTTATATAGCTACCTCTTCCTACAAGTTGTGACCCGACTCATCTCGACTTTGTCATCCCCGTCATATCTATCGGCCAACCATCACTCGCTGCTGTCGATATTCCCTGAAAACTCCGACTACACGTACTGACTGTATTACAACATTCACGATGGCGGGAAACGCATACGTCCTCGGCGTCGGCATGAGCGCCTTTCTCAAGCCGCGCCGCGTGCGGTACCACACCGAAATGGCCTTTGAGGCCGGCGTCAAGGCCATGCTCGACGCGCACGTGACGTACGACGACGTCGAGGCCGGCGTGGGCTGCTTCTGCGCCATGCCCACCTGCAGCGGGCAGCTGTGCTTCTACCAATTCGGCATGACCGACATCCCCATCTACAACACCAACAACGCCTGCGCCACGGGCTCGACGGGTCTGCACATGGCCCGCAACTTCGTCAAGGGCGGCATCTACGACTGCGTCCTGGTCCTGGGCTTCGAGCAGATGAAGCCCGGCGCCCTGGGCGGTGGCGCCAGCGACGGCCCGAACCCGCAGTCCCTGAGTCTGAAGCTGATGAGCAAGACCAGAGGAGACACCGAAGCCCCCAAGAACCCGCAGATGTTTGGCAATGCCGGCAGAGAGTACATGGAGAAGTAAGCCCCGCCTGTGATTTCGAGTCTATCCTCTCACCCATTTCCGAAGCGATATAGATAACTGAACTCCTCTGGCCCTGCAGGTACGGCGCCGTGGCCGAAGACTTTGGCGAGATCGCACGCATCTCGCATGAACACTCGTCGCGCAACCCCTACGCCCAGTTCCGCGACGTCTACACGCTCAAGCAGATCATGGACTCCCCCATGATCCACTACCCGATCACCAAACTGCAGTGCTCGCCGACGTCGGACGGCGCCGCTGCCGCCGTGGTCGTGTCGCAGAGATTCCTCGACAGCCGGCCGGAGCTCAAGTCGCACGCGATCCTGATCGCGGGCCAGGCGCTCAAGTCGGACACGCCCAACCTGTACTCGGGCAGCGCGATGGAGCTGGTGGGATACAGCACGGCGGCGCGCGCCGCGCAGGCCGCGTACGCCGACGCGGGCATCTCCCCCAAGGACGTGACCGTGTGCGAGCTGCACGACTGCTTCTCGGCCAACGAGATGATCACGATCGACGGGCTGGGGCTGTGCGAAAAGGGTAAAGCGCACCTGCTCGTCCGCAACGGCGACATCACCTACGGCGGCAAGGGCCCCATCATCAACCCGTCCGGCGGGCTCATCTCCAAGGGCCACCCGCTCGGCGCGACGGGGCTGGCCCAGTGCGCCGAACTGACGTGGCAGCTGCGCGGCTGGGCCAACAACGGCCGCCTGGTCAAGAACACAAAGTACGCCCTGCAGCACAACCTGGGCCTGGGCGGCGCCTGCGTCGTCACCGTCTACACCCGCGCCGACGGCAAGGTCAACACCGACCGCGCCGTGCCCGACGACGAGATCGCCCGCCTCAGCGGCCTGGGCTACAACCCGGCCGTCGAGGCCAAGTGGGTGACCCCCGCACAGGCCAAGAAGGTCCGCAGCAGGAAGGCCGCGTGCGACTATGCGCTGGGAGAGACGATGAGCAAGCTCGAGAATGTCAGGTTGTAGTAGGTAGGCTCGAGCATACGAGCATTTATTGTATGGAGGGTAGACGCACGCAATGTTTTCCAAAAGTGCCCTGGGTAACTGATGACTTGGTAGTAGTAGTACTACTACTAGTATGTTTGCAATTTCCTCCCAACAAAAAAAATAGAGAATGCCATCTGTGACACCACGTCTTGTTAGAAATCTCCTCTGACAGCCTTGTGATATCCACGTAACGAAGAACAGACACGATGTTAATCCACTCACGTCTAGCTTCCTCCCTTCTACACCTTGACACTGGTACCATGTACTAGTAGTTATATCTTCGAACCCACTCTCGACGTTGCTCCTGGCTGCCCACCTCTCTCCCGCGATGGCAAAGCCGGATAACTCGGCCCAGCACCCGCTGCCCTGATACGCCACGCCCCACCATCAACATCTATCGTTGAACCATTGACAAAGCTCCCCGTGTCAGCGAACAAGAAGACCGTGGCGTCGGCAATGTCCTTGATGTTCCCCAGCCGCTGGACGGGGACACTTCTGACGAGTTCGTCCCTGAGGGCCGGATCTGTTAGGCGTTTGGCGCCTTCGGTGTCGTCGATCAGACCCGGCGCGATCACGTTCGAGGTGACTCCCCTTGGACCGTATTCGAGGGAGATGCAGTCTGAGAGGGCGTTGACGCCGGCCTTGGCTGCGCAGACGTGGGCTTGGGCGATTCGGGCCGAGTGGTAGTTTGTCGAGCTGACGAAGATGATCCGGCCTCCAGTCAGGCCTGGTGAGTCTGGAAGCAAAAAATTAGTACACTAGTAAGTACTACTAAGTAGCTTCGAGTCTTCAGAGACACACTCACCTGAATCTTTGCTGGCCTTGGCTCGTTCCGCAGAGGCAGCGAGATGTGGCAGCGTCAACTTCGCCGTGATGAACGAGCCCACCAGGTCGATATCGACCACTGCTTTGAACGCATTCACTGAAAGATCGTCGATGTTTGAGATGAAATTGCCTGCTGCGCCAGCTCTTGAAAGCAAGGTTAGCCGGAGAACTCTCTGATATGAATGTATTTAGTTCACTCACATGACAAAATCAATCCCTCCCAGACGCCGCACGCAAGTGTCGACTGCTCCCTTGACGCTGTCGTGATTCCTCACGTCCACGCCTCCCAGACCCAACACGGTGCTCCCAGGTCGCGCGAGAGCAATCTCAGCCGCCACCGCTGTCGCCTTTTCAGCGTTGCGTCCAACGATGCAGGCGTTGGCGCCCAGAGCGACCAGCGCTCTGACTTGGCCGGAGCAGATGCTTCCGGATCCGCCGGTGCAGAATACGACCTTGTTGTCTGCGTTCGAGAGTTTTAGTATCACTCATTGATGAGAAAGGAACTTGAAGTCAAGCAGATGACGAGTCGGGAGGCTTCACTTACCAAACAATCCTGGTCTCCAGGACGTGCTTGCAAAGTGCCCGACGGAAGAAGCCATTGCCTTACACACGTGTACCCTCTGCAGAGGTAAGTTGATTGCCAGGAGGAGTTGAATCTCAGCAGAATCGGGATTCAAGTCATTGCGAGATAGGTCAAATAGTATAGTACTACGCGAGCATCATCGGTGTGGGATTGATATCACATCAGCAACTCCCAGTCTTTGAGAAGAGATGGTAATGAGCTTAGGATGCAGACGCCGAGGTGGTGGAGGGTGAGCGGGGAATAACGAATGTCGGCGATTTCCTAAAACGGATTATGACAATGTTCGGCCTACTTGACCATCGGTTAGACATATGTATGCACTGATCTCGTACTACTGCTACTTCAAGTGCTAGCATCAATCGATATCGCCGTGGAAGTTGCTCTCGAGATGCCACGGCCGTCCCAATGAGGAAATTATGCACCCGACTAGGCAGGCTACAATCGTGTAGTAGTACTAGCTTCAGCTCGATTCCAGACGAAGACTCATTATGCACATTTGAATTCTGCCAGGACACTTTCGAGACATAGCTATATTAGTACCTTGTGACGAAACGGGCAGGATCGCGCCCTGACCAAGTGATCTTCAACAGCGCTGAAAAGGGGCTAGTCTGTCCTGTCCTCTGTGGACTTTCCGTTTTGGGCGAAATTCGTGTCGTGCTTACCATACCCTCAAGAACCACGATTCCTGTCGTTTGTTCAGTTCAACTCGTGTTGTGAAGTTGAACCCCAACTGTGTGGGTTTGCTGTATGTCTTTTGATACTTTACCCCGTGCACCAGCATCCCTACCGCTCCTCGACACTTGTGTCAATCAACGGATTGGCCGGCCCATCGTCTGCTTTCGTTTGGTAATCATGGCGCCATAGTCTGTCTCGACTGTGCTTTTGCTTTTATCATCGGTGCTTCGTTCCCGGAGAAGTAGTATCTAAAAGTATACTATGGGAAAATCATCTTTAGTTTTTCGCAGATGGATGTGGTAAACACTAAAGTACTAAAGTCATAAACACCAGCATTCAATTCATCCCCTGGAAAGAACAAAGCCCGAGTTCTATTTAGTGAACGGGTGGTTGGTTTAGATAGACTGACTGGTCTGGCCCGCTGTGAGCTGCCTCATGAGCACCGGAAGTGGCGATTTATTAGCAACACAGCAAATACATACTGTTCCCAGTCCGGTACATCAGTAGTCTAGTACTTAGTACTTTCAAGTAGTGCACTTAATTAATCTCTAATTCTAAATGTAATTCCAGGGTCCTCCTCAACGGCACCGCTGAAGATGTTGAAACTGCTCCATAGGACACCAACGCAACACAAGTCGACTTGAAGTAGCCGAGAGTAAGAATGCTGCCTCCCTGTACTATGTAACTGGACACAGTGTAACAACAGCGAGTTTGAGCTAGCGTTTTTTGAGTGAGGAACCACCACGTTCAACTGGACGGCACATCAAATCGACATGAACTCACAGTTCGATACGCAGTCGCTGCGCATCTGGAATCACTAGTACTACTAGTACTGCTACTTGTTTGGATGCTATAGAGATGTAGTTTTGATGCTTGTCCTGAAGTAGATGTATTACTACATCAATGCGTAAGTAGTATCCGTAGTGAATGCTGACGCTCTATAGCTTCAGGCACTGATTGTATTTATAAGACCAGTAATAGTTTACTACCTGAGTAGCGCTACTAGTAAGTAGTCATTTTAACTGTATAAGTATATCTATCAGTTTGCCAGACAACTTCTTCTCTCTCCATGTAGGTAGAACCGTATGAGAACTAGTAGTGCTACCAAGTAGCTTCCTCTAGATAAGTGAGTATAGATTATAAGTGATGAAAATGTACATCCTCTCGGTGTTTACTGGTAGTGTGTATTCTACAGGTGGGTGGATTCATCTATCATGCATAAACGGCAAAAACTTATCATAGAACAGCTCAACCTACTGATCTGTGATAAGGAAAACTCGCTCCTTGCGGAGTTGGTTTTTCTCGGTCGGTTATACTACGTACGGGATTTATACTACAAGGTTGAAATCATAAGTGTCTGTCGTAACCGTGACTCGAACTCGTGGTATTCGGATTCGCCCTTGTTGTGAATAAGGGGTCTTTGCGTGACAGAGTTTGGAAAGAGAAAACACATATACAAGTGATTTTTGATTCTTTTTGTACCGGTACTGATAGTAGTACTAGTATCTCTGTCTAGTAGAAGCACCGCTCGCGGTTCATTGTTTGCTCACAGCCCGTTCCACGACGTCCAGGCCGGCCAACTTTTTGAGTAACCCCTCCGGCAATGCGAACGGCCGAATGCTCGACAACCAGGCGACCCCGGCCTTTGTTCCTCTCCAGATGTTGGCCGGAGGGGTATCTTTCTTCAGGAGGTCCCTCGCGACCTGTTTCGCCCACTGCTCTGCCGTCACTTCCATGGGGAACGTCTCTCCGCGCATGACTCTCTCGACCGTGTCCCTCGCCACCGCGTAGAGCGAACCGGCGGGTAGCTTTGCACCCAGGTTGTTGCTGAAGTTGTTGGACGAGGCATTGGACGATTTCAGGTCCACCACCCTGATGCCCAAGGGGGCAAGCTCCAGTCTCATACAGTCCGAAAACATGATCATGGCGGCCTTGGAGGCGTTGTACGCCGACTGGAAGGCGATGGGCGTCAGACCCGCCGACGAGGTCTGATTGACCACAATGCCCTTGGACTCGAGCAGCCGGGGCAGAAAGGCCTGCGTCATGGCAAGGTAGGACCAAACATTCAGATCGAAGAGCTCTTTGGCCTGAGGGATCGACATGTCTGTTATGGGCATGCTGTAGAGGGCGCCTGCATTGTTGACCAACATGTCCAGGTGGGTGACTTTGGTTACCGCGGCCGAAATCGACTCTGGGGAAAGGACATCCAATGTGAAGGTCTCGATCCCGTGGGCTTGTACCTGGGCGAGTTTGGAAGGGTTGCGTGCCGTGGCGTACACGTGGAGGCCAGTCTCACGTAGAGCAATGGCAAGTGCAGAACCCAACCCGCCGTCCGAACAGCCTGTGATTAGGACCGTGCGTTTCTTTCGGGCCACGGAAGAAATCTTGTCGTCGTTCGCCATGCCACCGCACAGAAAGACTATCAACAGTACCTCGTACTAAGCAGCTAGCGGTTGAGCTGGTTTTGGCCAGAACCTAGATTCTCGAGCTAGACGGGCAATAACCACGAACACCACGGCATAGTCACTGTAATATGGTAGAGAGCAGAGACATATACTAATTAGTAACCCTGGGCCTCGAATCTTGTCCGACATCTATCACCGGTGAAGTATGTAGCCTTGCCACCCTCTTTCTTGGTGGGTCGCACGGAGCCTCGTTACGTGATCGGGAGAATATTTCATCCGTCCCCGGCATGTCATGAACCCCGTCGCACGATTGAATCACATAACCATTTCTTTCTTCTCTCCCAACTTCAAGTTCACGACACTGTTTCACCCATAAAAACCCCGGGGAATGGACAGGGTGCCGTCGCGATAGCCGGCGGCCATGGAAGAAGATGCAGACTTGGTATTACGTGTGAGTCTCGCCGTCCGGGTGAATCTTTCTCGTCCGTCCGTCTGTTCGGCCTGACCTGACCTGACCTGACCTGATCCCCGTTGATGCAGCGGCGGCGCGACCAGGGCAAAGTCGCGCAGCGCAATTTCAGGAAAAGGGAGGCCGAAAAGGCTTTGGAGTTGAAGCAGAATTACAAACAACTCAGACATCTGGTGGAGAATGTTGTGCTCGCCCACCGCGACCGTGACCAGGCGACATTGAGCGAGGCCATTGCCGAGGCGGGCAGGGCAATTGGCCTGGATGGAGTGGACGAACGTGCTCAATATGACCCCTCTCACATTTCGATAGAGGCCATCTCAAACATCAGGCCAGCATGTGCGGCCACCATACAAGGTCCTGTCGAACCGACCGCCACCGACCGAGACACGGGTCGGTGGTCACCACCACTCGCCCCCCAGCCGCGCTCTGGACGATTCAGCCCACGGCTCGACTACGGCATCTGGCTCGACCCAGAGCGGTTTCTCAAGATCGTCGACCCCCCGCTCGACATCCTGCCATACATCGGGGCTGGGAAGCACACCGTGGCCGGGCGGATTGCCTGGGCAACTCTCGACTACGGATACGCCTGTCTCCAAGAGGCCATGATGACGAGTACTCAACCCACCACCACGACGGCCACGGGGCCCACAGGGCCCACCAAGAGCACGGCCGACTGGCTCACCTTGCTGCCTCCCGAGTCAGCGGCCCGGCGAGCATTCGACCGCTCGCTCCGGCACTCGACGCCCCTGCACGACGTGGCCTACATGATGGACCTGGTGGCGGCGCGGATCGAGTTCCGCCAGCGGGGGTACATGCGGGCGCACACGCGCGGCGCCGACGAGATCTCCCGCCAGATCATGGCCGGCAGTGTCGCGGACGAGTTGCGCGTCAGAGGAGTGCGCATGGACCGGTGGTGGACCGCGCTGGATATCCAAGTCCACGTCCAGGCCGAGATGGGCGTTTTGGACTTCGCGGCCTGGCAGATGGCCCTGTGCAGCAACCAGGAAACCGACAACGGCCACGCTGGGCTGATCATGCCCCTGGTCGAGAGTCTGAGTCGAAGTGGCGTCTGCTTTGGCGACGGTCCCCGGTGGCATGCCCCGCTCGTCAAGGCCCTTGTCGGTGCGTGGTGGAGTCAGGTCTCGAGATTCGAACTGCTGTCGAGATATTAGGTAGTGTATATACAGTAATCCCCCTATGTTCGCCAGCCTTGATTTTTTTTTTCCCCTCCAAATAGAACAGATTTTCTACGCTCTATACTACTCAGTATTCTTACACTCGCATCGTCTACTACTAGTACTAGTATCTTCTGGCCGTTAAAGCGGCTCGCCTTCTAAGCCCCTTTCCTGCAGTGGTATTCATTACACGTCCTACCTCTCTCTGAGCTGGGGTAGAGGCATGTACCCGGCGGTGTTATATTCTGGACGGGGCACCGTCCACGTAGATATCGTCGCGCCGCGGGCCTGGTACCGGACAAACTTTCATCTTATGTCGTAACTCGTCAACGACCGTCATGCATTTTTTCTCGTGCAGCCACCGCCTTCTTAGTCGGTTAAGTCGTCACCAGCCAGCAATGTCCATCGGCTTCGAACCACATGGTGTAAAGTTCTCGTCATCCTCGAGGAATAATGACGAGTGTGGTGATGGAAAACGAGGTTACTTGGTCTTTCTTTCTTCGGGAATATTACTCAATAGCCGTCCCGAGTCCAGGCACGTACACACACACGCTAGACCTCGTCCGACTGCAAACCCGGCACATCTCCTCTGGTCCGGTTGATCAGATGCGTGAGCACGATCACGCCCTCTCGGACCACGGCCCACCGGACTGTCGCGAGAGTCTTCACCACGCAATTGAGCAGGCCATGTGGCCGATACGTTCTGGCCGCGGACCAGATGTCCTTGGCGAAGGTTTGTCGCGTGGGGTCGAGCCTCGTCAGAGCACTGACCAGGGCATTCATGTCTGTTCGTGAATCCCAGTCGTCGTCGTCGTCTTCGCCTGCTTCGGCATCGTCGGCGGCGGGTGGGTCGTACAGGGGCGGCTTTTGCTGCTCGTCCGCGTGACTTCCTGCGGCAATGCTGTGAGTCGTCCAGCAGGTCAAGGTCGCGAGGTACAGACACCAGGGGAAGAGGATCATGTCGTCAACGTCCCAATTGTCGAGCTTGCGGATGCCGTCGCGGATGAGTCGCGCGGCGTGCCATGTCGCTTGGCCCATCCCCTTCCCATCATCCCTCGTCATGTATTCGTTCAGTCTCACTCGCGATCGCTGGCGATCCAAGTCCGTGACTGGTCGGCCGGTGATGTGTTTTGCCCCGGCATGGATCTGAAGATCTGCCGTTTCGACCTCCAGGACCAGCTGTGCCGTGTGGTAGACGGCCGAGTTGCCGACGGCATAGCGTTGAAATTTGGTATGTTCGGCTGTGCCGGTGGACAAGGTTGACAGGACGTCCCGCGTGTACCGGTCAAAATCCTCCTTCCATTTCGCATAGCAGGCGCTGATTTTGGATTGCCACCTGACCTGCGTCGAAGTAGCATTCTTGTTCAAAGCCGTCTGATCACGACGCCGGAAATCCCACGAGAGAGACATGAGTCCGTGGAACACCAGCACCCGGGACAGGCCATTCAGATGCATGGGCGCGGACGACACACTCGGGTCTGTGTACATTTGCAAGACGGTGAGGTACGGTAGGGGTGCGGGCGAGGTTTGACTGAGATGGAGCCATTCCTCGGCCGTGTCGGCTTCCCAGATAGCAGTATCCCAGGGAAGGGTCACTTTGAGTTCCGACGCGTTCAACTGTTGTTTTGAGGTCGCATCAGCACTTATGTCTGTTACATGGGTTCAAAGGGTCCCCGAGCGACAAGCAGGTAAAGGGAACAAAACATGAGAATGATTTGTTTCGGGTCCAGGCACTTACACAGAGGATCTGGGCAAAAAAGATGGCATGCTGTGTGTCCCACATGAAGGAAATCAATGCAAGTCTGTAGGAAGAAGTGAGCTTGATGCCTAGAAACACTTTTTGATGCAGCTCTCCGTACCTTCGCTTCTCCTCGGCCTCGATTGCCATGTGCCAGTAGTCTTCCAAAGTCTGAGTCGCTTCATCCCAAGGTGGGAGATATGCGTTGTGGCAATCGCTCCTTCGGAGGAGACTAGCAGAGTTAGTCAAAGGGAATATCTATACGCAGTGTCTTGCCTCACTTGATCTGAAGTCCGTGGTAGAGGTTGGACATGTCGTGCTGGCGCTCACCGGCACGACTCTTTCCAAAACACTCGACCAACAAAATCGTCTGCAGCATCCAGAGTTTGGGTCTCGGCCCAAAATCTTTGCTGCTGTGAATCAGCGGCCTCATGATGTTGTGCACGCATACGGCCAGCAGATGCGTCCTCTTGTCGCAATACGTGGCCCCCAGAAGGACAATGGACATGAGTTGTAATGGGTGTGCTTTCGAGCTCTGAAAGGTCGCTGCATGGATCAAGGGATACGTCGAATTAAACCGTGTAAAGAACAAATCACTGTAACGTTGCAGAGATTGCAGAGACAGCAGCGGGTCACACGGGCTGATCTCTGACTTGTCTGGCCATGTTGGCCGAGCCTGAGCGATCAATTGCAGCAGCCCGTCGCGAGCCTCATTCGTGATCATGGGCAGCTTCGTCGGACGTCGTCGGATATACGTGTCTGGCAAGGTGAGGCTGGGAGAATCCACAAAATCAGATGGTGTCCGCGTGGAGCTTCTCGTTTGTCGGCTCGAGGGGAAATATAGATCAGGACTGTCAAGGCCGATCATGCCGAGTTCGTTCGCACCAACTTGGTTCGTTGGAGCGGATGGATAACTAGGTAGACCTTGTGGTAGGGGACGTGGTTGCGTATTTGTCGAGGGATATCCGACTGTCTGGCGCACATGGGTATTCAGGGAGGGGAACCTGGTCTCTTCGTTCCGGAATTGGACAGGAGGAGGTGGAGGCGTGCGAAGGCTTGGGTCAAAGCGACCTGTTACCGAATGATCCTGCATTTGGTGATCTGTGAACCCGATACCAGTTGTCATGTCTGGCAATGGCTCGGACTGATGGTCAGTCGTGTTGGCAAAGTCATTCCCGAAAAGCCAGCTGTAGTACTGCAATGTCGGGAGTGATGTACTGAAGGAGATTGCTGGGACTGTCAGTATCGGCCTCGCCCACGCATTGCCTTGTACATACTGGTATCAGGAAAAGAAACATCGTTGTAAGGGAGACCACAGGGGCCCTCTGCCGTGGTCTGGTATGACTGGTCGGACCACCAAGAGTCAGACAGAAAGTCGAGGTCAGCGGCCCCTTGAGTTGGAAACATCATGTTCAAATCAATCGATTGCCACGGGTCTTGGAGGAAAGTGTCGTCTGTCGCCTGCTCATGACCCATCTGGTCTAGTCCAGTGCTCGGATCTGAGATCGGCGGAGATGGCAGAGCATTGTGAGCATCCTCAGCTGTCGCCCGAGTCTGTCTGTCGTATACGGCATCGAACCTTGGAGAGGTGGTGACGATCTTCTGGGGCCGACTGGCGTTGACTATCCTCCCTGCACTGTCCCTCCACAGTCGCTTCTTCGTAGCCAGGTTGCCTAGTCCCTCTCCCCCAGCTTCGGCGTCCTTTTGGCGGTGACGTTGCACATGGCGCTCTCCACGGTAGAGTTAGAGATGGAGCATCCCATGGCGCGCGCGGGGAGAGCCAGAGTCTTCACTTACCCAATAGATCACGCCGCCTGAAGTGGGCAGCACAGCGACGGCAAGTGAGATCGCCGTCTTTATGGTTGGATTCATGCCGGTGCAGGTGCTCGCGCCTCACAAATGATTTCCCGCAGTTCTGTTGGGCGCACACGAATTTCTTCCTGGCGTGTCTGGGATCTGGGGTCGCCTGAACAGTATCGGCCGAGGACGAGGACGAGGACGCCATCCCGCCTGACTCGCCAGCATGCCTGACATTTGTCGACAGGAGTGGGAGGTAGGCGACATTGGTGATTTAACTGGGATATTAATTGTCGAAGGTGGGTGTCGGATTTCGCTCCTCGTGCCCCAGTTTATTTACTTTGTGGATGTCGTGATTGAGACGAAGACTTAGCTCATCACCATCGCAGTCACTAGCCACCCATAGCCACTTGACAGATGCTCTGCGGGCTATTGGTGGCGTAGAACCATACCATCGTTGGTCTAACGGCGCGCCCACGTGCAGACCAAAGGCTTCAATGCAATTTAGTATAGACTTGCGTGTCGGTGGTTGGTCAGAGCCCTATTCTTCCCGCGTCTAGGACAGGTACAGCGCTTCGTGAGGAATCTTTCTGCCTCTGTGCACAAGTAGATCTATATTTCGTTCCAGTACTCCTTTGCATATTACGACGACAATCGCGATGGAGTCGCCCATCAATCCTGTCCAGCTTTCCTTTTAGGTGATGTATCTGAAACGAGGGTTGTTATCGCCCAGCTCCTCGATCTCGTCGTCTGACAGCCCGGCAACTTTGTGGTCCTGCTTGCCTGCTGCTCTACTCTTGTTGACTGCAGAGTAGTAACCCCACATGAAAGCAAAGCTGAGCGTCCCAAACGCGACCATGGCAAGGGTAACGGCATGTCCCTTGATGTAACGTGGGGCATCGGTCGCCGGATATAGCTGTTATTGATCTATTAGTACTTCCTGGAACTCTTCCAACGTCATCATCAACAATCTCACGGGAGGTCACTCACAAAGCTGGACGGAATGCCCGCACTGTTGCCAATCATGGCTTGAAGGGCGATGGTTGTCGTACGTTTCCCATAACGTGGAGTGTGCGAAGGCAGCCAAGCGAGCGGGAGGCCGATGACACAATACATTCCACAAGCCACCAGGAAGCATCCTGCGTAGTGAACAGCGCTCCCGCCATCCGAGATGAGCATACAATAACCAGTGATGGAGACCGTACCAAAGATGACGCAGTAAAGTCCACGCCGCTGTTGTCGGTCGGACACGATGGCCACGCTCAGGTATGTGATGGCTCCAAGCGAATAAACCGGAATGGTGAGAGCCTGGACAACGGCGCTCGTGGCCTTGGGCATAATACCCCTGATAATGGTTGGCAAGAATGTGCTGAAGCCGTAGAGGGCGACATCGACACCAAATTGAGCCAAAGAAAAGACCCAGACCTTCCAGTCCAGTAGACCTTCTCTGACATCTTTCCAGTGCAGTTCTTTGGCCGATTTGGTCATCCCGGGCTGGCGGTTAAGACGTGCCACCACCATGGCTCTCTCCTCGGCTGTCAGATATTTGGCCGTGGAAGGTTCGTCGGCAATCAAGGCCCAGAAAGCGATGGCCAACAAAACGGTTGGCGCCCCTTCGAGCCACAAAATCCACCGCCAACCTCGGTGTCCACCGACACCTGATATCCTTTTAGCAAGTGTCCATGAGAAGAACAATGGGCGAGACCTACCGTCCAGAAAGCTAATTGCATACGCCAAAAGCCCTCCACATGCCCCGGCCAAAGCGGCACACGTGAAGAGGTAGCCAATCCGCAAGGCCAGTTCCTTTTTGGTATAGAAGAATGTGAGGTAAACGACCACCCCCGGGAACATACCACCTTCAAAGGCACCCAACAGCAAGCGACACACGAGCATGCCTCCAAAGTTCTGCACAAACCCGCTAAACGTAGCCACGAGACCCCAGGACAGGGCTATGAAGGAAATCCATCTCGATGGACCAATTTTCTTGACGACAAGGTTGGATGGAAGCTCCAAGGTAATGTAAGTGACGAAGAGTACCGAGACGAGGATCTGGAATTGGTTTCCATGCAGACCTAGGTCGGCTTCCAGCCCGTACAGCCTCATGACCCTCAGCGATGACTTCGGGATGTGGGAACGATGAATACCAACCGTGCATTGCCGATGTTCACGCTGTGAGGTGTGAGTAATAGGACCGACGGGACAAGACCTACGCCGGGGGGGTGGACTACTGACCGATCAAGGAAACTGAGAATATACAGTAACATGATCAACCTGGACCACCATCAGCCATCGTCTTTGCTGCCCTGAATCAGAGCTCCGTACGGCATGATATGAAGCTGTAGCCATGTCAATATAGATCTTTCAGAATTGCTGCGGAAAGCGAGGTACGTACATCCAACTTCCGCACCAGTCTTTGCTCGGCAGCGTAGTCGATCTGGATACTGCCATCCTCACTGGAGAAGGGCCCCTCGGAGGAGGTGAAAGGGACTGAGTGGCCTTTCTCCATATTGGAACCTTGGGCAAATTAGTTTGAGCAGGCGAAAGGTATTGTTTGAAATGCTTCTCTTCAGGCACAGAAGAGACAATGTGAAGCCGTGAATCGAGACGCTAAGTTGAGATGTCGTCGTGTTTGGGATCAAAACTGACACCGGTGGATATATATCTGCAGAGGGCGCCCATTAATTCCATCCATGCCATGTATTGTGCAATCTCAAGAAATTGTTGTTCCATCACGTCCTCTGCATTTCGCATACGAGCCAGGCCAGCTGTTCGAACGTCGAAGACATGGGAAGCCGCCAACATCCCACTCTTGAGCTTCTGTCGGATGGGCAAAATGGGATGCATAGATCCAACCCTCGCAGCGAATATAGTGCCGAGAGCTATTGCGTGATACTCGTGTTAGTTATCAGTTGATTCCTCGACTGGACCAGCCGGTATGCCTCAAACATGGCATCCGACGGTGCCCACTTTTGAAAAGTTAAACCCAATGTCGCAATCAACACCCACGATACGACATTCGTCACGTGTCTGATACTCCCAAAGTGTCACAACAGGGAGGCACAGACGCTCAATACTCTACACGAGGCTAGCCGCGTGAGATACAGCTATAGACTACCACCAGCCGCGAGTGATGGCATTCTACTGTCGTTTTAGGGCTATTGACAAGCTTGCATATTACTTGGAGCACAAGATACATGGCGATTGAATCACCCCACTGCTCGATAGTTTTCATTCCTCATACATACCTGGTACATTCAGCATATCTAGTCTCATCGCTCGGTCACACAATTCTTCTTTGCTGTAATCACGACATCAAATTTCCTCGGCTTGACGAACCACGCCGTGTGCAAATCCCACTCCTCGTCATCAGTTGGCTGAATCTAAATCAGGGACAGCAATGTTAGCACATCTCAGTAGTTGTCCCAAAGAGGCATTGCTCACCTCAAATCGCCGCAGAAAGCTGGGAACCAGTTTGTAAATTTCCAGAAGCGCAATATGCTTGCCGAGACAGGTCCGCGTTCCGCCACCAAATTGGAACATGGCATTGTTCATTCTTTTCAGCCGTTGTTCCTCCGAGGTGGCAGCTTCGGTGGCATCTATAAACCATCGCTCGGGTCTCCAGACGTCGACGTCTTGACCAAAGACGTCCGGTTGGCGTTGCAGAACCCACGGGTTGCAGCCGACGATGGTCCCTCCAGGAATGAACTCGCCACAAATCTCCAGGCCCTGCGGTGGGACAACTCGCTCCAAGATCATGCCGATGGCTGGATGCATGCGAAATGTCTCTTGGATGCAAGCGTGGAGATATGGCAATTTCTGGGCGTCGCTCCAAGTGATGATGCCTTCGGTGTCTGAAATCAACCCCGTTTTCATGGCCTCTTCAATCTCATCGTCGAGCTTTTGGTAGCACTTGGGATATCTGGCTAGGAAGTAAAAGACCGCGGCGAGGGTGATTGCGGTGGTGTCAGACCCAGCAAGGGCAATCGAGGTCGTCATGGTGAGGAGGCGTCCGTCGTCGAAGAAGTCGGCGTGTTCCTTCTGAGCCTGGAGAAACATGGTCAAAAGGTCCATGCTGTCATTTTGATATGCTCCCGACAACCGCTCGGCCATCCTCGCCCGGGAGAATTTCGCCGTGCCAGATGAGTTGTCGATGAACCCATGTTTACTCTGTAACGGGTGTCAATACTGATCTTCAAACAGCTGCTCAACCCAATATCGTCCAAGATTTTGGAACTTCCAACTCACCAGCAGTGCTCGAATTGGATTTTTGACAAACAACTTGTCGAGCCAAGGCATCTGGCCCACGGGTGCCTGGTAGTCAAAGATCTTGTCCAGCCAGGCAATGATGCCGTCTACATCTTCGCACCTGTCCACGAATCCGGCTCTTCGACTGTATGTGATCTCGGTGATGACATCAAAGGCGAAATATTGGAGCCAGTGGAGGAAATCGCACTGTACTCCCGGCTTCGCGTAGAGTTCTTGGGTCCGCTGAAGGAAAACTCTCACGGTATCGTTGACTCGGGGTTCATATTGGACGATCGAGGTCATGGAGAAGGCATTGCTGACCGTCCGTCGAAGTTTGGCATGGTAATCTTGATCTTGCGTTCCAAACAATGACTGGAGCACCTCCCCTCTCGCCAACTGCATTTGCACCGGGTAGAATGCACTCTGCTCGCCCGTCAACATGGATGGCTCGTATAGTTGATAAGTATTTCCCTTACCTTCATCAATCGATTGTTCAACCCGTAGATTGCCTTGAGAGCCTCCGGGCTGCTGAAAGACAGCGAATTGGGACCGAGTCGAACAATGTGTCCATGTTGGTCATGTAGCGTCCGCAGTGTGAGTTGCGACTTGCCGCGGAGAACGCTGAAGAATCTCCATGCGTCGGTGAAGTTGGCGAGCAAAGGACCTGGATATTTACAGAGACCTTTGTTCCGGTAGTTTCTTACCAGTGTCGCAATCACAATCACAACCAGGACCACAAATGCAGTTGTGGCTGTGAGATGGGGGCGGAAGGAGTCCATCATGCTTCACCGACGCGCATGGCTTGGGAGTCGAAAGACACCGTGAAATGAATGAGTCTCGGTGAATCAATGTGGCGCCGACACTGCAGAGAAAATCATCCATGGGTATGTCCTCAAAGAATGTAGTTGTGTGATCAAGGATGCTGGTGGATCCTGAGACGGTGGCTAGTCTAGCAGAGGGTGCGGTCTGGCGGATATACGAGATTCGCCAAGAGTGGGATGAGGCTCAAAGGTGGGATGTCGGCAAGGTATTCGAGGCGACATGCAAAGATGGGATAGCCATGCTGACCTCTCAACTGCAAGGCTGGGATGCCATCAACGTGGATCATGGGAGGAACATCTGAGAGCTCACGTGAGGCGAGATCCATCAAGAGATCTGAGGCCAACAAGATCGTCCTCGAGGTGCATTCAATCGACCATAATATGGAGAGAAAGTCACCAAGATATGCCACTCGTGATAGACACGGGCCTTTTCTCCCCTGAATCGACACATCAACGAACTCCTCATAATGGTCCGAAAGTGCTCGCGCGTAGCCGTCATTGGCGCTGGGCCAGCCGGTGCAATTGCCACAGATGCTCTGGTCAAGGAGCAGACGTTCGACACAATTCGCGTGTTTGAGCGCAACACGATTGCAGGGGGCACTTGGTAGGTTTCCCTTACGTTTCCTCTACCTGAGTCCACATTGCTCAAGACATATGTCAGGGTGTACACTGCGGACCATTCGCCCAAGATACCCTCTCTTCGCAAACTTCTGAAGCACCAGGCCGATCTGCCCGTGCGCACTCCTGCTGGATTTCCATCCGAAACTGCAAGGACTGAAGCAATCAACTCGCCCCAACTGCGGTATTCTGATACAGGCATCCATGAAAATCTGCACAGCAATCTCCCACCTCAGACAATGTGCTTTACGCAGGAGCCTATCCCAGAAATTCTCTCGGAGCGAACGCTGGTGCAGTACGGCAGCAATGCTCCATTCCGTCACCGAGAAGTCATTCGCGGTTGGGTCGAAGATATTTTCGTCCGTGGTGGAACGCACCATCTCATCGAGTTCAATACGACGGTCGAACGTGCTCAAAAGAAGGGAGACGAGTGGGTGTTGACTTTGCGGAGTGCACCGCCGGGATCGAAGATGAACTATTGGTGGCAAGAGGTGTTCGACGCCCTGGTGGTTGCGACAGGTCACTTTTCGCTGCCCTATGTGCCTGATATTGCTGGACTGGCAGACTATGACGAGCGATACCCGGAGAGAATCCAGCATAGCAAGCACTTCCGGTCTGTGGAGCAGTTCAGAGGAAAGGTAAGATATTCATCTCACTTCCTGGTGCTCGGACGGTGGTGTATTCTATATTCGCCTTTGACGCACACAACTACGAGGCCCAACTGACCAACTTGGTGATCTTGCAGAAAGTGATCGTCGTCGGCGGCTCCGTCTCGGCATTTGATGCGCTCCATGAGATTCGATTAGTGGCACAACATCCCGTCATCGCCTCGCTCAAGAACCCGCTACCAGCGTTTGGATGGGGTGCTTTCACACACCCACACGTTTCCATCAAGCCACCAATTGCCAAATTTCATCCAGACGGGAGGATTGATTTTGAAGATGGTTCATCTGTCGACCACGTCGATGTGGTGCTGTTCGCCACGGGCTATGACTTCAGTTTCCCCTTCCTGCCACACATCGATCGGAGAATCAAAGGCCGGAGGATCCAGCATCTTTATCAACATGTATTTGATATCAAGGACCCCACTCTGGCGTTTATTGGAATGGTAAGCTTCATTCACGGTTGCTCCCCATCCCATTTCATTGGACTAATCTGTACATCGGGTCAGGTCTCGGGAGGTCTGACCTTCAGGGTATACGAATGGCAGGCGGTGGCCGTAGCTCGCATGTTGGCGGCACGTGCCAGACTACCGAGACGACACCTGATGCGAAAATGGGAGCATGACCGGCTCGCCAAGTGTGGAGATGGAATCCCATTTTTTGACCTGTCGTCCGACTTTGAAGAGTATTTTGAGGGTCTCAGAAAATTTGCGGGGAAACCTGCAGCTGGCTCCAGCGGCAGAAGACTGCCTAGGTATGACCCAAAGTGGAAAGATTTATTCGTCGAGGTGGTGGTGAAGGCGAGACTGCAGTGGTGGGAACAGGAGAGGCGCAAGGTTGAGGAAGAGATATGCGAGGCCCAGACACACAGACCAAAGGCGGACGGGAATAGTTCAAGGGATTTAGTCAGAGCATTGCTGTAGAGAGTTCCGACCATGTTGCTCTGGCGAATATGAACTACCTATGAACTACCGAGAAGTCTTGATCCATAATGTACCTTTAACATTACCCTGATATAGCTGCGATACTAGTCGGAGGCCATAGAGCGCTCTGTCATTACCACATGATCTATGATAACCATATCCTCCATCAGGATCTATCCAAGAACTGCTTGAAACTCCGGACTGAACTTGTAGTCAGTATATCCTTCTGGGGAGAGGACTTCGTAGAAGGTGTCTCGATTGTATTTGGTGAACGGGATGCCCTCCTTGACACGGAAGGGCAGATCTGGATTCGATATAAACTGGCGGCCAAAGGCAACCAAAACGTCTTTGCCTCGATACTTGCCATCCACAACCTGGAGCGCACTTTCGGCAGTGTAGCCTCCGGCAACAATGACCGGACTGGTGTTATTCCACGCATCGACAAAGACGTCAATCGAGTCTCGAAGATCAGCGTCTGCATTTCCTGCGACTCTGGCCTCGATGATATGCAGGTAGGCCAGTTGGAGTTTCTGGAGCTCCTGCAAGAGATATGTAAATTGCGGAATAGGATTGCCCATACCCATCCCGTGATGCTTGCACCAGGGGCTTATTCGAAAGCCAACCCTGTCGGCACCAATGGCTTCCGTGACTGCTTTGCTGACTTCGATTGCAAACCGGGCTCTGTTCTCAATGTTGCCTCCCCACCTGTCGGTGCGGCGGTTACACGTGTCCTGTGTGAACTGGTCGACCAAGTAGCCATTCGCACCGTGGATCTCCACACCATCAAACCCGGCCGCAATGGCGTTGAGAGCTGCTTGACGGAAATCGTTGATACAGGCCCAGATTTCGTCTTCTTCCAGAGGGCGAGGCACCGCGGATTCCGGACTCCATGGAATATCGCTGCTGGAAATCACTTCGGCGCCGGCCGCGACGGCCGCAGGTCTGGCGGCTCGTCCGGTCATCCAGAGCTGTGCGAAAATGTACGATCCTTTTGCGTGTACAGCTTCGACAACCGTCTGCCATTTACTCATCTGGTTGTCGTTGTAGATCCCCGTCGTGTTCTGCCAGACACTTGCGCGATGAGATGTTGCCACCGCCTCCGAAATCAGAAGTGTTCCCGGTACCGACGCTCGTTGGGCGTAGTAGTCAACCATGAGGTCACTCGGTACATAGTCGTCGTGCGCCCTTCGCCGCGTCATTGGTGCCATGGCAATTCGGTGTTGTAGTAGGCAGGACCCTACCTGCACAGGAGTGAACAATCGCGACATGGCCGCTCAAGATGGGCGTTCTCTCCCAAGACTGAGGTTGTGAGTGATGTACCTTTTTCCTTTCCCTGAACAGCCCACCCCAAAAATGTCGAGGTTGCTGGTATACCAATGCCGAAGCGTGACGTTGCCCGGTTCGCCTCCCAGTCGGGGCAACATGACATGGATGGGCGGTGTTCTGCATGGCCCATCCTCATGCACGCGACTCTTGTTGCTTGTGGCGAGAGTGGTGGTTTCCGATCACAGCTCTGTCTCTGGTTGAGATATTTTCGGAGACTAACGAGGTACACTGACAGTGTGGCATCTCTAACAAAAGTGGGAGGCTGCTGGTAGGAAAGTGGGAGGGGGTTCCACCATTTATCTCCTCACCATTCAAACGTCGGTACTTGTATAGCTTATTATCACTCGCATAGACCTGTATATCTTACTCGTCTGTTTTCGTGCCTCTTCTCCTGCAAGTCCCGCAGCGCTATAGCAATGGCGGCATGGTACGCATGTGTGACGGTTATATTTCTTTCCTTGCAAGCGAGGAGCAGGCTCTGCGTATCCTGGCGGGAGAATGTCAGGGCAACGCGCTTGTGAACTCCGGGAAGCTCGGCTCCAACTTTGACAGGGAGGCAAACAATCTCGACACCATGGCGCAACTGAGCATTCTCTGCATGCTCGCGATGCAGTTGATATTCTGGCTTGTGCCGAATCTTGTCGTCGACATCGTCGCCGTTTCAATCTTTGGTTTCTTCTTTGGCCCGCTCTTCGCCGCAGTACGTCCCCCTCTTCGCTGATTCCTTTTGGGGTCACTCAGTGACAATCTCTCGCTAGGGTATTTCTGTCGCCTCAAGGTTGTAGGGTGGCCCGCGATGAGGGCATGTAGGGAAACCCGAGATGGATGAAGGGTGGCAGTGACAGTAGGTTCTGGAGCATGGAAGGAGTGAATGTGGTTGACAGAGTATGCGGATGTGACAAGGTCCTCACTGCGTCACCTCTCTATAACTTCACAGCGAGGACCTCGCGTCCTCTACCTTCCAGTACTTGATGCGCTTTGAATCACCAAAACCAACATGGCTGTCATTGCTAGCAGTATCTGCCATGATCCTTCGAGGATTAATTCTATCAACTCATTCATACAATGGTATCCGAATCAGAATCCACCTCACCACCCCCTTCTCCCAGATCATGGGAGAGTATCATGCCATGGGAAATCCGCACCCAAATATTCAGCGAGTGCATCAAGAGCCGCTCCGTCAGCCTCTTGTACGCCAACCAGCAGCACTATGCCGAGTTCCGCCCTCTCCTCTACGAAAAGTTCGTCCTCTCCTTCGTCATCGACCCGTCCGCAACCGACTCCCAGGTGGACATACTCGGCCAAAACGGCCACATCGTCGATGCTGCCTCCCCACACCCCGACTACGCCAGTATCATTGAAGACATGCCGACCGACCAGTTTCGGAGGATCGAAATCTTCATCGACGCACCGGATCCAGACGACCCGGCCCAACTGGTCAGGGCTTGGAAGCAGACCACGGGGCTGTTTGCGGCGTTGTTGCCCAGATGGAAAACCGCACGGTCACCCATGACCGAGGCTGATGTTCAAATCCCCAGAGGTCGTCGTAGTAAGACTGCTCTTCTACCACCCATCATCGTCCAGTTCCGGGGGAAAGAAGGACAAGACAAGAAATGGACATCCTTTCACCCTTTCCTTGAGCGACGGGTCTGGAACCAGAGCGTTCCAAGCTTCAAGGACTGGGACTCGGAGATGGGAACGACGCCGATCAAACACGATGGGATGCATTCCGATCCTGAAATTATCATGACAGCCTTCCTCCGGGTCCGGGGAGTTGCCTCAGTTAGTTTCCACGTCCCCGGTGAAGTTGAAACCCCCCCGGAAGAGGTTGCTTTCTTGATGAAAGAAGTGGACCGATTCACTGAGGAGCGGAAGCCGTTTGGCCTGTTCTGCGAACGGGACATTTACTATAACGACTACATGATTGGCATCGCAGAGGACAATTTCCACCTGTGGCTGGACTATCTTCTCGACGACATGCAAGGCCCCAGTGCCGCACTCGTTCGCCGCGAGAGAGCCGAAACCTGGTGCTCTGAGTACGACCTTTTGATGAGGGAGAGACTGTACGATTGCTCACTCTGCGATAATCTGCAAGATCACCTGGAGAAACAATATAACGACCGATGTGTAGCCGGGATCCTCCTGACAGCGGCAATCCTTGTCCCTTCTGGCTCGCGAGGACTCGGTCAATACAGAGGAGAAGAACAGTCGCAGCTCACGGCGACGACAAAGGAAGGACACTGGGGCTTCTGGGCCTCGCATTTTCCTCGAGGCGTCGCGTGCAAAACGGACAACGAATTGTGCCCTACGGATGTGCCGACGAGGACGTGGAGGACGTGGCTCGCAGACGGCTACAGTTCCATCACGTGCACCCATTGGTCCCAGCCCGTGTTGGGGCGTCCACCTTTTTTCATGTGCCCCGTCTGCGGCGACCAGGATGCTCAAAAGTATGACGAGGACAATATTGCAGACATGTACGAGGAGGAACAAGATCTTTTGGTTGGGTACCTGCAAGCAAACTCAATCATGCCGGTAAGGTTGGAGGAATATGACTCAGACGACTCCTTCTAATGATCAAGAAGATGGATAAGTACTTGGTAACTTACCTGGGGTGCGGTCACCGGTGTATGGTGGTCAATAAGTGAGAAAGGACAAGGTAGAACTATTTGGTATTTCCATTCATTCTCCGACACAGAGACAAGAGAGGGAATATAGTGGTGAACCCTGGAGACTATCCAGCGCCGATGATGGATTGTCAGTGTAGTCGATAGCTTGTAGATAAGTAGTGTTGAGTACTAGTATCTTATATGCACGCTCCATCAACTCTGAAAAGCTGAGGACCCTCACTACTCTTCATTAATCCCAGGTTACTTACTCATATGGCGTTGCCGCGAGTCAAAATAATGCACACATAGTCCGTCTGGCTCCCGCTTGAGCGCGACACGGGGGGTCTGCGGCGGCTTTTATATCAGCACACGATATTGGATGTAGTAGATAGAACCATGGAAGGGGTATCTCGGTTCAGGTCTTCTCTGTTAATATATGAAAAGTCTGGCCGAATACTTTCACAACTTCCTAATCTCTTCCAAGGATCAAGTCCCCCCTTTTTTTTTTGGCGCCTGACTGGCGCTCTGACTGGCTGCTCCTGTTTCGTGCTCTATATCTTTGTTCAGCGTGTTTTTAAACCCCTGAAGTTGGAGTCTGGCTCTGCCCGGCTTCAAGGAAGCTAAAGTGGTCAAGCTCTCCATAAACGAGTGGATTTCGGCCTTTGTGAGCGCGGGTCCTAGCCAACAGGCTTCTTTCCCACACCATCATGGACTTGTCGCCGACGTTTGTCCTCGGGTCCGTTGTCGTCGTCGTCATCCAGAAGATCAGCCTTCCTTTTGAGAGCGTCGCTGTCTTGCGGGTCAGAACGAGACTCGACCCAACGATCGGGACGAAGACCTTGGACAACGGGGGGTTTCCGGCTGCCTAAAAACGCCTGTAGCAAAGGGCTCTGGCCAGAGATCCTCAGGGGCAGTGCTGAAGTCCATAGAAACAAGACCTCGTTGCTCTCGAGGTTGTTGGTTTGACTTTTGACTGCTCGGCGGACACCCTCGTGCTTTTCTTGGCGACAGGGGCGCCCCCGAGGACTTGTAGAAATTCAGGATTTCGACCCATTTCTGGGTGTCCTTCTGCTGGTCTTTTAGGAGAATTGTCTCCAGACTCTCAATGTTTCGGGAGAGATTTTCATTTCCAATTCCACAGGATCCGACTTGTCTTTGAGGTCGGTCAAGCCTGCATGAGAACGAATTATTGCGGCTGGCGTACATCTTCAGGGCGACCCATGCTCGCTTCTTCAGACGACGAATTTTGGCTCCATCTTTTCCACGCCCTCCACGCCCCCAACGACTCTGTGAAATTGTTTCTTCCAGAATCTACCACTGGTGCCGTTGTATTGAGTAAAGAGTTCGCCAAACCTCCAGTATAGTCCCCCCATCGAGCGAGGACCTTCATCTCGGCCAGTTCACGAAGCTAGCCCCAACGCCGTAGAGTCTTGTATTTTGGCTGTCCTCGCCAACAGGCCGACAGCGTAAGCGCACCACTTCCGCATGTGACAACGTTATATTGTCGGTGCCCTCATCTATCTTCTCGTCGAGTCTCTGCATCAGGCTTAATTGCTCTGACGCCGCGGACGGGCGGAAACTTGGCGAGGACGGTGTAGAGGGGAGGACATCTTCAAGGGAGTCAAAATATAGTTTGTTTCAAGTTCATAATCAAAGTGAGCCGTGAAGGGAAGCTTGTTAGGAGGATTGTTTTTATAGCGGGGAAGACGTCTTGAAAGTTAAATGGCAGTTTGTATCCAAGATCGGCATCATATCGTGTACGTTGTCGTCTGTTTTGCCTGCGCCTGTCATACGCTTCTTATCTACTTCGCCTGTAAAGGTGTTCAAATTCCCCATTAATCATAGCTCGTGAGTTATTTCCACCCATCAGACGTAGTGCGTACGCTTACGGGACGGCAATCGGTATGGCTGCGCTGGCAGCGGGTGCATTTGGTCGAACCGACACTAACAGTGTAGTCTTCAAGATTGTCATGTTGGCCAATGGCGCGAACGCAGCGCTGGCAGAAGTCGTGGTTGCGAGTGTACCCTGCGGTGCGCAGTGGACTCATACGGATAGTACGGGCTAAGCGTATGGTTAGTAACGAGAGGGATAGTAAGGGGACACGTACGGTAAGTATTATTTAGTACTCAGTATAGATCTCGGCATCATGTGTAAGTGGAATAACTTGATTGATTAGGCAAGGAAATCTATCTATTAGCGCGTTCGCTGTGTGCCGCGGTGGAAATTATTTGGCTAAGCTGCCCGATAGGGTTAGAGAAACATCATGTACTCCGTGGTTGTTACTACTATAACAACCTTTTAAAGAAGTAGAGAAGATAACTACTAGGGCTAAGGAGAAAGCCTCGAACCGCCCTAGCGGCAATGATTGCGGCTAGTCCTCAGCGTTAAATGAGGTTAGTCAGACCCACTGTGCGTGTGGCGTCCGTCATACATGATGTATATGACTATTTGACCAGGGGGTCTTCCGCACCACAAAGATCAAGAGGTACTTAGTAGAGTGTATCTGGGTAGCTACCTCTTCTGACCGAGGAGACCTTCCCTCCCAAATCAAATAGCAACACTGTATATGGCGGCCGCCCTTCTCCTCACCTACGTCACTCAGCTCTGGGGAAGACTTTGATGCGTCGTCGGGTTTAAGCTCCCATACCCGTAAGGAAACAAAGTAACCCCTAGGTCTAAGACCCAGACTGAGAAGAAGGTGGCTTCGTTTCCTGACTGATATGAGAGCCTGAAGCCGAGAGTCTCGATGTCGAGCAACTAGTGAAAGAAGAGGGAGAGAGGCGTGAGAGGCTAGTTATGATGATAGTGGTGATGGCCTTCACCTAACGATCCCCAGGGGAAGGCTTGGCAGGACGTGACGCTTTTTCCACATTACTTCCAAGTATTCGTTTGATAGTCTTTTCTAAAACCAAGCTCTCCTGGCTGCGCCGGTCAACAAGTCATCCAGCAGGATGTATGCCCTCCCTGATGAGAGTACTCCGTGACCCGAATCTCGGCTGCGCAGTTAGTTGTACAAGGATTCTGGAGATGGCGGACGCGCGAAGCCCAAAATCCTGATAACGTCGTGGACGACGACATCAACGATGAGATGCCGCTCGGGGTGGCGCCAGGAAAGTACGGACCTACATGTATGGTAGTTACATGTATGGTAGTTACATGTATGGTAGTTACATGTATGGTAGTTACATGTATGGTAGTTACATGTATGGTAATGTTGTCGCTCTACGACTATAAAGCTGTCAGGATAATTCTGTGGAGTTGATCACAGCACAACGTTCAGAGGATCTCCCCAATGCTGTGAAAAGGGGGGGGGGGACACCCGGCAAGTATACATACATGTATACAAGTACATACCACTCACTACCTACCTAGGCACCGCCAGTACTGTCCACTCATGTTTGGGTAACCATGGCGTCCAACAGCCACTTAATCAGATATGATTAAATTCTGCATGTTTCCCGCCAGCCCTATTAACGGTGCGAGACGACAAATGATGAATGGGCCAGGCACCAGCCCACAACAACGAAGGAAGGTTGGCTGCCACAATGGCAGGGCCTGCCCCGCCGAGAGCCTTCTGTGTTTTTCACACCATAATCCGAGGAGTCAGGACGAGAGAGAGAAGAGTATGTGACTCGAGTGACTAGAATAAAGAAGGGCGGACAGATTTCATCCTGCAGGATTCGCCGGCGCCATTTATCACCTCCGGCTTAGACCAGCTCTTCCTGGCCTTTAGCTGCGACGACTTCGATCTGTTCCATCACCACACCCTCAGTCGTGTCCTTCTCCACAAGACCCCTGCCGTCTAGGGTCATGTGCATGACGACTTCGTCGCCAAACAATGTCCCCATTTCCTCGACGGGGAGTCCGCGCGTTTCCGGAACGAAAAAGTAGACGACGGCTTCGCAGACGATGCAAAAGGACATGAAGATCAGATACATTCGCCAGGTTCTGCACACAATACGAAAAACACAAGGTTGGTCAGCGAGCTGGATGCCAAATAAAATTCGTGGGGCGCAAACAGCAAGTTGATAGGTATGTGTAGGCAATAGACAGCGAGGGATGGTTGGTTTAGAGCTCTCGTCAACTTACATATTGCGAAACGCGAGCGGACCTGGCGTGGAGAAGGTGATGAATCCGACAAAATAGGCAAACATACTCAAGCCGATGCCCTTTGCTCGAATCGTCGTGGGGAATATCTCGGCGCACCAGACGAAAGATGGCGCATCAATGAACTGAAACAGCACAATGAAGAGGAAGATGCAGGCCACCGCGGCGCCGTTGCCTGCTTGGTTTGCCGTTCCTAGATATTCCCGTTGGAGAACAGCTTCGATCAGGAGATTGACGGCCAGGGCAGGAAAGCCGATCACTAAAATTTGGGAAAGAAAGGTTAGGTTATCACACTGACCTTAACGCTCGGGGTGAGCAACAGGGTGAAAAGCTCCAAACTTACAGAAAAGTCTCCTCCGTCCGAACTTGTCCATGGTGAAACAGGCCACAAAGGCAGCTATGGTACCAACAATAGAATAAATGGCTGGGTGCCGTAACCTCTTATTAGCCTTTGTCGATGGGATTGTGAATCATCTCCGTGCGGCAAACTCACCATAAACGAGTAACGGCATGACACCTTCGAGGCCCAGCGTCCCAAAGATGCGGACCAAATAATTTGCAATGCCATTGACCTGGGAAAGATCAGCCAGGCCGAAAATAAACACTTATCATACCGCCGGCCAACTTACACCAGTCGCTTGAGATGCAAACCTACCACAAACCCGTCAGTTTCTTATACAGACGATGAGGAGATCATTGAACACAAATTCGGCTCACATGATAAAGAGCACGAGAAGCGAGCGTTTCCGCCAACTCGGCTTCGTGAACATGCGGACATAGCCCGATTTCTGCTCCTTGTCCTTTTCCACCTGTGCGCGGATCTGGATGAATTCCGCCTGGGCACTAGAATTCGTCGGGTCGTCGGGGTCGCGATGGAGACGTTGAATGACTTGGAGCGCCTCTTCGTGACGGCCTCTCCAGCACAGGTACCGAGGAGATTCTTTATCCTTGTGTGTCAGATACACGTTTCAGGAACAGAGACAGGTGCCAAAACTGACCTGGAACGAAATATATTCCGACGAGGAGTCCGAGCGGACCGACGCAGGCGAGGGCAAGCGGCAACCGCCATTGCAAGGTCGCATTCTCTGCGTAGTAGGTTGCCACCGACACCCAGGCGACACTGGAACATGTCAATGATGTGTGCGAGAGCCAGAAGGATGCAAAGCGTACGCGACATATCCGATCCCAAATCCCATGACCGTCATGCCAGACATGAGTCCACGACAATGCGGTGGGGACACCTCCGTGAGGTATAATGGGACGAGACATATCAACATGCCGAGACCAAATCCGTGTAGGATTCTGATTGTGATGAGCATTGCCAGGTATGGAGACCCGGCAGTCCATCCGGCGCCAATCAATGAGAACAAGGCAGACACTACAAGTGCCTTTTTGCGTCCAATCCAATCAGCCAGCCAGCCTTGAAAGAGAGAACCAAAGGCAGCTCCGGCCGCAAAGAGGGCGTTGACGGCGCCCAAGACGCTGGAAGATCGGGTTGGTCAGGACCTTTTGTTGGAGGAGGGCAGTCATGCTCACTTTGCTGTATACTTGCTCGTCGCTGCGGTGTCTATTAGTGTCATAGCATTACCTCGAAACCCTCTGGATACTTACGATCAAGGTTGAAGTCCTTGTAGAAGCCGGGTTGGCCGATGCTGGTGATGAACACTCCAAAGCCATACCCGTACCCAAAAGTGCCAATAGCAACGATCATGCCGATGACGATGTTATACACCGTAAGTCTCGCCATTTCGTACTGGAACAAGCGTGACAAGAAGCTGAAAGCTCGATAGCGAGGTCTGTGATTCTCTCCATGATGTGCCTTCGTTCACTTCTTCTAATACAATCTCCACACAGCAGAAGTAAGCGCACAATAACCGGACGCCGAGGCAGCTTCAGCTATGGGTACTTCAGCTAGTTTGTTATCAAAGTCTCTAGCTTCCGAAACTGTAAGACGCTGGTATCCGAAGCTGCCCCGCGGGGAATCCAAAGTATCGTGTTGGCATGAAAGCTGGGGTTGAGGAAGTCGAGCGGTAATAGAGCGGTCGAAGCAGAACTCTGACAGTTCATCGGGTGCTGGCGATGGACAGGAATAACCGTTTAGTCGGGTAAGTGTGCAGCCAGTGGTGATGAGGCATCCTATGGTGAACCATATTCTGACAAAATCAGGTGGCGTATGCAGGGGGCATTAGCGATGTCTTAGCAACGGCTCTTCCTCCTATTGGACACAGAAGCCATGTCAGGTACACGGTGAAAACACCGTGCCACGTTACTGGAATAGATATCCCCATTTTGCAGAGAATTCACCACCGATGGCCCAAGATTCTGGGTCCCAGGTCGCGCGGCGGACCTCGTGTCGAAGAATCAGGCTGGTCATCCCAAACAAGTCCCTCACAAAGTCGTCCAGATCAATCAGCCCACCAAGCAAAATCATGTTGTCTCGCAACCGAGGGAAAGGGAACCGATCAATCCAGCGTCGATGGGGTACAGCCAGCTGCAGTGGGGATGGCCGCAGGGACTCAGGCAAGGTCAGATATTCTGGCGGCGACTTTACTTCTTGGTGAGAACCTTCGCATACTGTGCCTTGCATGAGGCCATGCTGACCTAGGGCTGAATAGATGGCCCAAGCCGGCCAACAGAGGAAATAATGGTCTGTGGGCACTCCATAGAGCGATTGTTGCATCAAACAAGGACTGATAACAGACAAGATTGAATGCGAAAGCTCGAGTGCGTGTGTCCGTGGTGATGGACCGGGCACTACTTCTTTGTCGGGAGCTGTCTGGTTGATAGATCCGGTCCGTCGGAGAGGACTAGTTTCCCTGTGGTGAGACGGTGTGCTGCTGTCACTGACGGCTTCGACTTCTTTAACCACCCGCGAGAGGAGGCGATTTCCTAGTGGCCAGGTCATTAGCTCCGCGTTTGAACAACTATATGCCGTCTGTCCAGTGCCCCAGAGCTTCAGTGGACAGGAACGAGGAGGGTCAAGAAAGCGACAACTCACGTCTCGCTCGCTGTGCCAATCTATCTTGTATCCGCTTCCTCTCCCGGGCATCCTCGACCCCGAACCAGTTATCGGCCTTCGCCTCAGTTCTAGGCCTTCCTCTTTTGCGATTCTCAGCCATTCGTGGGGCTGTCGAGCTTCGGCGGAGTGCTTCACCCCCAGGGTAATTCTAATAGCAAGTGTGCCGGCTTTGTGCTGAAAGCTGATTCTGAGGAGTTACTGCTTGCTCGAGCCTTGCTAGATGATGCGGAGTGAGTCTAGTTTCTGACAAATTTTATACATCACGGAGATGCCTATTGCCGAGGGCAAAGCAGCCCCTGTAGTATAGCATGATGTTCTCTCTCAAACCCACCACGTCTTGCCCCGCATGGAAGGGGCATTTCCGTCAGAGCCAAGGTCGGCTATTCCTTGTCATTTTGATTCGTCGTAATAACCGGGGTGATGCAGTTGGCTAGCATTTTCGTCCCAGTCTTGTCAACAGACCATCGTATTTCTAAATTCTGACAAAATCGGGATCCGCTTCTTTGACCGCCTGGGTCTCGCCTATGCTGTCCCAATACGAACACTTTGCTTAGTGCCACGATTGAAATGCCGAAGAATTCGCGCTGAAGCGATTTTGGATGTGCCGATGTTATAGGTCGACGCAGCTTGGAGCACTATTCAACGGAAAAGTGGAGAAGCTCATCGTACCTCGTCAACTGGTTTTCTCCACGAGAAGATCACAGGCTTCATCCCAAAAGTTATGACACAAGTCTCCGAGGTCATATTCTAGAGGCAGGAATTTCTGCGACACGCTTTTGACGTATGCCCACGAATCCTTGTCGATGGCCATGGATGAGTCTCGCAGTTTGAGAGCAAAGCTCGAAACGCGTGGACTCTGGCGTGCAGCAAGTCCGCCCACGACTGTTGCCCACAAGAGGAATTCATGGTGTGTCTGCCAATGTTGACAAAGAGCACATTCTTCCAGAGCTTGCAGGAGGAGTTTCGTGACCCTTTCGTGGAAACCACCAATGATCGGTAATGTCCATGCGAACTCTGCCAGCTGTCGCACCTACGAGTCAGCATTGACCATCATAACCGAGACCGGGAGGAACTCACAAAAATAATTAAAGACAGACGGGCGACTTCCAACAAACAATCTCCTTCCGATCGTAGTCGCAGGGCCTCGTGCTGTATAGCGCGACGAGCGTGGACCATGAGCATGAAGTCTGGACTTCTGCGGGGATCGCGAAGGCAGAGGGAGTATGTCTCGAGAAGGACTCGGACTTGAAGAATGACGTGATGTAACCGAGGACCGCCGCGGAGAGCATCCAGAAACACAAAGCCGTCTTGATAGGTTGCGAATCGAGATTCCACCACATCATCCCATGTCTCTCGTAGTGAAGCCACGAGGTATGATGCTGGATAAAAGGGGGGAAAGACCGGTTTGGTCAGGGTCCTTAGAGAATGTAAGGTGTCGACCCTAAAGTGGTAAGCTTCTTAGCCCTGGAGGGGGTATATCCTTTGGGACTCACTTACATTGATATCATGTTGCTCAGGCCGTGTAGTGTCAAATTCGTCAAGCCTCCCTTCTGATTGACGAGCGTCCTCAGAGCATGCAAATGAGCCCGTTCGAATTCCAAACTGGAATAGAATTCATTGTCTCGGTAGAGGGGAGCGGCGAACCGGGGCTGCTTCCGCGTACGGACGGAGCCATGAATTGCCAAAAGAGTTATGGTCCAGAGCACTTCGTCCGACGCAACCCCTTCGTTGTCCTGTATGGCTCGTCGAAGATCTTTCAGAGCTTCTTGTTTTGAATGAAGTTGAAGCATCTCATTGTGGGGTTTGTTGCCGTCGAAATAAGATCTGTAGCATTCGCCTGCATATATTGTCGCAAAGAGACAATGTGGAGCCAGTAGCGAAGAACGAATGGCGGCTGCTCGAATCTCTGTAATCGCGGCATCGTGCGTGGCCAAGGCGAAGGCCGGCCATTGGTGGATCAAGGCTTCAACAATGTCTCAGTCACAATTCCTGCGGCGTTGACACATAGTCCCTACCGTCATCAAATATTTTCTGGGCTTCGGCGGAGAGTTCCAGTTGACCAAAAAGGTTGAGTGAGCCCCAGCGCGCGGTGTCGAGCAGAGTTCTCGGTGAAGGCGGAGGCGGGGTGTTATCCTGAGTTGTAGAGGCATCGCTCGTCTGGAGGGTTGCGCTCCTCGTCATGTCCCATAAGTTGCGGGTTCTGGGGAGTTGGAGCTGCTCGGTGGAACCCGACGAGGCGGAATTCGGCTCTGATTGGTGTACATCATGCAATCTCTTTCGTTGTAAGCTGCGAAGTTCTCGGTTCTTTCGATGGGAAGCCAGAGCGGTATGCTGGTGCCGACGCGATGATTGAAGCTGCCTATCGACGTCATTGGTGTGGCCATCTTCAACCCAAGGCAGGAAGATGAACTCCATGGTTGAGAAAGATACAAACGGTGAAGTCGAACAAATGAGGATGAGCTGATGCGGGCGAAAATTTGTAGGCGCAATGACCACGGGTAAGCAAGTCGAAACATGATGCGGGATTTTCCGCTCTCCGCTGCGCCCCAATATAGACATGTACACACCACGGAATGGCTCATGTCCAAAACCACTGGTCTCTACACAAAGAAAACAGGTAAATGCTCGACTGGTAGTGCCTGACTTTGTATTCTTGCTACCGAACTGCTGGTGATGGCCGCCGTCCCAATGGACCAGTCGCCATGACAGCATGCCGTTTGCTTTCTTACAAGATGCCAATGCAGATATCGCCCTTGACTTTGGCAATGACCCGAATGTCCACTTCAAGGGCCAATCTCACGTGCACTTTCAAGCTTCCTCCCATATTTTCAATGTCCTTCTTGGAAAAACCCTTGGGGATATAGTCTGGAGTGCTGTCGCCAACATCACCCTCCGCGGGCTTAGCGACCTCCCCCAGACCACGACCTCCTGGGGCGTTGTCGAAGGTGTCATTCCTACATTGACCATGATTAGGACCAGTAAAGACGCAATTGAGAAGAAGACACAATGAACTTACAAATCCTTGGTTTCGCCTGACATTGTTCGTGTCTGTTTTCCTTGGCTTGGATGAGTCCCTGGTCGAGATTGCTCTGATTGAGGCGACTTGTCTGTTGGCAGTCGAGCTATCAGTGTGGCGGTGTGTTGGGTCCCTTCGCGCTTTCAGTTGTACGATATCCGCTAAGTCTTGTCGGCAGGTGAAACAAGGCCTCCTGGGACTGTGAATCTGGCTTGCAACTTGTTCTTGGGCGATGAAGAGTTATCGTCAACTCTCTTTCGAGATGACAGAGAGGATTTCTGTTGGGAGTCGCGATCACTCGAATATCAATGAGTGCTACCGTGCTTGAAACGATTGTCCAGCGCCGTTTCCGCTTGATCCTTCCAAAGTCAACCACAATGCTCCTTTCCCGAGGAATGGTCAGGTTAAGAGACACTTACAGTGGGGTTGAGGCTTGAATGGAGCTTGCTGACGTTGGGCAGTCTGTCCTCGAGAGGCTGGAGATGGGGAATTCGGGTCGGAGGAGGCTATCGTCATCAAAGATGTCCGGGTCTTGCGGAGCAGTGTCGACCGTCGGTGATACTGGGTTGTCACGGTTCATGGCGTACCTGGCGTGAGCATTGAGCACCCAGGCACGCCTTTTAGTAAGGTGATCTGTCGGAAAGCTGGGCCGGTAGGATCAAAGCTGCTCTTGCCAACTCCAACAAGCATGATATCGTCGATGCAATGCGCCCAGGGCTTGCTGCTCAGTCGGTGCAGCGCTGGCCAAGTCTCCGATTGGCCATCTCATGCAGGAACCAAGGTTTCAAAGCTTCCAAGTCACAATGGACGGACTCCACCACCACCATGGAGATGTGAACTGGTGCATGGGTCGCAGGGAGGAACAAGCAGGAAACAAGGAAGATGCCGGAAATGCGCAGTGATGCGCCTCGTAACAGGCGCAGGCAAATGCCACCAACGCGCCCAACCCATAAATTACGTCACAATGAAGTGAGCCTTCACCAGCCATTGACCACAAATACAAGACACTCAACTCCATCTCCACCACAAGGCTGCAGCTCAAAAGCCACTTGTACGAGTAGGATCCTCAGCTTCGTCAGGTACCTCATGCAGAATGCCACCTTGACGGGATCGACAGTCAAATCCTCCTCTTTCGGGCCGCCAACATACTGCCGATCGAAGTGGTGCATCACTCGCCTCTCGATTCACCATTCCCTAGCTACCACTACTTAGTCCCATCTCCGTCGCATTTCAGCCCTGGCTTGCATTCCTGCACCGACAAACAATGGTGCTCTCGTTGGTTACTTTGGCGGCCACGGTGCCTCTGATCGCCACATCAACCATCCAGCTTCAGGAACAGAGTCAACGGAAACAAGAAGAGAGCGAACTCGAGCTCAAAAGAGAAAAATGCCATCTCAATGGCCGGGCGACAAAACGAATGAGTGCCAAGCGTCGAGAGCAGTTCCAGGACATGAGGGTGGTGTTAGATGACGGAAGCCTGTTCCTGGAGCCCAAGGCGGTCTCGCAAAAGCATGCCTTCACTGGCTACTTCCTTCCATACCCAGACAGATCTTACGACGGCATCGTCACCACCATCAATGCCGAAAACATGCTCAACTGGATCTTCATCAACAAGGACACCTACCGATTGCAGTATGGCATCCGCGCAGAAGCCCAACCACAATGGACCGGCCCAATGACCCTGGTACCCGGTCAAGCGTTGGAAGAATGGAGGATCGCATTCAATGGCTGGGAAGGTTTCGTGGCGGTCCAGGAGGGCGACGAAAGATGGGCCATCTATTTCGACAAGAATGACAATGGTTTGGCGGGGAAAGTTGAGGGAAATGCCGTGGTGGAAATTGAATTGGTCCGGGCGCCACTGGAACAAGAAACGAGGAGTGATGAAGAGCCGGACTGAACTACATTCCCATGGTGGAGCCCACAAGCGAGTCTGGCGTAGAACCGATGGCCAAAATGAGCCACGAGCACCCTGATTTGGATTTTCTCTTCTCCTCTGGCCTCACTTTTGCCGGAATGTAGCACATATTTGGGCGAGTCCGGCTGTCTTAGGCGAGTACCTTGCGAGCTTGGTAGGGCTTGCAGATCCAAGTCGGTCTCCGCTCTGGAGTGGGTATCGAGTCGGGGCGCTTCAGGGCTTCCGAAGCCACCTGCGAGCCGATCCTTCTGCGCCGTGGACGACTAAGCCACCCGTTGTCGACAAAGCAGCCGGTCAGAACGAGGCGAAATCAGAGCTTCAAGTGACTGGCATACTCAATCACACGTCCGGAGAGTCTAGATCTTCTTGTTTTACACCGACAAGCGTATGTTGGAGTCCAGCGACCTTTGGGCCTCAACAAGCCATCTGGCATGTGAAGGGTCGTATCGATAAGAAATACGTGGTCAGAACATAAGCCAAGTGGGCTTTTCAGAGAGTCAGAGAATTGGGTGAAACGGAAGTGTCCGTTGACATCTATCTGCAGGGCGCTGCGAATCAGAGGGAGACAACGGAGTGCGATGACGTCTTCGGAAGTTGAAAATTGTGCTTATAGAATCCCAAGTGGCTATTGTATCCTAGCACCATTTGGAACCACCTGGCACCTGATATTCCGTAGGTGGTTGGTTCGTGCCATGAGCCTCGCCAAACCAATTCCCTTGCTTCCTCTGACCTGTTTGTTGTCTGGGTGGAGCTGCTCCGTGTACACCCTGTTCCTCGAATAGTTGCCATATTGTTGTCAGGCAGCACTCGTGATGAGGCGATGTTGAGAAGAATATGTTCTACTCTCCCACCGATACATCACAAGAAGAGGTCGAAGACACTCGTAGTAATGGGCTAAACGCCAGAATGGGCCAGTCCGCATCGCGACCGAAAAAGCAGCCAGCAGCTCCCGCGCAGGAGGAGGAGCAAGAAGGATGGGGTCTCTTCCACTCCGGCCAAGCGACGTCTGTTCCTGAAGGGACGGATTCACAACAGATGCACGAGGAAGACTTACCTTCCGCCGACACTGCTCCGGGAAATACAGAGGATATCTCGGGGGAAGATGAGACCCAGCAGGATCCCGCGACGCGGGGCGACGGAGCCTCTACTCATGAAGATGAGGATCAGACACAATCCCCAGCGTCGCACGTAACCGACTCAGCGCATGACGAGCAGGATGACAGAAGCGACGGGCGTGATGATGAACCACCAAACCGACCCGTTGAGATGAGTACGAATGGGCAGAATCCTGATCCCAACCCCATCAGTTCTGGGGAAGAGACAGTAGATACCCAGACACCAGAGCCACATGAGAACATGACCGAGCGAGAGACCAGCAACCAAGGCATAGACCAGACAAAAGAACCCAGAATAACGGAAAGTGTCCCAAAGCCTACCTTGCAAGCCAACGTCGGAGAACATATGGCGACCAGCTCCGCCGACCGCACGCCGTATACCTGGTTTGATATGGTCATTGATCTCGATGATCCCAAACCCCTTGGACCGGCAGGATATTTCTATGGGCCTTCAACGATGCCCGACTTGCCGCCCTTGGGACCCAAAACCAGTATCCATGTGCTATAACTGACGGGCGACAGGGCGAAGCATGCTTCGTTCTCGGCTTCCGCAGACTTGTTCCACAATGATAATTGTTCGAGGTAGACACCCCCCAAACTGGTGTTTTCACTGTCAGACGAACGGTGCGTCGTAAAAACGGAATCGAGAGGCGAGGTGCTTGGTTGAAGATTGTGGAAATTCTCATTCACGCTATCCCAAGATTGTTCGCCGTGCCTTTGGCGATTCAGAGGCGATCGAGTCCCTCAGCTTTCGGGCGGGCATCAATCCTGAAGGACGGAGGACGTTCCAGACTCTCTGCGTCGCTAAAATCATTAAACTGGCCCTCACGCAACCTCACTGTTGTCTTGTCCAGCCCTTTCCCACTCCATGAGTCGACCGGTTGCTGGAACTTATTCCACCAACCCATCCTAAACATCTCACTCTGCCAGATACCCTTCTTCTCCCATTCCTCATCCGACCAGTATTCTGAACCCGGGGGAACCATGCCAGATTTCGGGTCCACGATACGGGAACCTGCCAGCAAGCTTGCCACGGCGGCGATGCTCCCAATAGGTTTAGGCAGAACATTTCGCATGTCATTCGTAATGAACACCACAAGCGCACATATTAACAACACACCCACCACACCTACTAACAAGTGCGTGGACAGGGGTGACTGGACGAGACGAAAATGACGAGGATTGACATATGCTGCCTGCAAAGGATTGACCACAGTTTCGGTCTCATTGTTGGACAGCGTAGAGAAATCTGCACGGAGGAAGGTGTTGACAACTTGAGCCATGTACTGGCGGTACAAGTGCGTGTACGATGCAATCAGCTTGCTCCCATCCAACAGCTCACTCGTCGGGGTTCCATCCTTGCCATAAACCATAGCATTAAACGTCTCGTCCAGCTCGTCAGCGGTCGATGTGATGTTTAAAACCTGCAGGGTAGGAAACCCAGTATAATAGTCGGAAAACTTGAGTGCCGAGCCAGGATGCACCACCGGGTCAGAGGAAATTGAGAAGTCCGGCAGATTGAAGGTCGCATTGACCTGGACCCGCTCCAGATATTGCGTGCACAGGACCGGGATGAAGTCATCGATTTGGTTGTCTGTGACGTGGCCGTAATATAAGGCAAGCGTAGGGCAGGTATCTAGAAATCCTAACACCAACGTCGAACCAAAGTATCCAGACGTGTTTACTGGGACTTGCATTGAGGTGGAGAGCCAAATATATGCAGAGTCGATGGAGCCTGTGTTCCCGCAGCCATCCGGTGTGCTAATATTGGAAGAGAGGAAACCGCTACTAAGCGTAGTATTCACGATTCGGTCCTGAGGAACAATGTTGCAGGTCGTTGCTCCTCGGATCGCTGGTGTGTCCACAGATATGGTTCCACTTTGGCCAAGCAGATTGTTTGCATTGTCGCCTTTGAGGCGGAGTTGGGGCATGGCAACTTCAGAGTACGTCCACTGGGGGTATGACATGTTACCTTCGATGACGAGGAGTGGGATATTTGTGGAAGTGATCGCTAATGTGGTGGTATTAAACCAGTCCAAAGCATCAACCTGGACCGCAATTCCTTGACTGGTCGCCTTAGTGGTGAATAGGCCTGACACGATGATGGTGAGTAGAGGAGCAAGAACAGCCGACACAGATGCTGCAGTCAAGGCAAAGCGGCTGTGCCGGAGACCATTATAAGTGGCGTGGAGAGATATGTGTCTCAAAGGGTACCAAAGCATTGAAGAGCTGGCTTCGCAATCGGCTTTTGCTAGGGCGTGGAACGACTCGGTGAATTCGATCTCGAAGTCCATTATGTTGAAGAGAGTCGCTAACAGAAGAAATACCAAGACTGGGACATACAACCAGGAGTATCTGGTTGCGCTGTCGTCGCTAACGTTGCCGAGACCGTTATGCGCTTGTGATTGCGACAAAAGGACTTCCAGTGCGATAATGGCGGCGATGGAAGCCAAGATAGTCGATGTCATGCCAATTCTGCGCAGGATGAAAGGTCGGGTCCATTTGATGTCCAGAGGAGCCGAGTCGCCGCGGTCTGGTGGTGATCCATGTAGTCCTGATTCGGCTCCGGTGACCATTTGAATGGAGAAGGTTCGGGCATCATCTTCATATCCCGTGGCAGTCATGAACCTGTGTGGAGCGAGGATCTCGCGAAGCTCACCCAAGCTTCGGTGACCAGTACCTCGAAGACGAGCCTCCAGTGTCGGGCTGCGAGCAAGAATTGCGGCAACCGCAGCAATCGAGTCGACACTCCTTGGTACCACGCCCCTTGGACGGACACATAAGATGAGAACAATGAGCAAGACCGTCAGTGCAGCGACAGCTTGCATGACCCTGATTGGGATCTGTCTGGCGATCAGACGACTCTCGTCTTTCGAGATTGTTCCCTCTACAACCGGCTTCGTATCTTGCGCTGCATCAGAAAGCAGATAAAGATTGGCGACTTGTGCTGCGATTTTCCCGTATATCTTATTAGCGGTTGTATTGAGGTAAGAAGGCTCGAGGAGATCTTCGACCTTGAAGTTGACTGTATCTTGCTGCATCATAGTCGTGAAGACATCCAAGGTGATGTTATTCGACGTCGAAGTGGAAATTGTACTGGCTTGCTGCGTCGTTGCCAGAACTCCGTCAGCAATGTCAACAGCGCTGAGACCATTGAGTCCACGTGCATTTCCTGTCATATTGACGGAATGGACGTTCCCCTGAGGGTCAAGTGTGACTAGGGCCGACTGAATTGAGTAGGAGGGAATGCAGACGATATTGGACGAGTTTAGCAAAGTGTGATTGTTCTGGCTGAAGCCTTCCGAATATGTTGCCGCGATCATGAAGCGGAACCTTGTAGGATCGTCTGGAGGAAGATTGGAGCACGTTACATTCTGAATTGAAGCTCGGTATCCAAATCGATGGGCAGTGTCGTTCTGCAAATAATACCAATCTGGGGCATCAAGGTATGCATTGAAAATCTGGCAGTCTGGAAGTGTCACCGAGGTGTTGTAGTACATTGATATCGGCGCATTACTGCGTCTGTCCGCAGCAATGGTATATTTGAGTATTCCAGATTCGCAGCTGAGATTGGCGCTGAAAGCGTCAACATTAGCAGAATATGTTAGACTGCCGTTGACAAATCCGTCTCTGGGAGCAAAACTCTGAACAGCATGTTGGTCTGTTGTACCGACAGGCAGGCTGATCTTGTAGGCCTTGTGGCCGTAGGCTACATACGCAGCCCTCGAGTCGACTGATGCTGCGTGATCAAAGTCTGTACCAACAAAGGTATTGTTGAGAGCCATTGAGGTTGGGACTTCGTTTCTCTGGACTGACTGGAGACTGAACATCCCAGTGCTTAAGACAGTGACAACTTTGATCAGCACGAACACAATAATGCTAGAGGAGACGGCGAAGTGACCGCGTCGTAGAGATCTCCAGAGCGACGAGACCTGGAGAGGCGTGACATAATCAAGGAGAAGACTGTTCTCTGCTCGCTGAGGGCCTTTTGCCATTTCTGCCCAGGGTTGTATAGATTTTGCGGCGTAATCGACTTGGCGCCAGAGGACCGTAACAACCACAAATACAGCGGTTGGACCGTAAGTCCACAAATAATGATTGTCATCACTGCTCGTCGCAATTCCATGATTGTTCTGCGAAACCGTGTACACGACTTGCAAAGCAACAATGACGGCCACGAAAAAGAGGGCAAAAGCAATCAAAATCCAAGGTCTCAAGAAGAACGGATTCCAGTGTGTGTTTAGCCGATGGCGTGATTCTTCGGGTTTTGATATGTCTGTAGGAACGAGCAACGCCGAACCCGGAGAGTGCTCACGTTGTATCCAGTTCGATCCATTTCGAGAGTTTTCAAGTTCAATGTCAGGGACAGAGCCGTGGGGAGGCTTCGGACTGCCGAAAATAAGGCGCGAATAGCCTCGCGGTCGAAATGTATCCATCAGGACAATAGAGATAGATTTGATAATGCCATGGACTGTGCAGACAGTAAAGGGCTGCCCAGAGATGGATGCTATGGAAGAACTCTTGGAGGAATGCTGGATTGAGAGAGCAAGGAGGGAGGCTCAACAGAGACCTGGTAGAGGCCATAGTGGCGCTCGCGTGTGGTGTGTGTGGTTGTGACCAAATACCTCACTGGCAGGTCAAGGCCACCAGGAGAGTAGTACGATTGTTCGGGCATGTCCAGGGCTGATCGATTTATTTTTGGCCCCTTGAAACCCAAAACTCGGGCGCCGTTCATGTCGCATGAGGGTCGGTTTGTGAAAGCGTAAACCTTGAAGAACTCAGGGTGGCATTGAAAAAAGGAAGTACTGTCTGACAGACGTGATTTCACTGTCTGACACACTGTATTGGCGTAAATGCCACGCAATACTCATTCCGACACACACAAATCGTCGTTAAGCCTTTCAGTCTGACATTTATTTTAACCCTTGGCGTTCTCATTTCCGTCCCACACTACCGAGTACGAGGTAAAAGTTCTCGCATGCTTGGTTAGCTGGTTGGTCACTGGTTGCACCAAATTACCCGTCGTGGCCCCATTCATCACACACATTCTCTTGTACAGTACCAAATGCTACGACACGTCGTTGTCTGACGAAAGTTCTCTTGTGTTGCAGTGGCGGTGTCGGAGTGGGAGAGCGTCGGCATGATTCCAAAATTCTTTCAGTTGATGGTGGTTCTGTCCTCCTGGTGAATTCCTCACTAGCATCTTCAAAGAGTGGGGGTGTGCGTTTGACTGACATAATGTACAAGTACGACTATGATTAGGCCCTCGCGCCCCTGGTGCCAGCTATCAACCATACCGAGATTGTCCCCTAACGCCCTGATCTCCTCAAATTTCTCCCCAGCGGCCAGTTATATCGCTTCCGCGAAGCCAGCACCACCACCACCCATCATAGCGTATCTGTCGCAAGGCCAACATACCCCTGTGCGGGAGGATCTGCAGGAGAACAGAGCACATACCCACAGTATCTACTCGGTATATGCGTGTGGTTTGACGGCCCTGTGAGGGACCATGAGCCCCTCTGCCCCTGAACGGCCTCTGTCCTCCAACCTCGCCTGCTCCGCAATTGGATTGATTTAATTGGGGGAATTGATTCGCCTTCAGGTGATGCCAAAATGCAGGTACAAATTGCTATTTTCTCCTACCTCAAGCCAACATCGGAGGAACCATCTTAAGACTGGCCATCTCAGTCAGGACCTGCTTGATAGCTTCTTTTGTACTCACGAAGCCATGCCAACCCAACTTGCGATTGCGGTCCATGCTGATGACTCGACCCCATCCTCCAAGAAGCTCCCCGTCGATGAGGCCAAAAGTATCCATAGCCTTGTCACCAAAGGGGTTATACTTGAGCCCATGCTTCGACTTCAATCCCTCCCAAGCTGCCAATACCTCAGGCTTCTTGCTCCACTCAAGAAAACTGAATGAAGCTTTCACAATACCAGGTCCGCCGAATCCACGAGGCGGGACAGGATAAGGCATGGTGATGGTTGTGTACGCATCGGCATCGGTTGCTGGCCCACTTGAGGTTGTCTGGTACCAATCGGCAAGTGTTGGCCAAAATTTTCCCCAGGTGAAGGCACTATCGTCACACTGGTTGAGTGCTAGATTACCAGCCTGGGAAGTCAAAAGCGCCCATTCAGCGTGGTATGCTATCAAGGTGGACATCGACTGATGCTTGACAACGTCCCACGCTGCGACATCCCCCGGAAACAGCAGCGGAAGTCCTAGATGAGCCTGAATGGCGGCGTAAACCGACAGAGGCCACAGTATATTCATGGCTGCGCTCTCAACAGCACCAAGAATAAAGCATGGTCGAGTCACCACCCAGCTGGTGTTGTTCTTCTCGCAAAATTTCTGGAGGAGATCTTCCTGCGGAAAATAGAAGTTTCCCTGGATTCCATGTCGAGGATCTTCTTCTTCCATGGGGATGGCCGTTGGTCCAAGATGCAAGCCATAGTATTTCGCACCTGTCTGGAGCAAAATACGCTTTGGCAATATGTTTGCCAACGGTAAGGCACTGAGGAAGTTAGACAACAGAGCCAAATTCTGCTTGGTTGTTTCTTCGATGCCGCTCCACAAGCTCTGGCCTTGAAGGGGAGGTGGTTGGATATATGACGCGAAGTACACATAATCCCTGCCTGTCAGTCAGCTAGATCAAGGTTGGGATGGAAAACCTTGCGCTTCAACTCGCTTGTCCTTTAGGACCTGAGCAATCCCTTCCGGAGTGCTCTCAAGAAAATCTACTGCGATATGCTCGACACGAGGTGGTGTGTGACCCGATGGGGGGCGGCGTGACAGAGCATAGATCTTCTCCCATCTCTCAGGAGCTTCACTCAGCACCTTGGTCATTGCCGAACCAGAGATGCCATTCGCCCCCGTCACGATTATCCGCAATCTCTTTCCTTCATACTCCGGAAAGGTCGGGAGGCCATGAAAGATTCCTTTCGAGACGACTGTTTGCGACATTTTCAATACACTGAAATGCTCTCATGAAAACTGAAGGGGAATGAGGCGAAGGGGTGTGGCGACAGGAGACCAGCTCTCTTATACCCAATGTGTCTCTCGAAGGCTGACCTATATTGAAGCAATTGCAGCAACACGTTTGCTTGCATGATGCTGTAAGCAGGGTGCCATTAGACACCACATTCCTGAGATTTAGGATGAACGCCATGAGCAAACCATGATTTGACGTAAAGTATCACACCGCATCCTGCTCATCCGCGACTTCTACCGATCTCTCAAAGAGGAAATAACAATATTCAGTCACGTGGTCGCTTTCGACGCCTATCCACTTATTGTCACTTGCAACTCCACGATGCCTACGGACGTTCTGATCGACTGGCTGGAAATAGCTGCTATTACTAAGCACGTCTTTGACGATAACTACGCTGTCTGGAGCAGGATATTGGTGTGGCCACTGGTGCCCGTACTGACTTGATGGAGCAACAGCCTGATCAAGTAGTCGTTGCGGATACACGTGCCGAAAGAGAGGATTTTGTTGCGTGGAGCAAGCAATTGGCACGGATACACGTTGGTCGCCAGGGCTTCTAAATGGCCACAGAGACGCTCCTTTCACAACGCTCTTGGAAATTACCAATATCGATGTCTTCGTTCAAAGTCTGCTCAGCCGACAGGGTTACGCATATGACTGATACACCAGTGTTTGCGATATATCGCCTACTCATTCGAAGCGAATGCAGCGAACTGTTGGTTGCAGGCGGACTCGGTAAGAGATTGATTGCTTACTAGTACATCCATTTTCTCCGTCGTGAGACACTTTGAGCTGATGCGCGGGTGTGCTCGTTCCGTGAGCACCGAACGACTCTTGACAAGACCAAGGCCTGTAAAAGTTCGAGGGTCAGGAGCGGCATTCGCAGGTAAGTCAAAAAGCAGAGATTGACTTGAGGACAAACGGTGGCCATGCCGCAAATATACAGCCATGCCGCCTCCTAACGATGTCATTCAGTGACGACAAAATCTCTATTTACCCGTAGATCGGACGAAGGGCAGGAGCGATTGGAGTTTCTCCCCTAAGCGGCTACCTGGGGATATTCACCTCCGCGACCAGTAACGTCACGAATGTCAAAAAGATATCATAGGCTGTCTCCAATCAAACAGACATCGCCAGCAGGAGCAATCAAAGGCTTGATCCCGCCTCGGATTCATGAACTGCACAATGGCTATCAAAGATCTCAATGAGGGACAGCTGATGTTTTGTTGCTATTCGTGCGCGCAAATCAGCAGGAAGAATGGGTATCGGAAACCCAGAGGTTGTCCTCCTCCGAGCTCAATTGGCCCCCAACCTTAGCATTTCCTTTGCTTGACTATTAGTCCGAGATAACGCTTCTGAAAAGCACATGTCGGACTTGTCCTCAAAGTGGGGCGTTGCCATATGTAGCATGGATATCAGCAACACGGAGCTTCGTCCGCTTGACTTGAAGGGCGCGGACCGATCTGAGCCTCAGCTATCGTTGATGTTGCACAAGTATTTAAGCCATGAAAACACTTGCGATAAGACTGTCAAACAGGAGACGGGACCTATACAAGAATCGCAAACACCAGACTGTCTTACCGTAGAGCTCGGAGACCATACCATGGCGAATCGCGGACGAACGCTGGACCCCGAAGTCTTCTCGATCAAAGATCTGAAAGACAAGGCGTCCAAAAACCTCCCCAAGATGTATCGAGGTTAGACAACGCTTACACTCATCTATATCCAGGCCAATAACGCAGACAGAGTACTTTAACGAGGGCGCTATGGACATGATAACGTGAGTTCGCGCTTCTGATCTCTAACCGAAGGAGAAATCGGTCAAAATAGCCAACGTCTTTGTTTCGACAGTCTTCGAGACAATGAAGCCGCCTTTGACAGGTATCGGATACGACCTCGTATTCTGCGCAATGTGTCCACAATCGACACGAGTACCACGATATGGGGAAGTAAAGTGCTATTCCCGTTCGGGTTCTCCCCCGCGGCTATGCATCGACTTGCTCATCCAGAAGGCGAAGCGGGTACTTCAAGGGCTTGTGCAGCTCTGAACGTGGCGATGGGACTCAGCGCCTACTCGACTGACTCGCTGGAAGACGTGATCAAGCAGAGTGAGGGAAGGACAAACCCCTATGCTATGCAGGTCAGTCTTCTAAAGAGTCAAGACTTGACCGTACGACTATTGAAGAGGGCCGAGCGTACGTGGCAGACAACTTTGTTCCGCTTCCTAACTGCATGGCTGGCGCAACTGACAATCTCCACAGAAGCAGGATATAAGGCTATCCTCCTGACAGTTGATGCGCCAATGCTGGGACGACGATTGAATGAGTTCCGCAATTCCTTCTCTATGCCGAAAGGCACCTCATATCCCAACATCGCTCCAGGCATAGACATGAGCAACTTAGAGGGAGGAGACAATGAACTAGCGTATGGTGGGTGTCATGCTGTAACATGTCAGTGCAAGCGTATTAACGACTCTTGAAGAAAACGGTGTGAACTGGGACGAAGCCATCTCATTTGTCAAACGTCACACAACCCTGGAGCTGTGGATAAAAGGAAGTAGGTCGAATTTCCGGACAAAAGCACTGTGAGGCTGATCTATCTCTTTCAGTATACACCGCGGAAGACGTCGTCACTGCTATCCATTACGGGTTGGACGGTGTAGTCATCTCCAACCACGGCGGACGACAACTGGACAGTGTCCCTGCGACCTTGGATGCTCTTCGAGAATGCGCCCCCGTTGCAAAGGGCAAGCTCAAGATTGCCATCGATGGCGGCATTCGACGTGGGACCGACATCTTCAAAGCCTTGGCCTTGGGCGCCGATTTCTGCTTTGCCGGACGAATCCCAATCTGGGGATTGGCAGTGAGTATCTGTCTTGTCTGTAATCCCCTCAAACTCACGCCATTATATTAGTACAACGGCCAAAAGGGGGTAGAGCTGGCCATCCAGCTCCTGTACGATGAATTCAAACTCACAATGGGTTTGGCTGGGTAAGTTAATCTGTCAGAATGACCGCCAATTGATGGCATAGCCGAGATTCTGATTTTACATACAGGTGCAAGACGATCTCGGAGATCAATCGCGGACACCTCTCAATTTTAGAGAGCAATGGTGTTCTATCGAAGCTGTGATGTTGGAGACTCATAGGGCTGCTGTGCAAGAACCTAGTCTGGAGTAATGGACAACTGCACAGAGAATAGGAAAGGAAACATAGAGCAGGCGATGTACTGAGATATATACTTGGTATATGTAGGTAGATGTTTGCTTCTACAGTGGAGAGAACAGATATGCAGGGTCAACCACTGTCAAGTCTCGAGAAAGCGAGTCTCTGGTGATTCTGAACACTTTCAGTTAGCAAATTTCCCACCACCAGTGATCAACCCCTATCAGCCTCGGGGACGGGATTAAATTCTTCCGAAGCCCCTCGGTGGCTGCGCCCAGGCCTCAAATCCTAATCTCGACGTTACAATTGAGCAGGTCAGGCAGGTCATCTCTCCAGTATAAGAGTCGCAGCATTGTATTGAGCCAGGTGCTGTCAGGTTTTCGCTATATCGGCCTTTGAATTCCATCTCAACCACACACCAACTGTTCGAACCATGGCTGAGCGAGCGGAACCTGAACGCCCGAACATCTTCAACTGTGACCATGCTCTTGTCTTGAGCATGGAATCATGTCGGCTTACATTCAGAGTAAGGGGAAAAATCCACAGAAGATGATGTGCGATCACAATGTATAGCATGCTGGAATTCTTGACGAGATACCCTGCCCGAGCAGTCGCTGTCCACGGGGACTTCTTTTGATGGCCTGGGCAGACATGGCTTCCGCGATTGTCTCCCTTTTGTCGCACTTGCCCGGCTCTGAGAGGCCAACATCTGTTTTGCAGTCGGGATGGAGCTGCCACGCTCTCGTCGCTTCCGGGTACGCCTGGGTCGGAGTCAGCAAGATGCTCTATCTCTGTGTTCTCCTCCTCTTTCTCTCGACGTTTCTTCATCCCTGCCGAACATTGGACTTCGAGGCCGTTGACGTGCAGCACTTGGATTGATTGTTACCCTTTGGACGACGACGTTGCTCATAACCCTCCATCTACCACAAGGCCTCCTTTTGGTGCCTTGAAAAGTTCTTCGCTTGGTCTCATTGAGGATACGCTGCTGGTTAGACAATACTGTTGCGACAACTCCTCCCAGCCTTCTTCGCATCTTGTCTTCAAACCGCCAAAATCATCTTGTCTGCGCTTCGCCTAGTGTTGTTGTGCCCTTGGTGAGAATCTTGCAGGATGTCTTGGAAGCTGGCCGAGTTGAGATGGCGTCAAGATGTTGGTCTCAATAAGAGCTGCCGGGAACGCAATGGGAGATCAGGTCAAGACAACCACCTTGAGAGCGAAAGGAGTAAGGTGATCGAATGCACAAAGCGTGGTCGCTCATATACTGCGCCGTGGTGCCGTGCCGTGTTGGGGAAGGGCCCGGTGGAAGACTCTGTCAACAATAGAATTCGGCCGGACCCGAGACCACTGCCGTTGTCTACTGGTCTTTCAAACTCTTCAACCGCTCCTCTTCTTCGTCGCAACCAGGACTCAACAGGCAGCTTGACAGGACATAATCACCCTTTCTCTGTTGTTGAGAGAGACACAACACAGGCCGATCCGTCGCTCAATCACTGTCCACCTCTTTCTCCACACACGTCATTTCGACGCCGAATCATCCTTTGTCCAGAAAGCTACCAGAGTGAAGGGGCTTGCTCACCACTGAATGGTGCGTTCTTCTCTTGACGTGTAGACAAAGACGCCACTGACTATCCCGGTAGGCAATCAGCATTCCCCAAAGAGTTCAACATCGCCTGTGCAGACCGGCGAGAGCAGCAGAAGCGACCAGACCAGACAAGAACTGACAAGTCTGTCACAACCATCGCTCACTGTGAGTCTCTTCCCCATCCCCCCCTCAACAAGGGAAATCGCTCACGATGGACAGAACTTCAACACGGACCCAGACTTACCGAGCCAGTTTGACTTCGAGTTTGTTCATCCTCCAAGTTTTGGGCTTCAGCTCTACAGACCAGCCCAGGTAGTTGGCCACAAAGCAGAAGAGAAAGGCTTGTATTTTGAACATCGCAGTGTCTGGAGGCGGAGTCAGTCCTTTTCACCAAGCGCCCGACGCGTCTCACTAGAGTCAACGCACCATTCTGACTCAGCTCTCCTTCAAAACTTTGCCATGGATGATCCAACTGGTCATTCAAGTCCGGAGCCTCGCACAACGCGTCCCCTTTATCCAGATCTGCCTTCTGCATATGCACAGATCCAGGGCCGCAGAACTGCAAGTCTCCAGCCAGTCTCGTCAAGCAGGAGAGCAACCCGGTTCCCTCTGAGCTCGTCAAGCTCGTCTTCTGAAGATGAAGATTACGAACATCTGCCCTCTGAGAATGATGCCATAGCACTGAAAAACCTACCGTACCGAAAAGTCCATTCAGCTCAGGGTATTCTGCGGAAAGCTGTTTATCACCAAGCGTCTAGCGCAGTGCTTGAGACAAACCTGGACAACAGAGATCCTGACCTAGACTGGAAAAGAGGCTCGACCACCTTGGATGACATTGTCTCTCAATATGCAGATGCCAATCTCACAGGCTATCAGACGCACAATATCAGGACTGACGATGGGGCGTATGTTGAGCCGGAGCCATTGAATTGTGTCACAGGCAGCGAGTCGGCAGACGATACCGCTTGCTTTGGAACTCCAAAGACACGTCAAGGTCATGCGGTCTCTGTGAATCAAATCCATGAGCCTTATCAGCATCGTGCAGAGAACCAACTCCCTCGAAACCATGAGAGCTTTGGTGCAATTGATGACGACGATGAGGAATGGGTAACAGAACCAGAGACTAGCCGCAGTGGCTTCCTGACTCCTTCAAAACTGCGATTTCGTCTGGCCAAAAGAGGGACTGCAGACACGTCTGATACCACTTTGACCGGCAGAGGAATTCCTGCGTCACCCTGGGATCCGCTCTCGAACGCAAAACAATCTGAACGGCGTCCCCAACAACAATACAAAGGTCCTTTGAACTCGAAACGCCACCATCATTCTCCTAGTCAAAAACCATACAGAGAGACAGCCCTAGGGTGCAGACAGCCGCTTCACAAGGCATCGTCAACTCTTAAAACAGGTGGTCAAGTTGCAGACGCTGGTGAACGAGTCTGTCGTCTGGATTCTGCCGGCGCCCCTGCTGTTAAGGCACAACATCATTCACAGCCCAAACTGCGCCCCTTGAATCAAGTCTCTTCAACACATCTCACTCCCCTGTCTCATTCTACACAATCTGCCACGTTATCATCATCTCGACGTGTTCAGAGCGCTCTCCAATCGAGTTCATTACTTCCAAGAATTCCAGATGACACTCTTGTATCAAGCTTTCTCTCCCCAAAAACCATGACCCTCTCGAACGGTACTCCACGAGCAACAGCAGAGAACACTCTCACGATACCCTCAATCTACGACGACTCCCTCAACACCATCGCTCCAGATATGGAACCCCCTCACTTCACAGACGGGACTCGCCAATCTCTCATCATCCCTGCGAACAACAGAAATTTCGTTGGTGAACAAGTTGAAGGTGAACAAACTGGGCCAGCGGCTGTTTTTGACATTTTCGCTTCATCCTCGGACCAGGGTCTTGTTCAGCGTCGCAATATTGAAGGCACGCACATTGCCAGTGAAGACGCGGAAGCTTTGGCTGCTCGACAGTACAACGAAGGAGGTTACAGATTCAACGACGCCGACATCTCTCGATTTCTCCGAGACAGCCGTATTCTTCGCCAGAGTCTTGATGACAGACACAACAAGAAGAACAATAACGCCATATTCGGCCAGCAACGTGTCCTAGTCACCGGGAGCAGCCTAGCTAATGTGTCATCCGACTCAACCATGTTGAACCGTCTTCAACACGCCCGAACCCTTTCCAGCAGTCACTACTCTACCATTGACGACCCTGCTCGAATTACCAGTCAAGTCACACGCAAATTCAAGCAATTCCTGAGCAGCAGCGGCACTGGTACTGGCACTGCGGACAGCGTAAGCTCCGAGTATTCGAGCCTCGGAACTGTTCAGATCCCAACCAACAGCACCTCTCGCTCCCTGATGCTCCAGGAGCAGGAAGAGAACTTCGACACATGTGATGCGATCATATATTGCCAGCGGTGTCCATCGTTCCCTCTGAGCTCTGAGATGCTAGGACTCGTGAGTCTCGAGAACTTGGGCCGTGTCCCATTTGAGCGCCTACAACTGTCCCACGACGGGAAATGGCTTGAGAAGGGCTGGTGTTTCCTGCACGAGCGCATGGAATACAGCCATGCTGTCCTCGCTGGCAACGAGGCAGCCATCAGCGAAGACCTCCGGTCTGTCCAGCGTAAAGCTGGTAGACTGCTGTTGGTCTTGGGCGCGGCGACGTTCTTGGTGGGTGGGTGGACCCTGATCCACTCGATCGGAGAGGGAGGCCCTCTGGCCACTTCGGCCATGGCTGATTTGACAAGGGTGTTGGCTGGTGGGGAGGAGGGGGTGGTTTGCTGTGTGCATCCAAGGGATGCAGCAATGGCGCAAGCCATTGAAAAGGCGGCGGTGTCGGTGGTGGTGTTGGTGGTTGTGGGCGTGTTGGCGGTGCTGTCCTGGGCGGCGGCCACCATTTAGGTGGTTCGCAGGGGTTGAAGCAGGCGGGCGAATGCCCTTGAAATGGATTGAATCAATACGAAATGAACATGTCACCAGTTGCCTCTTTCCGTGTCTTTGCCGTTGTCTTTGAAGTGTTTCTGTGTGTCATCGCCATTGACTTGGTGGAACTGACACCTCGCCATTCACACAAGCACATGATTGTATATGGCTAAGCAGCCCGTCAGACACAAAGGGAACACGTACGGAAGGAACTCCTTGACGTTCAAGAGCATGTAAAAGACACACATCGCAATAGGATTGGAAATGGCGGCGGCATACATCTCAGTGAAATGACCACTATATACGTCCCAGGTTGCTTAATGTACATATCCACCGGGTTGGGTGCTGTCAAGATAGATGGCGGTCGTAACTATCACGCTAAGCAAAGCAAAGAAAAGCAAAGCAGGCGGGCGACAGGCAACAAAAGGAGAGGATAGATGTGTGGGTGGCCGGGTGGTCAAGGCGAGGTGAACGCTCGCTCAGTACCACTACTATTCCTCATCGGCAACGACGTACCCAAGGGCCTGGCCCATTTTGACCTTTTGACCCCTTTCGACAGCCCATTTGAAGCCGGGGTTCGACTCGGTACCGGCGGGGGCCTCGAAGACGAGTACGACGCTGCTCCCCAGCCTGAACCCGCCCATCTCTTCGCCGCGGCGCAGTGCATGCCCACCCAGCACTCTGCTCGCTCTCTCGTACGTGGCTTCGCTGAAGCCCGAATACGGCTCGCCTCGGTCCGCGGCGGCAGCGGCTTGCCTGTCTGCCTCTGTGTCCGTGGTGAGCGAGTTGGTGCGCAGTTCCTTATCGAAATTGATCACGATGGATCCAACATTTGTGGCGCCGACGGGGACGTAGGAGAAGAAGCCGTACTTCCATCTCCCCAGGAGCACGACCCTTTCGTTGAGTGTGAATAATCCCGGTAGGGTGCGCTGAACATAGGGACTGACAGAGTATAGTTCGCCAGCAAAGTGGCGGCGAGCTGTACACACCCAGCTGACTGGCGAGTGAAAGCGGTGGTAGTCACCCGGTGCAAGGTAGACGACGACGTAGTACAGGTTTGAGGATCTGGTTGGTTGGGAAAAGATAGACCACCAGGGTTGGGTGCTTGCCAGATCAGCCGATACGGCCGCCTCCGAGGACGGAGCGGACGGCATGGATGCATCTTGAGTTTTGACTGGGGCTGAAGAAGACTGCGTTCCCGAAAAGAGGTTGGGAAGTGTGTAGGAGATTCCGTTGACGTTGGCGAATTCCTCGTCAGCCGAAATGGACTTTGCGTCCGTGCCTCCGGGTGAATCTGATGGTGTCTGATCTTCTGATTGTGCGGAAAGTTGCGAGTTGGGGGAGGGTGGCGCAATTCTTCCGAGTAGGGCGTCGACAGAATATGTCATTCCTTTGACTTGTTCGACTTCGCCATTCTCGATTGTGCCGAACTGAAGCACTCTGGCATCGGCGGGAGAGAGGACCGCGTTGGGATCAGGGTCAAGAGGTCGGAGTCCGGGTTTGATCTCGCGGTAGAAGAAAGCAGATAGGTTTGGGTAGACGTGGAGGTCAGGTTCAGCCACCTCATCAAAGTTGACACCAAAGATCCAGCCATAGAGCTTGAAACCGGGGACGCGGAGGTAATAGGGAATCGTCAACTCGTTGAAGCGACCCCAGACTCGAGAGATAGCCTTTAAGGGAAGGGTGGACATGATCTGGACCTGCCAGCCACCTCCTGATGGATGGATTCTCTTTCTCTTTGGAGGGGTAGGTCCAGTCCCCTCCGCAGCGCCCTCTCGCCTCTGAATACGTATGAATTGAAACAGGCCCAGGAACGCAATGCCCAAGCCGATTGGGATCGGCTTCCATTCGACTCGCGTTGACCGCCATGCTTTCCCAAGCCGGGAAGTAAAGCTCTCGTTGTCTCGTTTCTTCTTCTCTTCTTCCCATAGCCTCCTACTGTTCGAAAAGGTCCGGCGTTGTTGTGGTGGGAGGCGGGCATGGATGTGCCTGAATGGAACGGGCCGACAAGGGATTGGGTCCTGCAGAAGTTGCCTGCACTGAGGAGATGATGTCGACCGTCGATAGAGACAGGCTCTGCCCACTCGCGCAGCAGCGGCAGCCATATTGCATGTTTGTTGTCAAAAGTAGAAGCGAAGGTCGAAAGGAAAATAGCAGACAGATAATGACACCATGAATCTGGAATCTGGAATGTAAATCTGGAGTTCTGGGGGGAGTTTTCTCTGCTTCTGCACAATGACGCAGTTTTCGAGGAAGCAGTGCCGATCGTGATTCTGATTGGCTCATTTCCGACGCGTCTGAGACCACCGTAAGAAAGTCGCGGAAGTGTCCTTCCAATTCTCCCCATGTCAAGGAATGAGGCTATCACCATTGTCCATCTTCTGTCCCCCAAACATGTATTGGTGATCTTTCCCAATTCTTAAATCTCTCAGCATGGCTTCGTCGTCTCCTGCACCGCAGCAACCCGCGCAGCCGTCGGATCTACCTCCCTTGGACCAAGATCATGTTCACCTGCGAATCACCTATCTTGTTACTGGCAATCCACGGCCACCACATTATCTGGGGAGCCTCAATCTGAACACCACCATATCTGCGCTCAAGGAGAAGATTCAGACTGAGCTGCCTGAACATCCGTCTCCGTCAGAACAACGGCTCATTTACCAGGGTCGTCCTCTACTCCGAAACGATGCTAGCCTACGGGAAATCCTCAGGATCGAAGTATGTACATCTGCAATGCCTTCAGCAAAGACACTTCTGACCGCTGTCTCTTCTTAGCCTGGTGCTGTGCCCGATATCCTCCCGTATACGATTCATATTGTGATCCAGTCTCCGCAGAATATCTCCCAGCCCCAGCAACCGTCAAACTCCGTACTGAACCCCCCTCCACCACCACCTCTGCACCCTGGTCACCAGCATGCAGACTTTGCAAGCCCTTTCAGAGCCGCTGAAACATCAGCCAATAGACTCCAGGAGTCGCTCATCCGTATACAGCAGCAGATTGAGGCCAACAGAGCGGATCTGAGGACGGTTCAGCAGAGAATAGCGTTACAACATAACAATCTCGGTGGACCACCAAATCTCATGAATGGTCAGGTTAATGTCAATGGCCAACCGCTGCCTGCTCCTATTCCACAGACTTTTGCCATGAACTTTCGTTTCGACCTTCCCCCGGATCAGCAGGCACAGAGTCAACAACCTCCGGTCCGTCTGAATACCCAACCTCATCATCTGCCACCTCACACATCAACTCCTACACACACCGTTCAGGAATTCCAGGGTCCGAATGGAGAACGCATGACAGTTGTGTCAGATCACATGAGCTTGGTGATCCCAATCCCAGACCAGGGCCTCGGATCTGGGCAGCCCGCTACACAATCCCAACCGCCAAATCCATCGACTCAAAGACAACAAAACAATATCCCCCCAGCACCTATGCCAACCACCTTTGTCCCACCTGTCAACTTGTTTCCTTCATCTATGCCACCCATCCATGTACCAAGCCCATTTGTGCAGAATCGCCCAAGCATCCCTCAAACATCAAATACGATGGCCTGGCTGCTATCGTCACCAATGGGTCCCCAGGCATTTCTGTTTGCTCCGGGCCATGGCTACTTTTCTACTCTGCCTTCGAGGCCACCGCAGGTAGCCGACAGTGCGCCAGATTCTCAACCTCAAGCAAATGAAGCAAACGCGATAGGGGGAGCTCAGCCGAGACAAGCGGGGAATTTTGACCAACCAGATGCTAACCGCGCAATAATACCGGCGAATCAGCCGCTACCTATCCCGGTTCTGGCACCAGCGCAGCAGAATGGAGAAGACTTTGATCTCTTCGCATTCATCATTCAGAGGGGGTGGCTTTTTTTGCGACTCTACCTGTTCATGTTTGTTTTCTCCGAACCGGGCACCTGGAAACGGTGGTTCATGATTCTTGTGGCGGCATTCATCTGTCTACAGCCTCCAGATGGTCCCCTTACGCTCCTGTTGGCAGCCGCTCGCCGTCACCTCGATAATCTTATTGGCCCGCCTCCACCGCAACCTCCACCTGAAGCTGCGGCTCAACAGCAGAATCCCGCCGCTAATCAACCCGGTGTAGGCCCTGTCCAGGCTGGGGCTGGTGTACAACGTCCTGCCAACGTCCGCGGAGCTACGACAATGACGCCACAAGAAGCGATAGCTCGTCTGGAAGAGCGGCAGAACCATGATCCGCGTTCCTGGCGCGACACACTGTATCGTGCTGAGCAGAGTATAGCACTGTTTCTGGCGAGTTTGATTCCTGGCGTGGGCGAGCGCCATGTCAGGGCGAGGGAGGAAGCAAGAAGAGAAGAGCAACGTCGCATAGAGGAAAGAAGCCGGGCGGAGAACGAAGCAGCTGCGCAGAGACAAGGTGCAGAAGAGGCAGATGCGCCTGTTGGTGAAGGGCAAGGCTCACCAGCAGAAGGCCCAAAACCCGAAGTCGGCGTGGAAGGATCTCGAGAACAGAGCACTTCAACCTCTGTCGAGGTCCGTGACGCGGAGAGTGAATCTGCCGAATTACGGAATAGAATCTCGTGATTCCATCCCTGGCTGAGCAGCGATGCGGACATGACCAGTTGACCAAGACCAAAGCAGAAAAGTTGTATTGGAGTCCAAAGTTGGGGACCACTGGCTCCGTTTGCCTAGTTGTATTGAATAAAATAGCAATGACGATACCCAGAATGACATTTCATGTTTTGTCCCCAGACAGCAAGCACCAAGCCAGCCATGAACGACGAAGGGTCTAGATGCTCCGGCAGACGAGGCGAGACGAAAGGATTTCCTGTAAAGCTTTCATTGAGACACTCTTCTTCCTTCCCTTCTTTCCTTTGATACAATGCTCCGATACTACGATGCTACTATATAATATGCCACTCATAAACAGGTAACCCACGCTATGTCCATGTGTACATATGTACAAATGTACATACTGTTAGGGATCTAGAACACCAAGATACGAGGTGCTGGCCGGCTTTACCAAATAGGATAGGACATGGTGGGACAGGGTAAGATGGGACGAAACGAGCCAATATTCATTTGTTTTCCATCACTTTTAGGACCGGTAGGAGGAATGACAAGACACAAGAAATACGCAAATGCTTAAAAAAGAAAGAAGAAGAAGAAGAAGAAGAAGAAGAAGAAGAAGAAGAAGAAGAAGAAGAAGAAGAAGAAGAAGAAGAAGAAGAAGAAGAAGAAGAAGAAGAAGAAGAAGAAGAAGAAGAAGAAGAAGAAGAAGCCTCTATATCACTACCTCCTGCTTCCTAATCCTCCCTTTGCTGGTTTGACCATGAAGCCGATCAAGAC